CTGGCGGGCTGGTTGGCTGGGTGGCTGACTGGCGTTCCTGTGTGTTTTGCAATGCAATCTCGCAAACAACAATGCAGTCGGGCAAAGTTGGTCGTAATGCAGGCAGGAAAAGTTCCATTTAATTTATTGACAACGCACCAAACCGCAGAAAATTAAATTGTGAAATATTGTTAATAGTTGCGTTGTACCAATGGAACGGCACTTTTAATTGGCTCTGACATGTTGACACAATAACTAAATGCGATTTTAATTAATGGGATAGACAAATTTAAAATGTGATTTTTTGGCAGAACTTTAAATTTTATTTCTATGCTACATATTTTTGAAAATTTAAAATGTCAAAAAAAAAAATTAAAAATTATTTTTTTTTGGAATAGATCTGTTATCAAATATCTATAAAACTGCCAATAAAGACATATAGCCTAAAATAAACTAAATATTTACGACAAAAATGCCACCAATACATGGAAAGCAATTGATGTTAATGGTTTGGTATTGTATTTTTTGATTGCCTGTGTATGAGTGAGTGTGTAATTTGCATTGCCCATAACTAAATTGACAGAAGATCTAATTGCTCTGAAATTATACGAAATGTGAAGCCACAATTGCTTGTTTTGTGAAAGCAAAACTACAATGATTGCCTAAAACGTTGGTGGTTAACATTTAACGCAAATGGCTGCACATGGTTGGCTGGTTGGTCCGTTGGTTGGTCGGTCATCATTACGGGCAGTAACAATGGCAGCATTACCGAAAAGCAATAATAACATCAGCACCACTAATAGCAACAACACCCAACACTACGTACCGAAAATGCAAATTTGGTCGAAAAAAAAATTGAACAACAAAATTAGCAAATCGTCTCATTGTCTAGCTACCAACCATCCTACCTACCTACCTCGCTGGTCTTTGTTTCATTTGTCGTCCATTTTACATCTTTTCCGACTGCCAAAGCCTGTATCCTTAACTTTTTAGGATTTGTCTAGTCGGAATACAGAGACACAAAATCGCACACATCCATACATACATACATACGTACACACATACAGAGACACGAACACTTTCTCTGCCCAACAATTGGTTTATCATTGGCGGCTGGTGGCAAAAACCACAGAATGGCAACAAACTCGCCAGCAATGAATGTTAAATACAAACATAACTGCTACACTCCACTGCCCCACAAAACTGGGCTATTTACTTACTTTACATGTGACATGACACTTGTGTGTGTGTGTGTGAGTGTGTACCGTTGTACACACATGTACTCATAAACGTGCAACTGTAAATAGGTACATATGTATTTTCGTAGATGTGACTACCTTTTCAAATGAACATTTTTGTGTTCTACAGATAAGCCTCTTGGGTCCTGGGTCAAGGATATTCGTTTTGATCAAAATAATGGTATATTAATACTTTGGTAATAATGAAAGTTAACCTTTAATAAAAAATATAATTTTCTTCTTAAGTTTGGAGTATTTCCCCATTGACTTCATATCATTTTTTACTACAGTGAGTATAGTTGTTCAAAACGAAATTGACAGTCACGTACCAACTTTCAAACCATACCGTTAAAAGCTGCGACTATCATCAGAAAAATACCAAATATAAAAAGGTACAATTATATTGGGGGGCTATACGAAGACGTGGACCAGAAAAGGCATTACTTTGTCTGAGGAGGGATTATCTACATATTATGATTTTCAAATACCAAACTTGAAACAACTCCGGTGAAAAATGTGACGTAATTCATCAAAATACCAATTGATGGTGGAGGTACACTCATATAGGGACTATACCAAAATATGGACCTATATGTAGCGCTCTTAGCAAGGTTGCTCCCCACATACTACCAAAACACCTTAAATCTGCCGGTTCTGTTTTATGGGGGATATACCAAAACGTCGATCCAAACGTCAAATATATACCTAAATCTGAATTTCTACACATATGTTAGAGTTGATCATTTTATTAGTACCAGAGTGTAAAAACACTTTCCATTCTTTCCAAAACCGAACTTTTTACCAAATATTTAAAACTTCCAGCTACATACCTTTACCCGGCACCATATTTTACGAGGTTTACTACAGCTCTGTCCCTAAGTATACGTTTTTAAAACTAGCTGCTTAAATTTTAGTACTTTTGGTACACTTTATGTTAGAATTTTAAACAATTATTTGGTTCGTCTACCCGACACAACTGCAACGATTTTCATTCCAATTTTCCTGATCCATCCCCTCTCGAAAAATAGGACACTTCGTACTTTGTTAGTTCGTTTTTCCAAATCCAACATAATGTTTTCCTAATATAGTACAATTTAATACTTTTCGTACCTTCTTAGTGCGAATTTTTAAAACCACATCCAAATCTCGACCCTACACACCAACAGTGACTATAATGCCGAATTTCCGAATTTAAGCACACTCCGGTCACCCAATACCAAATATAGTACCTTTTGTATACTTGTAGTTCTATATCAAAAACCACTTCTTATTACCCCACCCACAAGCAGTGACCCCAGTGTCAATATTTCAAATTTCCAGCTCCATCAGTTCACCCTATCAATAATATGGCTTATCCAAATGTATTATTATTTAGTACTTTTTACTACATACAGGGTGAGATAAAAAAACCTGCAACAAAGTCAAACGCCATAATTCTCAAATATTCTTTAATTTTTATTGAATGAATGCAAATTATGTCGGAAATAGCATCAAATTTTAGAATAAGTTTAGATTTGTTCGAACTGGTCTCCTTTGGCACGAATTATGACCTTCAATGAACGGCCAATAAAACCGTCACACGCTGTCAGAATGTTGTTCTGCGGTATTTTGGCCCATTTCCGGCGAAGCGCTTGAGGTGATCGACACTTTGGAATTTTTTAGTGCCAACCTTGCTTTCCAAAATACTCCATACACGATAGTCCAACGGGTTGGTATCCAACGGGTTGGTGGCCAATGTGCGCTGGAAATGAAGCGAGGAACCTCATTTTGAAACCATTCTTGAGTGGCGCTTGCTGAGTCCTGTTGGAATATCCAAGGTCTGCGGCCAAAATGTTTTCATGTCCAAGGCTTTAATACACCCTCCAAAATATTTACGCGATAATATTCGGTATTAATTCTGCTGCCACGGTCGATTAATACGAGCGGAGAGCGACCATCGGCTGTTATAGCGGCCCACACCATCACAATTACCGGCGCTTGAGTTCTGGTGACCAACCGAAGGTTGGCAAGTAAACACGAACGAATGTTTTTTCATCGGAGAAAACCAAATTCGGCAGTTCACCACTTTCGGCCAAGCGAAGCAACTCTTTACCTCTTTTAAGTCTATTTTTTTTTCCTGTTGCGGTGTAAGTTCTTGCAATTTTTGGAATTTCAATGGCTTTACCCCGAGCTCATTTTTCAATATTTGCCAAATGAAATACTGCGATATGTTCAGCTCACGAGCCATTTTTCGGCCATTGCGACGCGGGTTTCGATGTAGATTCTTCTTTAATTTTCGAACCATTTCTGCTGATGTTGCTGTTTTTTTCTGTTCACTTCCTTGACGTTGGGCTACGCTACAAGTATCACGGTAACGAGCGATGGTACGAGACACAAAACATTTATTCGAATTTAAATGCTGGAATGCTCTAACGATAGCCACTTGTAGTTTTCCAGCCAAATATAAAGAAATTACACTATCACGCTTGAATTCCATCACGAATAACTTTTTTTCAGGAAAATTCTCACCAAAATGTTTTAGTACGCTTGTAAACAATATCACTGGAATAATGTTAACAGCTGCCGCACGAGTGACCCAGAAATGACAGTAATCTGAAGTTGGTAGCAGTTTTTTCATCACACCTTGTACCAGGACTTTCTTTCAAAAATATCATCCAAAAATATCATCTTTTAATTCCATGGTTAAACCGTTGACATAATACCAGATTTGTACTATATTTAGTGCTTTCAATGCACATATAGTTGAAATTTCCCAAAAACAAAACTTTTCTGCATCTATCCGATCTCCCATCAGATAACCACATTCCAAATTTCAGAATTCTGGTTTTATCCTATTAACCAATATAATGGATTTTGGTACACTCAAAGCTCAAATTTCCAAAAAAAAAAAACACACCAGAATTGTAAAATAGCAAGATTCTAACATCAGTCATTTCGCCTGGGCATTAAATCAGTTACTCAGTCACTGAAAAATTCTGAAAATACATGTGTCGGAATGAATGCAGTATTCTCTGAAATAACTCATGAGTCAATACACATACAGAAACTGTTTATACATAAAAACCTTCCATATGAAGTTTGCAGAAACATAATCGTTTCAACCATTTCATAGAACACCAATTACTAACATAATGCAACTTTTTTTCATGTATAAATTTATGCCTTTATAATCTAAAAAGGCGTGAAACTTTTACCGAAAATTGTCAATTTATACACAGTTATAGATTAGTAAAAACCAATAAAAATTATTTTTAACAAATGACGACACGTGTCAAGAACAAGTTATATTTTTTTATTAATTGCACCAATATTGTATTTATTTTATATTCTTGTTCAACCTCTTGAAATTCCGCATAATTTCTACTTGTTTGAAGTCGATTTATTTTCACAACATCTTTCCCCACAGCGTGTTTTGAGTTATTTTTAAACCATGCCAGTGGATTTTACTGCCAGTTCCGATCAAATTTCAACTGCACAATAACATTACCTAAAGCCAAGCTTAAACCCAACCCGTCTATGTTTTACAACAGACTAGTAACTGATTGAACCAAATACCTTTTGCCCATCAACTACGTCACACATCGTAGAGGGTGTATATGTCTGTTGTTTTTGTTGTAACGACATCACGTCAACAGAGTTCACAGTTAAACACGTTATGTTAATTACGCTGGAGACCGAAATCTGACTTTATTCTAAACCTTTGACTTTTTGTGTGTAAATCAAATATTCAACAAATAAAACAACCAACAAATTAATCGAATATAGTTTACATAGAAAATAGAATTTCTGACGGAACTAGACATCTTCGTAGCTTCAAATTTCAAGGGCAGCTACATTTGGGGCCACAACACAACAAACAAACACAAGATGTAGCCGTTAAATCGGTCGGATCGATTTAGAATACTTCTAAATATTTCAGTCGATTAGCGGTTATTAGACGTGTTTGTGTTGTTTCTCGTTCTGTCGCTCGCACGCTCACTCGCTTGCAATGGAATTGAATTTGGGAATTATACAAAAATTAAAACTTCTTGGAAAGTATGTGAAATGTCGAAGGTTTAATGCTCGCCAAGAGTGAAAGATAACTCGTTCCTTTGTTGCAGATTTCTAAGGCATCAATTCGAACAATACCAACTGCGCACAAATGAATATGAAGTAGTTCAAACCTCATGCGGCCAAATTAGAGGATGTAAATTTAACAATGTCTATCGTGAATATGGCCAGTATTATTCATTTGAGGGCATACCGTTCGCCAAACCCCCCTTGGGAGAATTGAGATTTCGTGCACCGCAACCCGCAGAGCCCTGGCAGGGTGTTCTCGATTGTACCAAGTGTAGATCGAAACCGTTGCAATACGATTATGTAACAAAACGCGTCGAGGGATCCGAGGATTGTTTGTATTTGAATGTCTACACGAAAAAGGTAACGACGTAAAATAGTTGACAGAGAGAAGAGGTTACTTTATCAAGAACAAGTGGAACAGGTTAGAAAATATAAATCGGATATTAACATATTGTTCAATTCAAATAGCAATGACCTAATTTTTGTCAAAAAAAAATCCGCTCCGATTTTTAAAAAATTGCCAGTGATGTACTGGAAGGAGTAGGTCAAAATATTCCAACTTCACAAGGCAATTTTTTTGCAGTTGGTCATTAATTGCATATTAAAGAGAGGGAGAGAGAGTGAGAGTAAGAGAAACATCGGATATTCACTTGCGTCCCTTTTCACAGTAGATCTTATATGGATCTTTTACACCCTCCCCCATAAGGGTGAAATAAAAAAACTGCAACAAAGTCAAACGCCATAATTTTTACGTTTTTTTAATTTTTATTGAATCAAAGCAAAAAATGTCTGAAATAGCATGAAATTTTAAAATAAGTTTCCAATTGGTCACCTTTGGCACGAATTATGACCTCCAATGAAACCGTCACACGCTGCCCGAATGTTGCTCTGCAGTATTTTGACCCATTATGTTTATGTTGTTTTAGTGCCAATCTTGCTTTCCAAAGTTTTCCAGACACAATAGTCCAATGGATTGGCATTCGCAGATTTTGGTGGCCATTGTGCGCTGGAAATGAAGCGAGGAACCTCATTTTGTAACCATTCTTGGTTGGCGCGTGCTGGGTGCGATGGTGCTTAGTCCTGTTGGAATGTCCAAAGTCTGCGCCAAATTATTTGGTGCCTTGGGTACGGCTTTAACACACCCTCCAGAATATTTTCGCGATAGTATTCGGCATTTATTCTGATGCCACGGGCGATTAATACGAGCGAAGCGGAAAGCGACCATCTGCTGTTATGGAGGCCCACACCATCACTACAGCCGGCGCTTGAATTCTGGTGGCCAACCGAAGGTGCACATTTTCAGCTGACCTCTTCGGCAAGTAAACACGATAATTTGTTTGTTTACAAACGGCTGGACAACGAATGTTTTCTCATCGGGGAAAACCAAAATCCGGCAGTTCAACTCTTTAGCTCTTTTGAGTCTATTTTCTTTCCACTGCGGTGTAAGTTCTTGCACTTTTTGGAATTTCAATGGCTTTACACCGAGCTCATTTTTCAATATTTGCCGAATAGAATATTTTCTGCCACTGCGACGCGGGTGTCGACCAAGTCGCTTCTTTACTTTTCGAACCATTGAACGCTTGAATTCCATAACGAATAACTTTTTTTCTGGAAAATTCAAACAAAAATGCTTTTGTACGCTTGTAAAAAATATAATAAGCTGTCACTGGAATAATTTTAACAGCTGTCGGACGATTGGCTTAGAAATGACTGCAGTCTGAAATTGGTGGCGGTTTTTTCATATCGCCCTGTACAATCTCTTTCCAGCTGAAGAACGAAAAACCCCTACCGGTCATGGTTTGGTTTTATGGTGGTGGATTTCATTTCGGCGAAGCTTCCAGGACCTACTACTGTCCCGATTACCTTATGCAAAAGGATGTGATTCTTATTACCTTCAACTATAGATTGGGTATTTTCGGTAAGCTAGAACCAGATGTATTATTTAATTTAAAAAAATTTAAATTTTCCTTCATTCCACAGGATTTCTAAGTCTGGATGACCCAGATCTCAATATACCCGGAAATGCTGGTATCAAAGATCAGGTCATGGCTCTTAAATGGATCAAGGAAAACATTCACAATTTCAACGGAGATCCCAATAATATAACTCTTTTTGGTCAAAGTGCTGGAGCATCATCGGTTCATCTCTTAACTCTCACCGAACAAACAAAGGGGCTGTTCCACAAAGTCATACTACATTCCGGTTCCGTGTATTGTCCATGGGCCTACACCGAGAACCGTAACTTGGCTTACAAAAATGCCATTCATCTTGGCTATCAGGGCATCAAAAATGATAAGAAAATCTTGGAATTCTTTAAAAATAAAAATCCCAAAGATTTGGTGGTGCCCGATTTGAATGTCTTAACCAAAGAGGATTTATTCAATGGAGAGACACTTAACTATATGCCTGTGGTGGAACCCTATGTCACAGCGGATTGTATTGCCAGCAAACCTCACGAAGAACTCGTTGAGAATTCCTGGGGCAATGAAATACCCTTTATTGTGGGCACCACCACATTTGAGGGTTTGCTCTACACCAGTTTGGTTAAGAAATATCCTTTCCTCATTGATGACATCACGGATTTTGTAAATCTGCTGCCCCAGAAAATCAAATCTACCCACAGCCATGAGAAGCTAAAAGAAATGGGTTTGAAATTGAAAGAAATTTATTTCGATGGCCAGCAACCGAATTCAAAGGACAATTTTAATCAATTTCTGACTCTGCTCAGTCACAAGGGTTTCTTGCACGACACCCTCAGGACAATAAGAGATCGCCGACGCTATGCCAAGAATACAGCCACCTATTTGTTTAGCTTTAATTTTGATTCGGAATTCTTTAATCATTTTCGCATAAATTGTTGTGGACCCACTGTGCGTGGTGTCTGCCATGCCGATGATTTGGCCTACTTTTTCTATGGTGCGGTACCCGACAAACTCGACAAGAACTGCAAGGAATATCAGTGTCTGGAGCAAATGATTGGGATGTGGTGTAGCTTTGCGCTGACATCAAATCCCAACTGTGATGAAATTAAATCGGTGAAATGGCAGCCATTGGAAGATTTCGTCGGCGCTCCGAAATGCTTGATTGTGGATAAGGAATTGCAGTATGCGGAATTACCGGAATATGATAAAGTTAGAATTTGGGATAAATTTTATGAAGAAAATACCGATTTGAAATAAAAGCAAAATTTAAAAAAATTGAAAGTATTTGTCGATTTGTTCATTAAATGGTCTAAAACTCTCATGCAAAGGAGTCCTTGAAAACCGATTTTTTAAAATAACCCCAAAATTTTTTATCAGAAATTCGTTAAAAAGAAGTGTTTCTACCAGGAAGTCCTTGAAGAAATCTTTAAGACACTTTCTTCCGAATCTAAATTTTGTCCAATAAGACCTTCAGAATTTTTCAAAGAAATCCACGATTTTTGATTAATTCCTGTCACGGAAGCCTCAAAAAATTAAACACGTGGCCAACGATCGACAAACAATTTTAGAGGCGCAAATTTTATCATGTCGGAAAACAGGAATTCCTTGAACATTTTTTTAAATAAACCTTAATTTTTATACAAAGTCCATAAAAAGAAAGGTTTCAACTTGGAAATCCTTGTCTGGGGAGATCTTCAAAAACGATCAATCGACTTTTAAAATAATCCATAACTCGGAAGTTATGGGAGGTATGCGCATATTATCGTATGTTTGACCACGTATTTTTCTACAACCTCTTGTTCCTAATGTGTTGAAGGTGTGGGCCGATATTGCCCATTTTCGAATTCAATATAAGTTTGACAAAATTGTAACAATGTGTCAATTTTAGTCATTATATTAACTTCAAGAGCTATCGTGTGCAACATCAAACCATTCAGACGAAAATTTGAAGTATCCTGAAATATTGGTTCTAATATCATTATTTGCCAAACCCTTATTTATTTTCATGGGAAATCAAATTTCATTTCACCTTAACGAGTTACGAAATGATTCTCAGAATATTAGCTGTTTTTGAAAATTGAAATTCTCAATTTTTCTCAACCACCCATTTCGCAGAATTCGTATCGGCTGGGCGTTATCTGTAAGAGTAAATTCGCTGGCGAAAATGTATAAGTATCGTGTCCGTCAGTGAGTGTTTTAGTGCGTGTACATGTATGTATGTATGTGTATGTGTGTGAGAGATTTTCTGCAAGTCAAACAAATATGAGAACAATGTCTAACACTGACAACGTAATGCAAACACAAATGGGACCATTTTCCGGATATGTTCAGATCATAAAGACAAACTGCAATGTTTTGCATGTAAAGTGCTACGGCTTATGTGTGCGTGAGTGTGTGTGTGCTATAAATACAAATACATACATAAGGAACCATTTATGGCTTCTGTGTGAATGGATTTTCAATTGGAAAAACTTAATATTTCCAGCCACAAGATATGGGAAATTCTTATAAACGAATCTACATATTTTCGAATGGACACTTTTTCCGACACTATCGATTTGCAAACGTTTTTCATCTTTCATGCCACTTCAGTCACTGCTATCCGGTTAATATTTACAGCAAGGACATGCTACGCCTACGTATACACATCTCTGGCAAATTTGCATTACTGCCTCTACTGGTGTTTACATTTACCTGCTGCAAACTCATTTTCACATTCTCATATAAAATTACAAACTGCATTGCAACCACACACACGGGCACACACACAGACGCAATCTTCATGTCTAGCTGACTAACTACACGGACCGGTACTTTAAGATTAATCCTTAATTTGACAGCATTTTTTCGGGGGGAGAAAAAAAGATCTACCAATTTGGTTGCTTAACCAGTAATTTACAGGATTTCCTCTAGCATTTCTAAGGACGAAACAAACAAACCAAATTCTAGTCAATAATCGAAAGATATACCCCATGATAAATGGTAGACCCTTTGCAAAACATTCCAAAGCCATTCAAATGCATCCACTTAGCACAAAAATGTAAACCTATCAGGAAAAAATAGGATAATAGCATGTCCTTTTCCATATCAAAAGTGCTTGACAGGCTGAAGTGAGTCAAAGCAATGAATCTCTTTTGGGGGCCAAGCAAAGGCTGGTAACTGACTTTGTTTACCAATCGAGAGTATGGACTCGGAAAATTCCTTACTTCTTTTGCAAGCACGGCACACCTGAAGGGGACTTTGTCTGATGGAAGTAATTCCTTACACATACAATCACACACACACACACACTTGAGCTTAATTGTCTATCTGTCTACTGCCCCTTTCTTTTGGAGTGTACATTTTTTTCGTCATGTCTTTCTTTTTGTAAATTTTTTCCATTTCGTTTTCAACCGGTTCTTGTTTACGAAACTATTTATTGTGACTCTGGGCGCCACAAAATGACTTTTGCTCGGTTTGTTTTCACACTGACGCCGACCTATTATAAATTTGGGTTTGTAGCATTCGTTCGTTCGCGTAAATGGTTAACATATTCTGCGATACAGCAGGAATAGCGGAAAATCATTGTTTACTCTGTCGTATAAGGATGTAAGGTTTGGGATGAAGGTCATGGTATGTAGGTGGCTGGGATAGATTAACTTTACAGACTGCGAAGAAAAAAGGTAGACGATGTGAAATGAAGTAAAATATTGGTCAAGATGGTGTGTAAGGAACACAAAATACTAAGGAATGCAATCATGTGAAACAAATATAGGCAATGGAAGCGATGTGCCAAAATCCATTCAACCTTAAATCGGAAAAAGATACATATACATGGATTTTGGCGAATAATATAAGATATATATGGGAGTTTTATATAAATTTGAACCGAATATTACCAGTTTTTAAGAGGAAAACAGGTAAAAAGATTAATATACCCAGCCCAATAATTCTTGGCATGGCCTCCATGTGTCTATCGTTGTAAATAAATTATATTTTTACGACATGATCTTCTACACGATAGGGTAGATAAACAATTATAACACATGCTGCGGATAAATATAACTAAGACCTTTGATATGCTAAAAACTGGGGTACACTATAATATGGAGATCATTCGAAGCCCCGAATCTGAATAGGATTTTTAAATAGGATATCTTCTACTTCGAAGGGTAGATGTGGTCAGGACGACTAAATTATTTACGTTAAAATGTGAAAGGACATTGAAATTTTTTCGAGGGACAATTTCCAATGATGAGCTTGATTTCCATCCAGAATTTAGTCTAAAACCATCGAATATTGAATACCGCTGACATTTGTGGGCTTTACCAAATAATGGACATACCGTGAACATTTTGAGAGGAAGAGGTATACCTTTTATATATGGCCAGATCTTTGAAAATTCTTCTAACTTTTTGACAGAACTCCAAAAAGCGGCAGAAAATTGTGGCTAAGATCTTCAAAATCAGGATGCATGATTTTATGGGGGGCTATCAAATTTTGACAACTTAATGTTGACAATAAGGCCTATACTCAGTAAGTCCCAATTCACAAGTGTAAAATTCGGGGGGAAAAATAGGAGAGAGGGATGAAGAAAGTGGTTTTATCTTATTCAACTTTATTCTTTCCCATAAAACTCACCCTCCATACTATGGAGTTAATAAAAAATTTGTCATTCCTTTAAGTAGTCACGTTGGATCCTACGAAGTATATATATTTTTGATCAGCATAAAATCCAGAGTCAAATTAGCTATGACCGTCTTTCTGTTGTAATCACGCTATCTTTCAGACGAATTAATATAGAAGGCTAAAATTTTTGCACTTAGGTGTGGTAAATGGGCCCTATCGGTCCATATGTTCTTTAGCCGAATTTTGACTAATATGGCCTAAAATATTTTCTCATGGAATTGTTCAGAATTTGGTATATCTAGTCCGTAGTGGGTTCTACCTTCGGCGACAGAAGATTCTCTTTATAAGTTTATGTATTACTTTAGACCCCATATACCGATGCCTATCAATAGTTGGTATTCTGATAATATCAGCCATATTTCTCAACAGAATTTCTTCAAATTTGGTATTTATACTTTGTAAATGGTGTGACACAACATTTTCTATACAGGTCCACGTTTTTGTGAAGCCTCCATATAACGATACCTTCCGATATTCGTTGATTTTAGCCACATTTTTCCCACCTAATTGGTATTTGAAACTTGCAATAGATAACAACTTCCGCAACAGAAAATTGTCTATATAGGCCTAAGTTTTGGTATAGCTCCCATATAAAGGTACTTCCTAATTTATGCAGATTTTCCAACAAATTTTACTGATAGTTGCAGTATAAAATAGAGGTTTTTCGAATAAATAATCACGATACTTTCTTTAACTCATTGTTAATGCTTGTTCTAGCTTTACGTTGTGTTACTTGTGTAGACACAGAATAAAGTATCAAAAATCCTTTAACAAGAAATTTAAATATTTATCTAATTTTGTTTCAAAATGTTTATATTCAGTAGGATGTTTGTTTGAATATTTCGACAACAAAAAATAATTATTTATTTTATTGAAATAACTAAAACGCATTTACCTATGTAGTTTCAATTAGTTATAAAAAAAGATTTGTAATAAACTTATGTCGTTGGCCAAGGAAATTTTTTTTTAATTCAAATTTAAATTCAAATACAAATTCAAAAATGCGTGAGATTTTTGCACTAAAAACATTAAAGTTCAAAGGCAAAAGCCTTCTAAAGTTTAACAATTATCCAGAAAGCTCTCTAATAACTTTTCGCCTTTTGATTTTGTCCTTTGACGTATAACAACTGTTATTTTAGACAGAAAGCTTTTGGGTATAAGATTGAGTCTCATCCTAACCGTAAAATTGCAGGCTTTCTTAGAGTATAATACATATTTTCCGTAAACATATACCACATTATGGAAAATAAATGTTATGTTATAATAACGGTTTTGCCACAACATCCTGTTATAGAACAGCATTTCTTATACTGTCTTCTAATTGTTCTAACCATAATTTGAATGCTCCTAGAATACCCCAATATTACTAGCTTTTTTAAAAATAAAGAATTTTATAGAAGTTTGACATCACAAACTCTCCTATGCTCTTTAAATATATATTGTATAACAAAGTTTTAGTATTGACTAACTATAATACATATGAATCCTGCAATGCTTGATACAAATATAAAAGTTATCATTTGTTCAGCATGATTTTTAACAAGATTAAGTGTTCACAAAAGTATTACTTTATAATTATTGTTAGTTTATTATGTTTTTCCTTTATAATTCGACTACTTTATAAAAAATTAAAACCTTCACAATTAGTTATCATTTTCAATAAACATGCAGAAGCTATGTAGGTTACATAAAAGCTTTTAAAAGTCATTACAGATCTATTTGTTATTATCAGAATACCAACAATTGCTCTATTCCAGAACTGCAATTAAAATTTTTTATTACAATAACCGATTTTTCCTTTTTGATATGAAAAAGAATTGCAAAACTAATACATTCTTGCAGGTTCTGGAACAGGACAATAGTGAGGTCATCATACAAAGCTTTGGATTTCAATGTTTTCGTTTATACATACACAGATGCATAAAGCGTTTTCATCAACCTATGTATATATATGGAGTAATGCCAAAGCAGAACATTTAACTTGGTTCCACTTATTAGTGTTATCAATGTGTCCGACCAACATTTTAAGCTCCAAAGAAAGTTTAACTTTTCAAACACTAGTTTGACTTTTATTAAAAGTTGTTTTAAGTTGGTTATTTTATGATTTTCCTTTGTATTTGTTTCCTGGACAAAAACCACCTTTGAACTTGCATTTTTTCCCGGACTTGATAATTATATTCAAAGCTTTTAAAGCATGCATACCTTAAAAACCTAGAAAGTTACAGTCGGTTTGCTAGTACAGGGTGAGATAAAAAACTGCAACAAAGTCAAACGCCATAATTTTTAAATTTTTTATACCCTCCACCTTGGAAAGGAGGGTACATTAACATTGTCGTTCCGTTTGTAACATCACTAAATATTCGTCGTAGACCCCATAAAGTATATTTATTCATAATCAGCATAAAATTCTAAGTCGATGTCTGTCTGTCTATCCGTCTGTGAGTTGAAATCACGATACAGCCCACATTATTTGACGTAAAGATTCAAAATTTTGCAGAATAATTTGTATTGTGTCTAGGATGGTTGGTATTGAAAACGAGATATATCCGTCCATATTTTGGTATAGCTACCATATAACGGTACCTCCAGGTATTCGGTATTTTGATGATCTTTGCCACATTTTTTCACGGATTTGGCTAAAAATTTGTATTTGTTGATCATAATGGGCTCTAGCTCCGGTGGCAAAACATTGTAAAGGTCCACGATTTGGTATAGCTCCCATATAACGGTACCCCCAGATATTCGGTATTTTGATGATTTTTGCTTTCCAAAATACTCCTGACACAATAGTCCAACGAATTGGTATCCGGAGATTTTGGTTGCCATTGTGCGCTACAAATGAAGCGAGGAACGTGCTGAGTGCGATGTTGCTGAGTCCTGTTGGAATGTCCAAGGTCTGCGGTCAAAATGTTTGCATGCCCAAGGCTTTAATACACCCTTCAGAATATTTTCGCGATAATATTCGGCATTTATTCTGATGCCACGGTCGATTAACACGAGCGGAGGGCGACCATCGGCTTAATGGCGGCTCACACCATCGCCATGGCCGGCGCTTGAGTTCTGGTGGCCAACCGAAGGTGCACATTTTCAGCTGACCTCTTTGGCAAGTAAACACGATCATTTTGTTTGTTTACAAACTGCTGGACAACGAATGTTTTCTCATCGGCCAAGCGAAGCAACTCTTGTTTCTTTACTCTTCGAACCATTTCTACGCTACCAGTATCACGGTAACGAGCGCTGAAACGAGACACAACAATTTTATTCACATTCCAATACTGGAGTGCTCTAACGATAGCCACTTGTGGTTTTCCAGCCAAATATAAAGAAATCACACTATCACGCTTGTATTCCATCACGAATAACTTTTTTTCTGGAAAATTCTCACCAAAATGCTTTTGTACGCTTGTAATGAGCTGTTACTGGAATAATTTTAACAGCTGTTGGACGATTGGCTTAGAAATGTCAGCAGACGGAAATTGATTGCAGTTTTTTAATCTCACCCTGTATATGGGAGCTATAAATCTTTATATCTCTATAATATTTGGCAAAGGTATTTCTTGGCTATATCTGCTATCTGGTACCAAATATCATTGTTGTGGAGTGCATATTATGAATGTAGGGGATTTAAACAACAAATCGGGTGAAACTTATATATGAGCTTTAGCTATATTTGAACCAAATTTGTCATACTTATAGCATAAATTTTACTATATGTGCTAAAATTAGTCAAATTTTGGGTTTATATTACTCATTTAGTACACGATAAACCTGAGATCGGGCGATTATATATGAAAGCTATATTTAAATCTGGACCGACTATCACCAATATCAATAGCATTCCTCCTCTGGCCAAACAAATGATTTGTGGAAGTTTCACCTCAATGAAACGAAATAGATGCGACATGTACTTTGTTTACAAAAAAGATTCTATGCAGATCATCAAAAGGAACTACGGGTCTATCTCGTTTCTTTTATATATAGAATATAGAAGACCTGAGAAAATATCGTATTTTATGAGAACATTTTTTGATGGTGATACCTACTTTGAACTTCAAATACCACCTTTGAAACAATTTTTATGAACAATTGTGAATACAATCTCAAAATATATCGAAAATAAAAAGGTAACATTACATTAGTTCTGTATCGCAAGTTAGGTTCACCTTGACACTCTTTTGCAAATTTTCACTCCGCTGGAAATATACTAGAGTTGTATAATGTAGTTATTTTCACTACCAGACTTTCTTTCTTTTTAAAATTTGCCATTTTTCATAATTATGTTATATTGTCTAATTATAACAGCGCCATCTACACATGTGTAGTGAAGTGTCGCAGTGGTATTCAAACTGTAGGAGAAACATAACACAAAACTGTGTTCCATAGCTCTTGATGTAATGCTATAAAACATTTTCCACTTATGTTGGCATCCATAATTCATTTTGTCAACATAACCCATCCACAATCCATTGTTGTGGAACTTAGTTCCAACTTCCACAGTCTATATCCACATTCCACTTTTGTGGATCGAGTGGTATCCATTTGATGTGGATTTAGTTTATTCAGCAACCATGCTATAATTTTATGTATTTTTTATATTTCCTATAACAATAATTCAGCATATCTTACAATCTTTACAATAATTTCAATTTCTAACGAAAAAAGTGCTCTAGGGGGCGACAAAACTTTTGTTATCGATGCCCATTGGAAGTGGCGTTTGATTTAAACTTGGCGTGGACACATTAAACACGGGATAAAGTGGTGCAAATTCACTGGGTCCAAATGTGTGTTCCTCACCCTCATTGATGTTGCTACGTTGGGTGTGAATCGATTCTTCATAGGAGGGGGGAGCTGAAACAAAAAATATTTTTGTAGTCTATATTTAATAAAAATAAAATATGGCAACTCACGCATATTTGGTGTACTTAAGTCCAATGTTGGCGCATCATCTTCTTCCTTCAAGTCATTGCCAACTTCTCTGATATCACGATTACTAGCTGTGGGTTGTTCATCTATCACATTGAAGCGTCGGGTGTTGTTGGCCAGCGGAACATTGCCAATAATCACCGGCATTGTCATAACCTGAGTTTTATTTAAACTCTTCATTTTGCAGTGCATTTCAATTTGATAGACAATTTGTATAACCTTAGACCCCTGAATGCAGGTGGGTGGTGTGGCGGGAACATGCAGCTCCTCTTTCATGGCCTTTGTGCAGTAACGCAAAACAGAATCACTTTTAATTTTACTCACTGTCACCCGTTGAATATTTATACGCTGCGGCTTGGTGCTGGTGTAGCGCACCAACATGACCAACATAAATTTGACCTCTGACACCGCCATGTTGGTGTTATTGATGACAATTCCCTGCACGGGTATATTTTGACCCGGTACATAACCCGTTTGGGGGACTTTCAATTCCATCTTTAAGGGTTCTGTGGTGCAGGGGCCACAGCAGAATGTTTTGTAGGCCTCACTGGTTGAGGGGATCTGGAAGGAGAGATTTGATATAGCTTGGCCTACGAAACATTTCCATCGGACTTACCCTAATTTGTGGTGATTCAAAATTCAAATCGGTTACTCTTAATACAGTAAAGGCCCTGTTGTACACATTATCGAATTTCCATGGCCTCACAAGAGCCACCTTCACTGTATAGCGTATGTGGCCATGTATACCCTCAAAGGAGGAGGGACAGTTGTAGGGTAGTTGACATGCAAATGTGTATGTGTGTACACCAACTGCAATCGTTGCTTTGGAGCCTGGAGAATTTTTGCAAAATTATTATTTTCGTAAGAGAACATATACTTTGCGATTTACTCACTTTGTTCTGAACCCATCAAATAGGTCGATGACGACAAATAATCCTCTCGTCCATGGTACATGCGCCGTGTACTAAAATGTCTTTCGGTCCACAAAGCCTCAGCTGATCCGGATATTTTTAATAAAATGGCTATTAAAAAAAAGGAATGAAGGGAAGTTTATTCATTGATTCATTGTTTATTAAATAGCTGTGCGGATTGATAACACCAAATGCAGCACTTATTCACAAGACTATAGAGTATCTTGCCATTTCAATCTAATTGATAATAAATTGCTGACATTGATAGTGCCGATAATATTTGAGTGAATCATAAGAAGTTGGGAGATGCTTGAAAACTTTCAAACAAATATAAAAACAACAGCTAAATTATAATTTAATGAATATTTGCGGGGTTCCCATATAAATGAAACTCTGACAAAAATATTGGTAGCCTCATTTACTAATATAAATATATATATTTATATTAATATTCCCACGATTTCGACCTTGTCATATTGTCACAAAAAATTACATTTTTTTCAAATAAGCCTTCAAAGTTGTTTCACATTGGTAGGCTTATCCGAAATAACTTATACAATTATGCGCCAATGTTAGTGGGCAGGCTTAATAATTAAATTATAAAAAATAAAAGTTAGCAAGTTTGCGACTCCTTTTGGATTATCTAGAGGTCACAGATAGTGCCAATTTGCAAAATTCCCTATAAAGATAATATTATCAACCATAACCGTCGTCTATCTTATCAGAGAAAACTTGCCATGAAAATATTTAGGGAAATGGTAAAATTAATTAAAACAATGCATTTTTAATATTTTATATGTAGTGCTGGATATTTATAAAATAAAACATGTATAAGCCTACAACTTGTACTGCGAATTCAAATGTGTCAGAGCTTAAAAAATCTGCTCATGTAAATATATAGATATTACAAAGAGAGAGAGAGAGACATTTAATACTAATGCTTGTTTTCACTTGGGGGATGAAACTTGCTCGCGTGCAGAATTGTTCAAAGAGTGGGAGTTTTATACGGAATTTACTTTTTACTCTATTATTTTATGAGGGAGCGCCCCTCGAGTCACACATGTTTGAAAGAATTAGAACGGGCGTCGAATTGCTCGAAATAGAGAGCGAGCTTCACCTAAGACTGAAATCGAATAAAAAAAAAAAATATAGACTCTATGATAACCTACACCACTATGAGTATTTAGTAGAGATAACGTAACAAAAAAAATTATATTGGGGATTTATGTGAAGTAGATCATACCAAATATGCATTGTACAGTGCATGATATGACTTCAATAAGGATTATATTAAAAAATATTTATTGGAGTAATAAATATGAAAAAATCTATTCAATTTGGGCTTACAGTACGTTTATATATATGAGGGTTAACCCAATGGGTTTGGATTTAAATTGTCATATCCATTACTTTTACTTCAAATAAATCCTCTCAAAGTAGGTTAACCCTTCAAAAAGTTCTAACGTAAACATGGCATTATACTACATATATGGTGAGCAATAACCATAAAAGAAGATGAATATGCATATCGAAGCTATACAAAATCTGAACCGATCTCGATAAAATTTGGCAGACTTGTTTTCGATCAGTACCTGATGTCCGATATTAAATATCATTGTTGTGGATAACATATTCCGCTGATGAGGGAATTTAACACCAAATCGGATGAAACACATATACGGGTGTTATAGCTATATCTGAACCAATTTTCACAAACATTAAAAGCACTTGCTTTTAGAAGTGCCGAAATTCATACCATTTGGGCTGATATTAGCCAATTATTGGACAAAAATCCTGAAATCGGATAAAGATGTATATGGGATCTATAACCTAATCTGATCCGATCTCGATAAAAATTGTCAGAGCTATTTTTGAGCTTCATAAGTTATCTGGTACCAAATATCTTTCTTGTAGAGTGCATATTACGCAGGTGAGGGACTTAAAACCCCAAATCGGATGAAACATATACATGGGAGTCATAGCAATATTTGAACCGATTCACCAAATTTGATGTATTTGCTTATAGATTGAATTCAGGTCATTTGGACCGATATTGGTCACTTGGTGCACAATTAACCCGAAATCGGTTGAAGATATATATGGAAGCTATATCTAAATTTGGGCCGATCCACATTAAGGGATCGTCCTTGTAACTATGGGTCTATCTCGCTTCTTTCTTGATGTAACAAACAGATGCACAAAGACATAATACCCTTACCGCTAAGTGGTGTAGGGTATAACATGTAAGCGAAGGCTATAACTATCCGGGGTCAGCCATGTAATACTCTACAACACTATAATACATTGGAAAGCCTCCTTCATGCCAAACAAATTTTGATCGATTTCCGTTTTGAAATAATGTCACACAGTCCTGCAAAAATGTTACATTTTGTTTTTGAATGATGCCATTTGCCCAACATTCCAGTGCTGATAGGTGTTAGAAATAATTGCACACAGAAGTTATTGTCCATTTCCCCCTCTAAATATTTTCCGATGATCAAAATTGGTAGGCTTCTGCCATGTCTTAAACTCTTTTACCATGCGAAATTCCGCATCGATTGGTCTGTATTTGTGACCCGTAGAGCAACTGCAGATACAAGGATTTTTTCTATTTTTGGCTCATTTCAGCCCCTAAATATGCTGCAATCATCTCTCTCAACAATAGGCTAATATTCTGACCCTAAATTTCGTGATGGGCAGACGGACGGACGGTCACACATAGAAAGATCGTCTCAGCTCGACGAGTCAGAAAGATCTAGGGCCATTATTTCGAGGTGTTACAAACTTAGTGACCCAACCAAACACATAATACCGCCAAGAAATAGTGTTGTAGGGTGCATCTAAAAGAGTGCTCGAAATTTTAAATCCATTAAGGAGTTGAAATAGGATAACACATTTTTTTTTACAAAAATGTAAATCTTTTCGAATGAGAATACCAAATACCAGATCGTAGACAATTCAGTTGGAAAACATGGTCAGAGCTTTCAAAATTTTCTTCGAAAAATCTGAAGTTAGTTATATCAAAAATGTTGTTATAAACCAAACAGTAAATAATAGATAATTCAGTGACAAAATATGGTCAAAACCTTTAAAATATCTAATATCGGGAGATATATAATATGATTATGGCCAAAGGTCGATCCATTCAAAAATGTCAGATATTCAATGAATTGAATTAATAATATGATCTCTTATGGGAAAAAATGGAAATAAATCTGAAAATTACTGCTTTTCACAGAGCTTTTTCACTCCCGTTAGTTTGGATTTGACTTTAAGCGACTTCTAGAACACACGACAAAAATTCCTCCTCCTCATTTTGAGTAATCTTAAACGTTTTAAGAAGCTGTGACCTTCAATAATACGAAGGAAAAATGTTACAAAAATTTCCTATTTTGGCGAAGATGCCTTAACAAAATTAGGTCAGATATGGAATAATGGATAATGGAAAAATTAAACCATAATATTTAAAAAGTTTCATATACTAAGAATACAATTTTGAAATTGTATATCTGGAGCAAAAATGTTGGAAAAATTCAGAGAAAATTAGAATAAGACTCATCATCGAAATTTCTTATCTCACGTTTCCTCTCTCATTATTCAAATAGCGTCTTAATGTGCCAAAAATTTTGATTAAAAATTTTCCCCTTTTTTGAAATATGTGTTTATCAAACCACATCCCCACAAAAAAAAATGCTTCTAAATTAACTTAATCTTATCCAAAAACAATGTGCTAGCTATGTTTGTTTATAACTGTTGTTGTTTTATGTGAAACGACGAAACAATCAAAATTCTTCAGCAGTACTCTCAACTCTAGATATATTTGTTTACGGCACTGGGTTTTGTTATTTAACCGAAGTTTTTTGTTTGAAATTTCAAATATGTATTTTTCTGTTACTGCACACAATCTAAAATAATTGAAATGACTAACTATTTGGTCATTGTTTTAAATATTACCGGAATAACAAAATATGCGATAACAGAAATCACGGAGGAAAACCAAAAATAATCCCTTCACATCACATGGCCAAATAACAGCAACGAGTAGAAGATATGGATAGCTCTCTTGCGGTTCTCCTCTCATCCACGTACATCATTACATACCTTTGACTTCCTTTACTTTATCACATTTCAATACGATTTTACCGCTAACAAGCTGGCCGGCGTAATAGGTGCCCGTAGGATTCTGATCGAATTCGATGTCACAGTGAACGACCATTGTGACCAACTATTAGAGCGATACTAAATATTCGAAAGGAACAGCCACCCGTTGGCTGAATTAATTCTAATGGTTTAATTGGTGTGACCAGGTCTCTCCGGCGTAACTGACATTGATAAGCACTGTGGCCGTCGTGCGGTCGTTGTTGTTGTCGCCAACGTCAGGAATGTCGCAAAATTTTGGAGCGTCATTTTTTTGTTGTGTGTTTTATCACAAAACAATAACACAATGAATCGGAATTGGGAATTTGTTGTAGTTAAAACGTGTGTTTTGGCTACTTTAAAAAGAAGGTGACAATGTGTGTTTGTGTGTAGGTATTTGGACAAGAGGGGGACTCTTGGGTACATACGATAAGCAAGTACGAGCAGGAGAGTCAAGTTGTGCTCCCTATTGACACAGAGCAGTTTGTGAACGATATGGAATTGAAATATACGTTCAATGATATTTTTCTCTGGGTAAATAACAATATTTGAGATAATAACGAGAGAAATGCAGTAGATATTTGACAATGTGTTTTGGTTAAGAATTATAAAGATACAAGACAAGTTCATTCCGATTTCTGGGGCCTGCAATGCAGTCTTAGAAACATATCGAGGCAGTAGAAAACTGTTTTTTTATGAAAATACTAAAAAAATGTTGATGGGCTGTTTTTCGAAAGTGGTTTTACAACTCGAAATGTTATTCGAATCCCAACTCGAAGTAAATATTTTCAAAAAAAGTGTTTAGATTATCATTTATTTCACATTCTGGTGACTCGAACAAAACAAAAAATCGAAAATGTAAATTATTGAAAAAATAATTTCAGTTTCGTTTTTAAAACATTGCTCTATGTAATACAGAGTAATATGAAAAAAATTGACAACTTTTGAAAACGAATAAGGGGAACGTAGGCGATGTGTGTGCGTGTAACAGTACATTATATTTTATCTCGTGTCTCACAACGTGCAAAATTTGAAGATCCTAAAATTGGTTTATAGAATATGTAATGTATACGTTGGGCGCCATATATGCTTTAGAGTTCATGTAATTGAATTTCATTTATGATGTATACAAGGTGAGATGAAAAAACTGCAACCAACTTCAGACTGCTGTGATTTCTAAGCCACTCGTCCGACAGTGGTTACAAGCGTACAAAAGCATTTTGGTGAGAATTTTCTAGAAAAAAAGTTATTTGTGATGGAATTCAGGCGTGATAGAAAATGTAAATAAATCTTTTGTGTCTCGTACCATCGCTCGTTACCGTGATACTGGTAGCGTAGCCCGACGTCAAGGAGGTGGACGGAACAAAACAGCAATCGAAAAGTCAAGAAGCGTTGCAGTGACCGAAAAATGGCTCGTGAGCTGAACATATCGCAATATTCCATTCGCAAATATTAAAAAATGAGCTCGGGGTGAAGCCATTGAAATTCCAAAAAGTGCAATAACTTACACCACAACAGAAAGAAAAGAGACTCAAAAGAGCTAAAGAGTTGCTTCGCCTGGCCGAAAGTGGTGAACTGCCGAATTTAGTTTCCTCCGATGATCGTGTTCACTTGCCAGAGAGGTTGGCCACCAGAACTCAAGCGCCGGCCATGGTGATTGTGTGGGCCGCCATAACATCTGATGGTCGCTCTCTGCTCGTATTAATCGACCGTGGCATTAAAATAAATGACGACTATTATCGTGAAAATATTCTGGAGGCTGGACTCAGCACCATCGCACTCAGCACGCGCCACCCAAGAATGGTTACAAAATGAGGTTCCTAGCTTCATTTCCAGGGCACAATGGCCGCCAAAATCTCCGGATACCTATCCGTTGGAGTGTTTTGGAAAGCAAAAAATACCGAAGTGTCGATCGCCTCAAGAAGTGGCTTCGCCGAGAATTGGCAACATTTGAGCAGCGTGTAATGGTTTCATTCGCCGTTTGAAGGCCATAGTTCGTGCCAAAGGTGACCAACTCGAACAAATCTAAACTTATTCTAAAAATTCATGCTATTTCCGACATTTGTTGCTTTCATTCAATAAAATTTAAAAAAAAAAATAAAAATTTTTTTCCAGTTTTTTTTGCCAAAATGCCACTCAAATGTTTTTTTTTCGGTCCCTTAAATTTTTTGTCCCTTGAATTGGTTATAAATGGTTACGACTTTCTACGACAGAAAATTACTCATGAAGGTCCACATCTTCGTATGTCCCTCATAAAAAGTTACCTTCCGATTTTCGGTATAATTCCGATTTTAGCCATATTTCTCAACGGGATTATCCTAAATTGGCATTTGGAGTTCCTTCTTTGGCAGATAATTGGCTATACCCTATAGTTGGTGGAGGGTATCTCTATCTCTTTCTAGTATGTCAGGCTCAAAATGTATAAAAACGTGCAAGAATTGTAAAACAGATTCTTGAATATTGCTGGGGAATATATATCACCAGACAGATTTTTTACAAATCGTGTACAGATATCTTAAAATGTAATTATATAATCTACCCATATATAACGAAATGATAAGAGAACGATTTTCAACAAATAAAACACTAATCAAATGTTTGGTATATCATAGCCATGTTGATTTATTTGGATCTGTTTCAGTGGGTGGCAGAAAACCATTCTCTTGACTTTCCTTTATCGATGGACTGGGAATATTAAATACGGGATATTTTGGCGCAAAAGTCTTCTCGCCATAGTCATGTTTTTCAGAATCGGCCAATTGCGCCTGTGGCATATGTACAGCTTCCTCGAAGGTGGGACAAGCTATGGGAAAGCAAAATGTTATTCATTCATTTCGGAAAACTATATAAGTTTTGCAATACTTACGAATGCTATCATTAACGGCCCATGGTTGACTGTTTGCATTGTCCACTTCATCGACATCTCCATCGCCGGTAAATGTTCTTCCATTCGCTGCCGCCATCGGTTGTTGTTGTATGACATTCATAAGCGGTACATTGCCAATTGTCACGGGGATATGTATGACTTGGGTGGGATAGAAAATCCCCTTCATTTTGGCCTCAACCTCAATGCGATAGGCCACCTGTATTATTTGGCATAAATTGAAGCAAGTTGGTGGGGTGGCCGGCACTGGGAGCAGATAATTGAATTGTTTTTTACACAATATCGGTACTGGGTCACCCTTTAACTTGGATACAGTCATGTAATCATTGACCGCCTTCACAATTGGCCTCTGGCTATACAGACACACCATCATAACCAAGCGGACGTTAATTTCGGTAATTTGAACTTTGGTATCATTGGTTGCCACAATGCTGATGGGTATAAGCTGACCGGGAACATAGCCAGATTGTGGAAGGTGTATTTGGATTTGCAGAGGATCGGTTTTCATTGGGCCACAACAGAAGACCTTGGACATTTCATTGTTGACGGGCATCTGTAATGGAGGCAGAGGCAATTAGTGTATATTTGTAAAAAAATTAAAATTTTGAAATTTAATTGAAAATGGGTGGTGCACCTTCAAAATGTATAATATTGGGAGATACTGGTTAAACTTGATGCTAATTGAATTATACAGATTTTTAAGATATACTTTCTTCTCACTGGTAACGAAGCGAATTTTTTATACCCTTCACCATTTGGAGGAAACTTAAAAATTTTCAAAAGAAATTCCGTCGAAAAATACGCTAAAGCCATTGAAATTCCAAAAAGTTCAAGAACTTACACCGCAACTGAAAGAAAATACACTCAAAAGAGCTAAAGAGTTGCTTCGCTTGGCCATAAGTGGTGAACTGCAGAATTTGGTTTTCTCCGATGAGAAAACATTCGTTGTCCAGCAAACAAAATGATCGTGTTTACTTGCCAAAGAGGTCTGCTGCCGGCCATAGTGTTCCGCTCGTATTAATCGACCGTGGCATCAGAATAAATGCCGAATATCACGAAAATATTCTGGAGGGTATATTAAAGTCTTGGTCACGCAAACATTTTGGCCGTAGACTTTCCAGCACACAATGGCCCCCAAAATTTCCGGATACCAATCCGTTGGACTATCGTCTATGGAGTATTTTGGAAAGCAAGGTTTTCACTAAGAAATACCAAAGTGTCGATCACCTCAAGCAAGCGCTTCTCGGGGAATTGGCCAAAATACCGCAGAGCAACATTCGAGCAGCATGTGACGGTTTCATTGGCCGTTTAAAGACCATAATTCGTGCCAAAGGTGACTTATTCAAACAAATCTAACGTTATTCTAAAATATGATGATATTTGCGACATTTTTAGCTTTCTTTGATAAAATTAAAAAAAAAGCAAAAAATAATATCGTTTGACTTTGTTGCAGTTTTGGTTTTTCAATACCAATCATTTTTGACACAATTCAAACAATTCTGCCAAATTTAAAAGCTCTAAGTTAACTAAAATGGGCTACATCACATAAGATTGAAATATATTTTAACATGCCAAGTTCCGAAAAATCGTATATTTCCAAGACAGAAATGAATTTTATCCAAATATTAAAGGGTATATACCCACTGTATCCATGAGACTGTATTCATGCATAGGGTTGAATTTGGTAAGATTCGAATTTTATATGAAAACCCAGAAATATGATTTCAAAATTTCTTCGAAATAGTTAAGAACTTTGAAAAATAACAAAAATTTCCCCCTATAAAAACTCCGAAATATTTACAGTTGTTCAAAATAGAGAGCTAAGCCTAAATATCTAAGCTTAAATATCTTCCATCTTATCACTCACTTTTCACATAAGGCAAATAACCAACAGCGAAAACCCAATGGAAAATATACGAGTTTTTTTTAATTTCCCCTCTCTAAAATGTATCTCATATACTTACCTTCAAAAGCGGTGTATCGTAATTTAAATTCATGATTTTGAGAACGGTAAAGCCTCTGGTATAGGTCTGGTCAAATTTCCATGGTCGCACCAGATCAACTTGGATTATGTAACGTATGTGGCCGCGGTTACCCTCAAACGAAGATGGACATGTTGTGGGGATGTGGCAAGCAAAATTAAAACTATGGACACCCGGCTCAATGATAACTGGAGTATCTGCTCAACAAAACATATCTTTTTTTAAATTCTCTTCACATTTCCATATTCAAATTACACTAACCTGACGAGCTTTGGCTTAGCAATTGGGTTACCGAATTTATATAATCAATATGTCCCGTATAGGATGTGCTCTTATCATCGGTTCCTTTCTCCGACCAATATGTATGGGCATATCCATTTATCTTCAAGACCACAGCTAAACAAAATCAGAATCAAGTGGCGATAAGTTTTTTCTTTTGTGCAGTTGGCAAATATGAGTCACGGGGATTTTTGCACTCAGAGGCTGGCTTACCTTTAACTTGTTTTACTTTATCGGCCGACAAAACGATTTTCCCTGTCAACACTTGGCCAGCGAAAAAGCATCCCTGGGGATTATTTTCGAATTGTATGTCACAGTTGACAACCATTGTTGTTGTTTGTTTCTTTGCAGTATTTTCCTCAATTCATTCAAAAGGGGAAAATTTAAATAATTAACACCAAAACGTAACACACAAACACTTGGCAAAGAACCCTACCAAACGGGGTTAACATCGACTAGTGACTGTATTGATTTACCCTCCACGGTTAAATGGAACTTCGAACAAATGTTGTTCCAAAACTCTGGTAAACAATCAATGCAAAAAGTCCCCTCTCCACAGTTATCAGAACATTGTTTATCAACTAATGATAATAATGAACGAACGTGCGTTGGTTCGTTCGTTCGCTCGTTCTCTTTGGCAAATAGGTACCCCAAACAAAAAGGCAGAAAGGCTAATTTAAAAGCTGCAAAGTTCCACATTTCAGCTTCTGGAATTTTGTATTTGCGTCTTTGTGGTATTTTTCTAAAATATATTTTTCAGTAAAAATAGATTGCTGTGTAATGTGTCACTTATCGGTTGTAACATGAACTTGAAATTCGTTTGTCGAACTTCGGATACGAAATGTGACCGATAAGATTTTTCTACATATTTTTGAAAAAAAAAAACAAAATAGTGAATGAAATTCGAGGGTGGCATTCTTGTACGAGGTTGTGCTGTTGAAATAGAGATCTAAGCTAATAATGTAGTTATTCAAAAAGGCAATGAGTCATAAAAGTGAAGCCCCTTTTTTATCAATACAAGAGCCGTTAAAAATAACTGAACAGTCATGGTTTCAACTAATTTCAAAATGCACAGAAAAATAGAGACGAAGCTGCGTACGGCATCCTCCTCCATTAGGAAATCTTTTTTAATTGCATAATCGATTTTAATTAATTAATTAAATAAATATTTTTGGTAAGTTCTTTTATGATATTTCAGAATTATAATCATCGTTATGGGCATGTCATTCTTAAATTCATCCGTAGAAGATTTTTATTATTATTTGCATAATTTTTTGGAATTGTGAATTTGATATAGAGAATTTTATGGACCTTTTGCTTTCTACTGTCTACTAAATGCATTTTAGCAGCGACTTTCGGATAACGAATTTCCTACCGAAATGACTGTCATCAGACTGTATAAAATAAAATATGCCAGAGCTGTACGCAGAAATGCATTTCGAACTTCGAGGGTAGCAACCTTTTTAAAAAAAAAAATCTTGAGCTATGAATAAACTATATTTAAGTTAGAGCTATATCCACACCATATGTCCAATTTTTTAAATAAATGAAAGTGCCGAAATAGTGGACAATATTGTAAATTATCGCAATTAATCTATATCTTTAGTGGGATTCTCTAACTCATTTTTGGCGTTGCCGACACAAATCGGTAAAATAAAAATGCTCTCAATTTCGTTAATCAACGATAGTTATGCCCTACACCACATAGTGGTAAGATTTTGAGGTTCTTCATAGAATCACTTTCTGAGTCGATTTATGCATGTCAGTCCGTCCATTTATCCATGTATTTTTTTTAACAAAACGCAGGTCGCATTTATTATACGATTGAGATAAATTTTTCCAAACAATATTGCTTTGGCCCAAGGACGAACCATATTGAAATAGGTGAGAATCGGTTCAAATTTAGATACCTGATTATGATATCTGATACCTGCATTATTCCATTCGCAAATATTGAAAAGTGAGCTCAGGGTAAAGCTATTGAAATTCCAAAAAGTGCAAGAACTTACACTGCGATAGAAAGAAAATATACTCAAAAGAGCTAAAGAGTTGCTTCGCTTGGCCGAAAGTGGTGAACTGCCGAATTTGGTTTTCTCCGATGAGAAAACATTCGTTGTCCAGCAATTTGTAAACAAACAAAAGTTATCGTGTTTACTTGCCAAAGAGATCAGCTGAAAATGTGCACCTTCGGTTGGCCAACAGAACTCAAGCGCCGGCCATGGTGATGGTGTGGGCCGTCATAACAGCCGATGGCCGCTCTCCGCTCGTATTAATCGACCGTGTCATCAGAACAAAGTCCGAATATTATCGCGAAAATATTCTGGAGGGTGTATTAAAGCCTTGGGCATGCAAGGATTTGGGCGCAGACCTTGGACATTCCAACAGGATTCAGCACCATCACACTCAGCACGCGCCAGCAAAGATTGGTTACAAAATGAGGTTCCTCGCTTCATTTCCAGCGCACAATTGTTGCAGTTTTTTTTTATCTCACCCTGGTTAGTGTTAGGGTCAGAATTAAAACCTTTTTTTATACCCTCCACCTTGGAAAGGAGGGTATATTAACTTTGTCATTCCGTTTGTAACATCCTTAAATATTCGTCTTAGACCCCATAAAGTATATATATTCATAATCAGCATAAAATTCTAAGTCGATTTAACGATGTCCGTCTGTCTGTCTGTCCGTCTGTCTGTTGAAATCACGATACAGCCCACATTATTTGACGTAGAGCAAAATTTAGCAGAGCTATTTGCATTGTGTCTAGGATGGTTGGTATTGAAAATGAGATATATCGGTCCACGTTCTGGTATAGTCCCCATATAACGGTACCTCCCGATATTCCGTATTTTGATTATTTATGCCACGTTTTTTCACGGATTTGTCTGAAAATTGGTATTTGTAGGTCATAGCAGGTCCCTGAGCGTGTGGCAAAACATTGCATGTATGGGTCCAAAATTTGGTATAGCCCCCATATAACGGTACCTCCAGATATTCGGTAATTTGATGATTTTTGCAACATTTTTTCACGGATTTGTCTGAAAATCGGTATTTGTTGGTCATAATGGGTTCCAGCTCCGGTGGCGAAACATTGCATGTATGGGTCCATGATTTGGTATAGCCCTCATATAACGGTACCTCCCGATATTCGGTATTTTGATGGTTTTTGCCATTTGATGATTTTTGCCACATTTTTTTCACGGATTTGTCTGAAATTTGGTATTTGTTGGTCATAATTGGTTCCAGCTTCGGTGGCGAAACATTGCATGCATGGGTCCATTATTTGATATAGCCCCCATATAAAGGTACCTCCCGATATTCGGTATTTTGATGGTTTTTGCCACATTTTTTCACTGATTTGTCTAAAAATTGGTATTTGTGGGCCATAATGGGTCCTAGTTCGTGTGGCGAAACATTGTAATTATAGGTCCACGTTTTGGTGTAGCCCCCATATTACGGTACCTCCCCATAATCGGCATTTTAATGGTTTTTGCCACATTTCTTCTAATTTTTATTTTACCCTAAGGTGGAGGGTATTAAAAGTTTGGCCCGGCCGAACTTAATGTTTTTTTACTTGTTGTTTTTTTTGAAGATGTACTTTTGAGGAGTTCAAATAGACCAAAATTTAAAATTTTAGAATTTCCCTGATTTTGCAGTCGCTCTACAGGTCAAAATTGAAAACCAATCGACACGGAGTTTTACATGAGAAGAGAGTTAAAGACAGGGAAGAAGTCTAGCAGTTTGGAAGACCATTGGATTATATTTAGCTTAAAAATGGACCACAATATTCGTGTGAAATTGTTTTGAATGCCTAACAATTCGACGGAGTGCGTAAATATTGGGAAAATGCCCCTGGTAAAATCTGGGCAGTGCTCTATGATATCATTTCAAAAACGAAATCTTCAAATATATATTTGGACATAAGGGCAAATACATTGAAGTGTAAAGATAGGACAAGACAGAGTCAAAAAATTGCAACCTGTGAAAATACCTATTGTTATATTGTTATGATATCATAACAATATAGTTGCCAATGTTAACTGATTTTAACCACTAAGGTAATATGCAAATTTTTGGAAAGATCTATGGAATATAATTTTGAAACCACATTTTCGGATTTTTCAAACTTTTGTTTGTCATTCGTTTCCGTAATTGTGGATTTTATAGTAACATGCCTCTGTCATGAGCTGTTACTCTATGTATTGTAGACACAAACCATTTGCTCAAAATGCATATTGTCTAGTCGTTACTATTTTAGGTTTTTAATAAAGAGGCTTCCAACATATTGTAATGGTGTAGGGTATCTTATTGTCGGCCACGCACGAATATAGCTCTTGCTTACTTGTTATATATAAAAATACCAATAGGTAGGGTGTCTTCTCGCGAAATTTTTCTGGGTGTTCTGTCTTTGTTCATTTGTTTATAACAGCCATAAGGAGTCAACGTAGACCCGTGATAGCCGTCTGAATCGATATTTGCATTTCCAATTGTTTGTCTGTCCGTGTACTTTTGGAAACAAAGTTCAGGTTGCATCTAACATACGATTTCCAACAGTTCATTTGCACATACCCTGTTGAAACTAGTGATAATCGACTCAGATTTGGTTTTAGCCTTCATAAAGAATACATCGGTTTTAATATAATACAACAAATGTGTAATATATTCCGCCACCAGATGAACAGACAGGGTCAATTTTTTAAGTTGAAATATTGGTGAATCTTATCTCCAAATTAGGGCTTTTGTGGTGAATTGGGCATAACATTTTCCATGGTACCATGTTATCTCTTTCAGCAGCAATAATTTCCATTAAATCCATTAAAGAAATCTATTATACCATACATTTTTATTTACATCTACACTCTTGATAATGACTAATTTGATGAAAAATGTATGAACATATTACGTCAAATATATCATGAAAGATAAATTATCAGATTAAATGACGCGAATGCAAAAGATAGCTTAAAAACGTTCTTTCACTATTTCCAACCCAAATTTTCATTTTAGTGCAATCATAGTTTTCCACCTTAGAAAATATCAATTTATTATGTTCCACAAAAATATTTTTAGATTTCCAGTCTAGATTTATTTTCTATTTTATAAATATTGGAGCAGCGCTGAAATGTTTTGTCATATTGTATAATAAATTCCCCTTTAATTTTTTTAAATATAAAACACTCAAGTTACCGTCAAAATAAATGTTTTTATGGCCAAAAAAATACATTGCTGTCATAAAATGAACGGTAAATCTCACATAACACGATATAGGTTTTCAATATATCATGTCAATACTCATGGCAATTGAAAATATAAATCATTATATTGTTACGAAGAAACTTGCAAAAATTTGTCAACTTTAAAAACATGGTGTTATGAATTACCAAAATTAGATTCTCTGATAACAAACAAACGTGTTCCCCGATGCTCACCTGTATTTTATTGGTATTTGATTCAAATCCCAATCTACAAATGACGTTCGCGTTAATTGATCTACAATTTACCATTTGTTTTGCTTACAAACAATGAGTTGCATATATTGTTACGGCATACATCGCTGCTACTGCGATTATTCAAATTCGATTCTGTCACTTAAGCCCCCCCATCAAGTAAACACCAAATCTCAATAACAAAACGAAAAACAGACAGTCGCTTCATTGCTCATCACCTTAGCCGTTAACTGAATTTTTTTCGTGTGTAGGCCCGAGCGCAGAGCAGAGACGAATTTTGAATTTTGTCAGCTACACTCACACAACTATGCAATCTTATCTCAATCTAAAACGAATCATAACAACAGTTATTGGATACAACTTCACAACAAGTTGGCCGAGCGATCGTAGTCAGTTAAAAACCTAAAGCGTTGCGTTAAACTGCTGCGGAAAACATTAAAAAAAAACGCACAAAAAACTAGAATGTGGCCAAGTGAACAACTTTGATAGTCGAAACCGAAAACCAAGCCATGGCTAATAATTGTGTTATAACATTCGATCAAAATGAATACGGAACTTATTTTACGGGTCAATTGTTGACGGGAAAAGTAATTCTGACCCTAAATAAATCGAAAAAGTTCAAAGGTAGAGATTGAGAAAAATGGAAGAGAAATTGTGAGCAATATAATATATGTATATTCTCATTCCATCAATCTTAATGCAGTAGAACAATGATAGTTATATACATATATATTTATAATTACTCAGTGACTCAGTTGATAAAATTAGATATAACAACAACAATTATAAAATACTTATACAAAAACATTAAAACCGGGAATATTCCAATAAACAAATTAAACTGTGACACAAATCGCCGGTCAAAGTCTGGGAAGTTTGGGGGATTAAAGATCTTAAAAACCCTAAGGTCATGAAACCTAAAGATACATGGGCGATAAATCCAATCTGTCATCTTTTTGGATATTTTTCAATGTTGTCTTTTATACGTTATTCATCATCCTAAAATTGGGGAAATCAGTCCAGCGGTTCTTGACTTATAATCAGAATAACTAAGATCTATTTCTTCCACATATACAGGGTGAGATAGAAAAACAGCAAAGAAGTCAAACGCCACAATGTTTACAATTTTTTTTAATTTTATTGAATGAAAGGAAAAAATGTGGGAAATAGCATCAAATTTTAGAATAAGTTTAGATTTGTTCAAAATGGCCAATGAAACCGTCACACGCTGGCCGAATGTTGCTTTGCGATATTTTGGCCCATTCCCGGCGAAGCGCTTACTTGAAGTGATTGACACTTTGGTATTTTTTAGTTCCAACCTTGCTTTCCAAAATACTCTAGACACAATAGTCCAACGGATTGGTATACGGAGATTTTGGTGGCCATTGTGCGCTGGAAATGAGGCGAGGAACCTCATTTTTAAACAATCTTTGGGTGGCGCATGCTGAGTGCGATGGTGCTGAGTCCTCTTGGAATGTCCAATGTTCTAGCTCCCACTAGAATATTTTCGCGATAATATTCGGCATTTATTCCGATGCCACTGTCGATTAGTAAGAGCGGAGAGCGATCATCGGCTGTTATGACGGCTCACACCATCGCCACCACACAGGCGCATGAGTTCAGGTGGCCAACCGAAGGTGCACATTTTCAGCTAACCTCTTTGGGAAGTAAACACGATCATTTGTTTGTTTACAAACTGCTGTACAACGAATGTTCAGGTTTTATCATCGGAGAAAACCAAATTAGGCAGTTCACCACTTTCGGCCAAACGAAGCAACTCTTTAGCTCTTTTTAGTCTAATTTCTTTCTGTTGCGGTGTAAGTTTTTGCACTTTTTGGAATTTCAATGGCTTTACCCCGAGCTAATTTATCAATATTTGCTGAATGGAATATTGTGATATGTACAGCTCACGAGCCATTTTTCGGCCACTGCGACGCGGGTTTCGATCAAGTCGCTGCCCTACTTTTCGAACCATTTTTGCTGATGTTTCTGTTTTCTTCCGTCCACTTCTTTGACGTTGGTCTACGCCACCAGTATCACGGTAACGAGCGATGGTATGAGACACAAAAGATTTATTCACTTTTAAATGCTGGTGTGCTCTAACGATAGCCACTTGTGATTTTCCAGCCAAATATAAAGAAATCACGCTTGAATACCATCACGGATAACTTTTTTTCTGGAAAACTCTCACCAAAATACTTTTGTACGCTTGTAAATAATATAATGAGCTGTCACTGGAATAATTTTAACAGCTGCCGGAGGAGTGGTTTGGAAATGACAGCAGTCTGAATTTGGTTGTAGTTTTTTCATCTCACCTTGATATTAATACATAAATCGTATAAATCACCCAGAATAAGAATGTGATGGACAAAACGAACTGTACAGAGTATGACTATTCACACTTCCCGATTTCCATGGCAGCAGATTTGATATTAAGTGTGGCTTCGGGTTAAGTCAGAAAACACTTCCTTTGCAAAGTCTGCCTCTAATTCTCCCCATTATTCAAAACAGTTATTCAAATTTTAAAAATTTAAAAAATCTGCTTAAAATACCTTTTAAAGGATTTTTTGTTGAAAACGTTTGTAAATATTTCTTTAAGGTAGTACATAAATTGTTTGGAATATTTTAAATAATCTTTATAAATTTCTGCTTATCTTATCTTTTGATAACCAAAAGAAAACAAGAAACCAAAGCTAAACACACAAACAAAACAAACGCTTGACGCCCGTCAAACCTGGAGTCGCGCTAGATATCTTATCTATCTCTTTATTATGAGTATGCAATTTGTAACACAGCATATGCCCAGCATTTGGATGACAAAAAAACTATAGCAAAACCAAAACTAAGAGCCAATATTATTAGATTAAAATACCATTAATGGCAACTGTTTGTTAAGTAACCGGAAAAAATTATAATTTTTATCAATCCCTTATGTTTTTTGCTTAATTTACCAGGTATTAAATTACAAATATGCGGTTATGCCCAGTGTCAGTGGCGCGAACGACATGGCCGCAAGAAACCCATCTACAAATCCAATCTGAAACGCAAGCATGTTTATCATGGTCATGAAGATTACATTGCGTCGACAACATTTTTAGTTGGCTCTGAGGGTGGTTCGGTTTTTTCCATAGAATCAGGAACACACACGTATTCCTTTGCTTGTCCCATACCCGTGAACTGTCCTTCGTCATTTGAGGGAGCCTACGGGCATGTTCGTTATATGGTTAAAGTTACCACCATCCGACCGAGTACCTCCAATCGTACCTACAGTAAAGGTTTCACGGTGCTGAAAATGATGGATTTGAATCGGGAAACGGAATTACTGAAGGTAAAACAAAATGTTTATCTCTCAATACGTTAAATACCTTAAAAGAGTGAAATTTCAAAACAAAAATCCCAATAGATTTTTGACAATTTTTTAGTCAGTTATAACCTCTGTTTTTTCCGGAACATGTGTTTTCCTTACTTTTCAGAGTCCAGCCTACAACGAAAGCATGGAGAGTTTTTGCTTCTTTACATCCCAAACCGTGAATCTACGTGTCGATCTAATGCAAACGGGCTATGTGCCTGGCCAAATGATTTTGGTTAGTTCGCATATTCAAAATAACACCAGCACTGATGTCAAGAAGCTAATGATCTGCTTGAATTTGCGAGCCACATATGTCTCGGATACACCCTGCATGCGAACATCCAGCGAGAAATTGTGTTTGGTGAAGAAATATTGCGGCACAGTGCCACGACACAGTGAACGAGATTATGCTGAAGTTATACGAGTACCGGCCACACCACCCACCTGTGATCACCTGAGTAAAGTCGTGCGCATTTCCTATGAAGTCTGTGTGGTGGCCATAATGAATCATTTGATGCGTAATCCCAAATCCGTAATACCCATAACAATTGGCAATGTTCCATTGATTACTCCCAGTGCCCCGGTTGCCCAGCCCAGCATTGATGATGTGCCCACAACATCAGCGTGTGCCATGCAAAGGGCCGATGGCAACGACCACAGTTTGCTGAGTGAGGAGACTGAAGTAGAGTTTGAAATGCGTAAGTCAGGGAAAAATATTCTTTTGAGAGTTGAAATCTTTATCACATATTTTTGTTTCCAGCTCCTCCCACTTATGAGGAAGCCATGTTTATGACCACCAACATTGCCGATGATGATGCCAACACGGTAAGTGAACAGGCCCAATTTACTCCCCGATACCCGGTCTTTGATGTCGATGATGTTGTCATACCCTCCATGGGCCAAACTCCACCACCAAATCCTCCGATCAAAAAGAAGAAGAGAAAAAAGAAGACAAATCCTCAAATGGAAAATATTGAAAAGGAAAAGCCACCAAGAGAATCGCCAGTAGAAATATAATCCTATCAACTATGTTCACTTATATATACATGCATATATATATAAATATATACTTACATATATTAAAATGCTATTTAATATGAAGTCAAGTTGTAAGAAAATTCCTCAGATTTAATGCTCAGCGCTTATAAGTCGGGCGAAAAGGATGAAGTCGATTTTCAACCAATTTTCGATTATTTAAATATATTTTGACTTCTGTTATGATTATTTAAATGTTTGACCCTCTATGGAGTAGGTTCCGAAGGAATAGTCCAATGTTGTCCATTTCGTTTCGGACCAGAATATATATGATACAAATATTGCGACGTGCCAGGTTTGATATAGAATCACTGTCTTGTTTTGCAAGTTATGAGAGATTAAAATATTGAAAATTGTGTGACCCTTTGTGGGTGAGTTCCAGAAGGGGTTCGCAAATATATAACATCTTCAAAGCAGATCTTGTGTTAGCAAATACATTCGTTTAAGTGACATTCAAAGAAAGTTGGATACTTATTTTGATTTCTTTGAGCTTTTTGTTTTTCAAAATCTTTAACCCTGTACCAGAAAAAGTGGTTCGATCTCTACCATTTTTATAACAGAGCTTATGTTGATGGAAATATTGACATGTACTAAGTCTGAATGAAATCGGATCTTAATTTCGCGTTTTATGAGCTTCATGGATATTGAAAATTTTTAACCTTTTATGTGAAATATGACGACAATTGAATGCATATTCCGGATTTTATAATCATTTTGGTTATTGAAAACTGTGGCCCTTTGTGGGGGATGTACATAAAAGATCTTTTGTTGATAGAATCATTGTGATATGTGTAGACATTCGGACTCTTACATCACATTTTATAAGAATTATAAATATTCAAAATGTTGACCCTTTGGGGGAGAGGTACTTGTTGGAGTGGACCGATACTGTCCATTTTCGTACCTGACCTAGCACTGATGTAAATATTGGAATTTGCAAAGTTGGAGAAATTATTTATTTGATTTATTTATTTTTTTCGGGTACCAGAAGGAGTGAACATATATTACCCATCTCCGACTCGATTTAAGTTTGATAATAATATTACGGTGTACGCACCAGCCAGCCAGGCGGACGGACGGACGGACATAGCTGGATCGACTCCAAATGTTCTGAAACGGATTTGGTCCAAAGAGACCTGAAATCTAAAACCGTTATTTTAATGAGGCACGTTTTGACCCTCTGTAGCCATATGAATAAGGGTATAACTACTGTAATTAACCATAACTTATGGTGTGAGGGGGTTCTGAATTGGAGTTGACGTGGAAAGTTGTATTGAAAAATAGTAAATGTTATAAATACTAAACAGTACTTAATACCTAAATTTACTAAAATGTAATGTCGGAACCAGAATTCTGCACTAGAACCTAGACATTTTGCATAATTGGTACAAAGCATGAAATAAAGTGGAGGGTCACTATTGTTGAGAAGTTGTGAGATAAGTCGAGATATTTGGAAATTCATTATTTGAAGGCACTAAAAGAATCAAATGTTAGTTATTATTCTAATGGTATTAAATTTCATTGCGGGGATTGAGGGATTTTCTACTACTTTTATGTTTTTTTAGAAATAAACCCTGCCATAAAGCCATACAGGAACCCAATTTATTCAAAATAATTACGTTTTTCAAGAAAATTGAAATTCGCCATACTTTTTGGACAAATCCCGTATATCATAGACATGCACATAAATCTCTCTCTTTCTCTCTCTCTGCCTCTCTCTCTCTCTCTCTCTCTCTCTCTCTAAAAAGTATGTCCTTAACTCTAAACAATTTTTAAGACCTTCCTCTATAAAATATCAAATGGGTCAATTTTTTTTTTTTTTGTGGACCCAATTCCTTCAAAGTTCAACAGGTCTGATTCTCTTCTCTTAAATGCCAATGTTGATAGTGATATCTAAAGAGAAACCCAATATCCAATAGCATACGTCACACAAGCGGTCATCGCAAAATTATCTAATTACCAAGGCAGGCAACCAATTTATAATGTTCTGCATTTATAATTTCCCCTGTCTATAAATACGCATATCTTGTAAGACCGGTATATCAGTACTCAAAAGCGATTCGTTTACCGCTGTCATAAATTTGACTAGAAAATAGACAAAAAAAAAAATAAATAAAAATCATTAAACTATGCCTTCGGTGTGTAAATTTACGCTGGACCATCCAAATGCCGTTTACTACTGCGGTCAGACCATTAATGGAACCATTAGCCTGACTACGACCTCGGAGAAAAATATTCGACGTAAGGCGCTTCTTTCTAAATACTAGTACTACTACTTCAAATCATATTACCTATTCTCCATTACAGATGCCAGCATTATATTCCTGGGCGAGGGCAAGGTAAAGTGGGAGGAGTCAACAACGTCTACGGATGCCAAAGGCGTTGCTATAACGACTACGATTTACTACAGTTCTCATGAAGTTTACATCAGCAATAGGACAACCGTACGCGGCCAGGGCACCTTACCCGTGGGCGTGCACACCTACACGTTTAGGATTAAAGTACCCATGGACTGTCCCACGTCCTGTGAGGGACGGTATGGGCACATTCGTTATGCTATTTCGTTAAAATTAAATCGTGTATTACGTTTTGATAATACCTATTACAAACCACTAACTGTCTTAAAAAGGGTCGATTTGAACAAATATCCCACTTTCAAGGTAGGACCCTCGATTCTTTCCCTTTAGAGCAATAATAACAAATGTCTTTGTAATAGCTTCCTCTTTTGACTGAACAAAATGCAAGTTTATGTTGTTGGCCCTGTAATAGTGGCAAATTATTGTATTCCCTGCAAACACCATTTGGTGCCTACACTCCCGGACAAACAATCAAGTTCTCGCTTGGCATACACAATAATTCGATGGTGGACACCAAGGGTTACCACGTGGATTTTATACAGAAAATGACATTCACAGCCCATTCACCCAACCGCAGTCATCAGTATGAGAGACGTATTTTAGTCAGGAAAATCTCAACGGATATATGTCGTCGTCTGACCAATTGCATATTTAATGGTGAACTCCGTGTACCCTCTGTGCCGCCCACAACTGAACCAGCTAATATTATTTATATCGAGTACAAATTGAAGGCAACAATAATAATGACCGGTTGTCACAAATCCAGGGATGTATCCGTACCCATATTTATTGGCAACATACCATTGCTAGAAAGTTTACCCAGCAATGCTGAGAGAATGGAAATGCCACCAAGTGCTCCAAAAATGGCGACAGCAGAGGAAAATTTAAATCCAGAAATGCCACCCAACTACACTGATATAAGTAAGTACATGAAAAATTCTAATAAAATAGTGTACTTTTAATTATTTATGACTAATTGTAATTGGAAAATATCTTATCAAAGAAACATTGATTTATTTATCGCACACAGAACCACCTTCATATCGAGAGGCTATGCAAAGTGATACCCCCTTCGTGGACAATGACGTCGATAAACATCATCGTGTGGTTGGCTTTAAGCCTCTTTACCCGATGTATTCTTAGTAATTAGAGTAATTAGGAACAAAATTTAAAAAAAAAAAATGCCGATTGAAGTTAAATTAGTTTTTTTTATTTGAGTTATATTTCAAATTGGAATGTTCAACAATAAAAGTCCACATGTACTTATGTGAAATAGCAATTATCGACTAATTATGCGTTCATTGAAATCAGTGTGAACTTACGTATTTTATCTTATAGAATATCATATATTTCAATAAATCTGAAATATTTTGGTGTTGTCATATCCTATGAGTAGAATACAGGGTTGCCCATATTCGACGGACCTTTGGGCCCATTCCAATCGACGAGGCTTGTCCGCAGGCAACATTCTTTGCGTCAATTAAATTTTGTACGGGAACAAATGCAAATCAATGCGAATAATCCGTTGTAAAGTGGACAGAGCCATGCCCAACTGCTGAGAACGGCGTTTTTGGGATGTTCTTGGGGACCTCCCAACACTGGCTCGTACGGCAGCGATATTCTCGGCCGATCGCCTTGGTCGACTTTTATATGGCCTCTTCGGATTAGAAAGAGCCTAACCAGTCGAAAGTTTTTCGTTTAATGGTGTTCTTAGAAGGCGCACTTCTCACATTTTTTAATGTTTTAAAAGCACGTTGAGTTTTCACAATTGACTTCTTCTGTTGAATGTAAATTTCAACTATTTCAGAGCGCTCGCGTGGCGTGTATTGGTTCATGGTAAAAATCTGCTTGGACTGACGCTTCAAACGCGGTATGTCATTAAGCGATGTGACATCTCTGTCAAAAGTTATGGCGTTGCCAGATGGGTCCGTCGAATATGGGCAACCCTGTACAAGGGCGGTCAGAGGATAATATTATTATACCCTCCACCATACATAGTATGGAGGGTATATTAAGTTCGCCATTCCGTTTGTAACTCATCGAAATAATCATTTAAGACCCAACAAAGTATATATATTCTTGATCAGCGTAAAATTCTAAGACGATTTAGCCCTGTCCGTCCGTCTGTCCGTCTGTTGTAATCACGCTACAGTCTAAACGAATTAAATTTTGCACAGATCTCTCTTTTGTCTGCAGGCAGGTCAAGTTCGAAGATGGGCTATATCGGTCCACGATATCGTATAGCCCCCATAAAACAGTACCCTCGATATTCGGTATTTTCATGATTTTAGCCACATTTTTCAACGGAAATAGTACACAAGGGGTTTTATGTAAGCACTTTACCCCCCGACAGAAAATTCTTTATATAGGTTAATGATATCGTATAGCACCCATATAACGGTACCGCCGATATTCGGTAATTTGATGATTTTGGCCACATTTTCAAATCGTATTGTCTGAAAATCCACACAAGGAGTTCTTTGTGAGCACTTTACCCCCTGAAAGGGAATTGTCTATATAGGTCCGTAATATCGTATATCCCCCATATAACGATACCCCGATATTCAGTAGTTTGATGATTTTAGCCACTTTTTCCAATGGAATTATCTGAAAACCCACACAAGGAGTTCCTTGCGAGTACTTTACACCCAGACATAGATTTGTCTTAATAGGTCCACAATATCATATATACCCCCATATATCGGCACCTTCCTATATTAGATATTGTAAAGATTTAAAATAAAATTTAATGGTATAATAATAATTTAATTCGTTCCAAATGGTGGAGGGTATTCAAAGTTTTACTTGTTATTAATACAAAGTCTGGTGTGAAGATGGAATATATCGAGTCCCTGTTTCTGGTACCTCCCGACAAAGCTTCAAATTTTTGAGTATCCATGGAGCTCATAAAACAAAATTATTATAAGTAATTTAAGAACTACGTCGAGTACTTCTGCTACCTAAGCTATGGTATTGTGGCTTCTGTCAAAAAGTATACAAGTAGAACATGGGTTGTATATTAGTTTTGGTTTTATTTCTATTAAAGCAATATTATATAATAAATATTTATATAAAAATTTCGATTCAGAAATCTGTTATTTTTTGCTAATTCAAAGCTTCCTTAAATACGACATAGTTATCTAAAAATGGACTCTTTATCTCTTAAAGTACACTTGTACAGATATCAGACGCTAAATCTTGTATTTCCCACTAAACGTAATTAAGCTTAATTTAGTTCTCTTACATGTTCGCAGTAGTAGTTGAAGAGAAACAAACGTAAGAGCGCACGACGCACAACCGCTAATCGTAAGTATGTACCTAGTAGAGAGGGTTCTCAATGATTGCATTAACAATTCAATTTTTGTTGATAAATACGCGTATCTTGTAAGACGGCTATGTCAGTACTCATCGACCCTTTGTTTACAGTCAGTCATAAAAGTAGATAGAATATTGAACAAGAAGAAGAAGAATAAGAACAACACATAAAAAGATGCCGTCGGTGTGCACATTTACTCTGAATCATCCCAATGCCGTTTATTATAGTGGCCAGACCATCAATGGAACCATTAGCCTAACTACGACCTCAGAGAAAAACATTAGAAGTAAGGCACTCTATTCTGGATTTGAATCCATATTTCATTGTCATCCCTTACAGATGCTCGCATTATATTCCTGGGAGAGGGCAAAGTAAAGTGGGAGGAGTCAACAACGACGACAGATTCCAATGGCAACAGCACGACCAGTACAACATACTACAGATCTCATGAAGTGTATATCAACAACGAGACCATCGTCCGTGGTGAGGGCATCTTGCCGGTGGGCGTGCATACCTATACATTTACAATTGTTTTGCCTCTAGACTGCCCCACTTCCTGCGAGGGAAGATATGGTCACATTCGTTATGGAATTTCGCTGAAATTAGATCGTGTTCTGCGTTTTGATAACACCTATTACATACCATTGACTGTTTTAAAGACGGTTGATTTAAACTTGAATCCCGTTTTCAGAGTAAGATTTTTAAATTTTCTTGAAAAAAGGTTAATATTGACTAATATATTGGTGACAGCTTCCCCTATTAGCTGAGAAAGTTGCCAGTTTATGCTGTTGGCCTTGCAGTGGTGGTAAGCTATTGTATTCCCTGCAAATTCCATTTGGTGCCTATACTCCTGGACAAATTGTTAAATACTCACTGAACATACAAAATCATTCGATGGTAGATGTCGAAGGCTATTTCATGGAATTTACTCAAAAAATGACATTCACAGCCCATTCACCAAGTCGCAGTCATCGCCACGAGAAACGCACCCTAGTTACAAGAGACTATCCGGAGATATGTCGCCGTTTGACCAATCGCATATTAAATGGTGAATTTCAAATACCCTCTGTGCCGCCCACAACTGACCCAACGAAGATTATTTATGTGGAATATAGGCTGAAAGTAACAATGATTATGTCCGGCTGTCACCGATCCAAGGATATATCCGTGCCCATATTTATTGGCAACATACCGTTGCGCGAAAGTCTGCCAAGCAATGCTGGAGGAATGGATGCAACACCCAGTGCCCCAGAAATTACAAAATCCGAAGATAGTTCTGGTTCAGAAATGCCACCCAACTATAATGACCTAAGTAAGTACTTGGAAATAATTTTGTGAAATATTTTTATTGATTTTTTTATGACTAATTGTAATTGCAAAACTTCTTATCGAAAACATGTACTTTTTTCGCACACACAGAACCACCCTCGTATCAAGAGGCTATGCAAAGTGATTCCCCCTTTGTGGACAATGACGTCGATAAGCATCATCGTGTGGTTGGTTTTAAACCTCTTTACCCAGTGTATTCATAATCGATGGGGATTTCAATAGTGAAACATTTTCTTAAAGAACTAAATATTAAACAAAAAAATCGTATTTGAGGTTTGAGAATTTGTTTACGATACTCAAACAACCACATACACATTTGTGATATAACGAGTAATTATATATTTTTATGAATTTAAAACTTATACATTTGTCATTAGCGCTCAAGTTATGAAAAGTGATTTGAAAAAAATTATTACCACCACAGCCGATATATAGAAAACGAAGTGGAATGGAAGAAAGAAAGAATAAGTCTGAAAATGTTTTTTATTCGAAAAATAGGCATGATTATTTTTTTTTTATTAGAAATATAACAGTAGTCCTACAAAATACCCACCTCAAATACCAAGTCAATCATTTTCAAATTAGTATTAGATATTTTTTAAAAATATCAAATTATAATAATAATTATGAATTTATTTATTTTTTATGAATTTATTTATTCTTATTTTATAAATAAACAAATAAATTAAAAAAATTAATACTTTTTACACTTTTTACCACTTGGCATTTTCCAATTATAATAAAATCTGCAGGAAATTGGAAAAAGTCCTTAATTCATTAGAAATAAAAAAGGTTTTTTATTAGCAAAATATGCTACATATTAATATTTTTGTTCAGTAATTCACAATGAAATTCAATGTAGAATAAATCGCGTTGGCCAATATCGCCCATCATCAATATCAATATCGTATCTGACCTAATCTGATAAAAATATTACAACAGGCCATATTTGGGCTATATCGTCTACTACCTATACTTTGTATGAGATATGTTCAAATTTTTGGAAAATGAGGATGTATGTGTGAGGTTCCAGATATAGCAGACCGAAATATTCTACTTCATCTAAAACAGATAACAATATTGGCATGTGCAAAATTTGAAGGAAATCGAACATTTTTATCCAATTTACAGAAAATCATAAATTCCATAATCATGCCAGGTTTCTAGTTAAGCGAGATATATTAAGATATAGCAAGTTGTAAAGAAGCGCTGACTTGTTTTACAAGTTATGATAGACAACAGTATTGAAAATTATGACCCGTTGTAAAGTGAGGTACCAGAAGGGATTCGCAGATATATATCATATTGCCCATCTCCGAACTCGATCTAAGTTTGACAAAAATATTACGATGTACCAAGTTTGGACCACATCGGATACTCCCTTCGAGAGTTATCGTGCGCACCAGCCAGCCAGACAGACAGACAGCGGACGGACACCGTTGTAAAAAAATCAGAAATACGCCATTCGTTTATTTCTTAATTCGTCTGGAATTCAATTTCAGAATTTCGGTGGAATTGACATTTTGGTATTTTTTCATACAAAAATTGGGGCCCATTTTATCCGGTAACTGTTATCCGATGGCCATCCAAAATGCTTGACCTTTTCGTCTATTTGTAATTTCACCGGGATTAAGAATATTAGCGGTTTAATGGGAATTTTGTTTAACACAAAACTTATGGTCTATTTCACCCGCTCAATACAAATTGGACCATACATTGGACCGATGACCATACAAATTGGGAAGCTTCTGCCCAGTCCTAATCTCTAGTCTCATGCTAAATTCCGCGTCGATTGGTCTATAATTGTGACTTGTAGTGTGAATGCAAATTAACATAGCTAGATCGGCTCACCACAGCGAGATTGGAAGATCAATATATTCTTTCCTATGTGGGAAGCCAAAATTTCGAAGTGTTACATTATTTTTGGCCCAATCAAATTTATATTACCCCCAACACACAATGTTGCAGGGTTTACAAAAAGGTATTTTTATTTAGCATTATTTTTTGGCATTTTAATTTTTTTTATTTGGCATTATTAATTTAGTTCTCTTATATTCTCACAATGGTATTTGAAGAGAAACAAACGTAAGAGCGCACGACGCACAACCGCTAATGGTAAGTATGTATCTAGTGCAGAGAGTTCTTAATGATTTCATTAACAATTCAATTTTTGTTGATTAATACGCGTGTTTTGTAAGACGGCTATGTCAGTACTCATCGACCCTTTGTTTACAGTCAGTCATAAAAGTAGATAGAATATTGAACAACAACAAGAAGAATAAGAACAATACATAAAAAGATGCCGTCGGTGTGCAAATTTACTCTGAATCATCCAAATGCAGTTTATTATAGTGGCCAGACCGTCAATGGAACCATTAGCCTAACTACGACCTCAGAGAAAAACATTAGAAGTAAGGCACTTTATTCTTGAATTTGAATACAAATCACATTGTCATCCCTTACAGATGCTCGCATTATATTCCTGGGAGAGGGCAAAGTAGAGTGGGAGGAGTCAACAACGACGACAGATTCCAATGGCAACAGCACGACCAGTACAACATACTACAGATCTCATGAAGTTTATATCCACAACGAAACCATTGTCCGTGGTGAGGGCATCTTGCCTGTGGGCGTGCACACCTATACATTCACAATTGTTTTGCCATCAGACTGTCCCACTTCCTGTGAGGGAAGCTATGGTCACATTCGTTATGGAATTTCCCTGAAATTAGATCGTGTTCTGCGATTTGATAATACCTACTACACACCTTTGACTGTTTTAAAGACGGTTGATTTAAACGTGAATCCCGTTTTTAGAGTAAGATATTTAAAAGTTCCTAAAAAAAGTTAATATCAGCTAATTTATTGGTGATAGCTTCCTTTATTGGCAGAGAAAGATGCCAGTTTATGCTGTTGGCCTTGCAGTGGTGGTAAACTATTTTATTCCCTGCAAATTCCATTTGGTGCCTATACTCCCGGACAAATTGTTAAATACTCACTGAACATACAAAATCATTCCATGGTAGACGTCGAAAGCTATTTCATGGAATTTACTCAAAAAATGACATTCACAGCCCATTCACCAATCCGCAGTCATCGTCACGACAAACGCACCCTAGTCAAAAAAAACTATCCGGAAATATGTCGCCGTTTGACCAATCGCATATTAAATGGTGAATTTCAAATACCCTCTGTGCCGCCCACAACTGAACCAACGAAGATTATTTATGTGGAATATAGGCTGAAAGTAAAAATGATTATGTCCGGCTGTCACAGATCCAAGGATATATCCGTGCCCATATTTATTGGCAACATACCGTTGCGCGAAAGTTGGTCAAGCATTGCTGGGGGAATGGATGTCACACCAAGTGCCCCAGAAATGACAAAATCCGAAGATAATTCTGGTTCAGAAATGCCACCGAACTATAATGACCTAAGTAAGTACTTGGAAATGACTAACAGTAATTGCAAAACTTCTTATCGAAAACATGTACTTTTTTTCGCACACACAGAACCGCCATCCTATCAAGAGGCTATGCAAAGTGATTCCCCCTTTGTAGACAATGACGTCGATAAGCATCATCGTGTGGATGGTTTTAAACCTCTTTATCCAATGTATTCATAATCAAGGGGGATTTAAATGGTGAAAGATTTTCTTAAAGAACTAAGGGTGCAAGCACATAAAGAGCTTGAAGTCATGGCTAGGCATATTTTGTGACATTTCATAAAGGGATTACAGAGCCGCACTAAAATCCTGCCGTCGTTTTCCATTATAATTTGACATTAATATGCCTAGCCATGACTTCAAGCTTGTTATGTACTTGCCCCTTAAAAATTCAAAGAGAAAAAATCGTATTTGAGGTTTGAGGATTTCTTTACGATACCACAAACAACAACCACAAACACATTTGTAAAATATGCATTAACGAGAAACTATTTATTTATAAACATATACTTTTGTCATTAGCGTTCAACTTACAATAGTTGAACGTGATGAAAGTGATTTGAACATACTAGAACCACCACAGCTGATATATAGAAAACGAAGTCTGGCTAATAAAAAAGGGAAAATTGAAAATTTTTATAAAGAAGAATAAGTCTGAAAATGTTCTTATTCGAAATATTCAGATGCTTATGATTTAGGTAATAACATACAAGTATGCATATCATAATTTACAATCTTCATATGCAACTTAAGTTCACTGAACTTTTTCTTTAACTTTAATGATCAGTAACATCGAAGCTTTTCACTTAAAGTAGTGAGTTTGGGGCAAATCTGAAATCACAACATTCACGAAAAAACTCTTATGCTCTTTGGAAACTTTCCACGCTTATAAGAAATATAACAATAGTCCTACAAAATACCCACCTAAGTCAATCATTTTCAAATTAGTATTAGATATTTTGAAGTTAAAAATGTCAAATTATAATAATAGTTATGAATTTATTTATTGTTTTTATACATTTATTTATTCCTATTTTGTAAATAAAAAAATTAAAGTTAAAAAAATAATACTTTTACAAAAAAAAATATATATATATATGTGTCATATCTTAAATACCGAATTATTCTATTATGGAACAAACCTCCATAAATGTACAATGTTTAAATTCTTTTTAATTTATTTTACAAAAAATACTAGTTATAAAAGAATGACCAGGGAAGATTTTAAGTATTACAGCATTTTATTTCGTATTTCTGGTTCTCGATGAACACGTGCATACAAAATGGGGAATAACTCCAAGTTCTGATGTAGCTCCAACTCCATTTTAAGGCTTTGTTTCCCTACCAATAATACCAGTGTTTGCAGTGTTAAATGAAAATTTGTCGAACCTTGAATTGAATCTCTCTTCAAATATCTAACGGATTTTCTTTATGTAGGAATTTAGTTTTTTATTAAAAAATTGGCGCCCAATAATATGCATCACCACATTACCGCCCATTTCCAAAGTTAAGTGCATTAAGTAGTTTATACCTCTTGACAACAAATTAAAAACGATTTCTTACAAGTCCACTTGGCATTTTCCAATTATAATAAAATCTGCAGGAAATTGAAAAAAACGTACTAAATTTTGTTAGAAATAAAGAAGGCTTTTAATAAATTGCTTTTCTATGCTATATTTTTTGTTCAGAAATTCACAATGAAATTGAGTCCAGAATAAGTCTTACTTTGACACTTTACCCAAAACATTTAGTATAAATGGAGATTCGGACTCGGATTGGATACGTGTCAAATTAGCAATAGAATGCAATCATTTTAAAAATTTTAAATTATATATATATATATATATATATATATATATATATATATATATTTTTTTTTTTTTTTTTTTTTTTTTTTTTTTTTGACCGTTTGTTGGGGAAGGTACTTGATGGAGTGGACCGATATAGTTCTCTTTCGCGTGACCTAGCACTGATGCAGATATTAAAATATACAAAGTTGGAGCAAAATGTAATAATTCATTTTTGAGCAGTAAATTATTTTCTTTGAAAATGTTGACATTTTGTGGGGGAGAAACCAGAATGGGTAAACCGATATTGCCCATCTCCGAAGTCGATCTAAATTTGACAATAATATTACAATTTACCAAATTTGGATCAAATCCTTCTATATTTAATGTGCGCGCCAGCGCGACAGACGGACGGACATCGCTAGATCGACTCCAAATTTCCTGAAGCGGATTTGGTCCAAAGAGACCTAAGGTCTAAAACCATTATTTCGATGAAAAAAAACATTATTTTTGGCCGATGAGGCACGTTTAGTCCATATGGCTGAGGGTGTAGTAAGGGAATATACTTACTACACTTTTCTATGCATACTTTCATAATGCCTATGCACGTGCCTTCTCTTTTGAATTCTTCTCTCATAATCTGCTGGATTTCCCCTGTAATTATTAAAAAAAAATAATTTCTTTGAACAATGTTTTCTACGCATTTATTCCATATAATTTTTTATTTATTTCATTTTAATTTTTTTTTATTTCGTCAAAAAATCTTTGAAAAAAAAACGGCCCTGTCCCCCTGTGTGTTTGTCCCAAAACAAACACACATTGAGTGGAATCTTAAATTTTTGTTCAGCACATTCGTTATGATCCACTAAATGTCTTAACCAAACAATAAACAAACCATGGGTAGTGTGTCGAAAATATTAATTTTTGATTTTTCAATTTTTATAAACCAAACTCTCAAAGTGTGTTTCTCAACTTCAGCTGATACCATAGACAAATTAGGTATAGACTAAAAAGTTGTCTCATCTGTTATCTTCGAAAAAAGTGCTTCAATAGATGTCGTTCATGCTGTAAGATAGGTTCAGTAGACTCACTCAATTCTCTCAAAATACAAAATATTGAATATTTTTATGATTCTTTATTATTTATCAATTAAAAACGAAACAGTGACTTTGTTTACTTTAACATTATCCAAATATGTAGTGAAATATAAAAATATAGGAATTAAATATCAGAAAAATGAATAAATTGTTTTCGAAGTCGAGTGACTTCACTAGCCCTGAGTGACTTGACTGGCCCAAGATCAACAATAGTGACATCTGCCGGAAGGGGTAACTTTTAAAACTTTTTAGTCTATACCTTAATTTGTCTATGCTGATACAGCACAACCTATTGTTTTATTTACTCATGATTGTGTTCTCTTGAAGTTAATACTAATGTCGTTGAATGTATCAACAAAATATATTTGGCAAATACTTTCTCAGATACTCTCCCACGAATACCAAACAAAACAGGCAAGAGAACACATTGAAACTCACTGAACTCTTATCATTTACTCAGTGAAAGAGAAAGTCCATATGCACACAATTGAGTTGTTGGCGTTAAGCGACCCACATGTGGTGTTTGAGATGCATAGAAAAAAATGATATTGAATGGGGATTGCTTTTAAACCAGCATCAAGAAGTATTACAATAATTATAGGTAGAGAAACATTATTATAAAATAGCTTCCAAAGTACGAAGATGGAATATTGTTTAAATGTGTCGGTAAGGCCGAAGAATATTGGGTATTGTAAATATGTCATATAGGTCTAGTTTTGACATAGAACCAACACGACGTTACTGCTCGATTTAAGATATTTTGGATGTTTTAGCATTTTTCTTTAACCGATTTAGCTGTAAAATTTCATTTAGTATTCCCAGATGGTAGAAACTATACATTTATAGATATTTACCAAACTAATAATTAACTATACTACTCTGTAGCAGATATGCAGCAGAAATGTACATTTGGTGTCCTAAAATAAAAAAATAATCCTTCCCGACTCAGTTCCTTAATGTTTATAGGTTTTTGAAGGTTTCGAAGGCAATTAGCTGTAATTCAACTTTTCTCTGCAAAAGACACCAAGACTATCTCCAGAAAATTTCAAATTTAGGTAAGTGATTCAAAACGATTTTTTTGTAACTGATCAATTGGAATTAAGGTGGAATACAAATACACCTCATGAAAAATATTCAATATTGGCCCACGTCTTCACACAAGTAGCGTGGTCCACCCTATTTTGAGAGTTACGCCGAAAGGATTTGTATTTTCATATATGAAAACATCATAAGTAGAACACATCATTGCAAAAATCTTAAACGTAGGTTCAGGTTCTGAATTTTTCAAATGAGTAGAATACGCTCTTCCAAAAATATTCGAATTTTAAATGCTTCTTGGAATTTTAACGTCGACAAATGTGTCTACTCATTTTAATATTTTAATTTTCAGGTTATCACATCAAAGGAAATTTCGAACTCTGGCCGACAAACGCCATCCACTTCCATTGTGTGCGTAGTTTGCTCTGGGCCGGTTTTCATCCGGTCCAATAGCAAAGAGGCATGCACAAACATTAACTGATGATGTCACGCTCTCTCCCAGGAAACGAACTGGCGGCATTCGAGCGAGAATAATAATCAGTTGAATGCAAGTTTTCATTGTTTTTGTTATTATTGTGCTGAACTTTTTTGCCTGATGTTGTTATTTGCGTATTGTTTTCGGCCAGTATCAACTGAAACTCAGTTGGGAATTGCAAAGATTCTGAGTTATTCGCTGGGCGTTATATAAACAGATTTTGATCAATATTTCCGAAATAGAAAATAAAAATAATTAAATTCACTTTTGGAGAGGGTATTTAATTTCATAAAATGCCTTCAACATGTGAATTCCATTTGAATAGTCCAAATGCTGTGTACTACAGTGGTCAGGTTGTGTGCGGCTCAATTGTACTGAAAACCACCAGTGACAAGGATGTGCGAAGTATGTAAAACGACCCTCTTTCTATAATTAGAAATACATATGTGAGATATCTATCTATTCAGTATTAAATGCATTCTTTTAGATGTCCGCATACGCTTCGTGGGCGAGGCTAAAGTAAGCTGGACTGAAACCGAACGTCATCGCAGATCTGATGGTCATCATGAGAGCCGCACCGTGTATTTTCGGGCCAATGAAGTCTACATAGATAATTCTACTCAAGTCCGAGGTGAAGGTGTCTTGCCAAAAGGAACCCATACGTATACCTTCAATATACCCCTACCGCTGTCATGTCCCACTTCGTGTGAGGGTAAATATGGTCACATACGTTATGCTCTGTGGCTGATTGTTGAGCGGCCATTTCGCTTTGACAACGAGTTCTCTAAACCATTGACCGTCATAAGAACTGTGGATTTGAATTTGAATCCGGTGTATAGGGTAAGTTGTGTGAGATCTTCTGCTATTGGTTTATTCTTATGCTGATTCTTGTTGTTGTTGGCAGATACCACTTGAAGCGGAAAAAACAAGTGCAATTGGTTGCTGGCCCTGTTCAGGCGGCGATATCAATTATACTCTAAAAGTGCCCTTTGGAGCGTATGCACCCGGTCAGACCTTACGCTACACCATTCTAATACAAAATCAATCTATGACCGATATAAGTGGTTATAGTTTGGAATTTAATGAACACATCACATTTACGGCCCATACACCGCGCCATAAGACACGTGAGAAGGACACCACATTGGCCACCCAAGAGCATTCCGACAAATGTTTACGTCTAACCAATCGTCAATTTGAGGGTGAACTAATTTTGCCCTCGTTACCGCCCGATACCGAGGATAATTGTATAATACGTGTGCGACATCGTTTGGAGTTTGAAATGTATGTGGACGGCTGTCATGCCAATAAGACCATAAGTGTTCCGATATTTATTGGAACTGTACCCTTACGAGAGAGCATGACAAATGACAGTAGTTTTACGGAAGTTGCACCCTCAGCACCACTTTTACCCAGTGATGAAAATACCAGTGATTTGCCTCCATCTTATGGAGATTTTAGTAAGTTTCAATTGCGGTATTTTTGTATTCAAATGACAGCTGATTGTATGCAATTTTCTTTTTTACAGAACCACCATCGTTCGAAGAGGCCATTCGCAGTCACTCTCCCTTTCAAGACCCCGATGCAAATACACACTCAAATGTCATCGGCTTTAGACCTTTGTATCCAGTTTATCCGAATAATAATGAAAAACAATGAACAATCTCAGCACACCACAGCTGGTCCATGAATTATCTCGAATTGAAGACATTTGATCCAAAGAATTTATCCATCGCTTTATAGCATAACTACCTCATTGTGCTGCCAAATTTATACTTAAACCTATTAAAATATTTTTGCAGAACCTACTTACATATTTATATATTTTGGATCTCTTATAAAAAATAAAACAAAATTTAAAGAAATGTCGTACACACCAATGTAAAGTGTATACGTGTAAAGTTTATGTTTAAATGTTTAAAATTGTCTGCGTTAGTCCATAACTTAATAATAAATCAGTGGCCTTTGAGTAAAATAATAATTTTTATAAAGAATTGTAGGTGGAATTTATGTGAGCACTGAAGAACTTTCACAATTGTGGTTTTACACTTCACAAGACACGCTTTATTTTATTTATAAAAATTTCAAAATAGCTCTGTGGTATTACTTCAGGGAATAAGACTCGCCAATATCTTGTGGATTGTTTCTAGCCATAATGAAGTACGCAAGAAAAAAATTAAGTGTTGTAACGGGAAAAGTTTACGAATAAGGAAAACTGAGTTTTATAGGAAAAAAGTAAAACAACGGTAAGTTCGACCGGGCCGAACTTGGAATACCCTCCACCATTTGAAACAAATTTGGAATTTTTCAAAAAAAAAAAAAAATATCCTGGGTTATCGTTGTATGATGGCTATTCGATATCGTGTAGCTTTATAAACAATTGTCTTCCAGAGGGTAAAGTATACAAAGAGAACTCCTTGCGTTTATTTTCAGAGAGTTTCATTGAACAAATGTAGCTAAAATAGGGTGGTACCGTTGTATGGGGCCTATACAACAATTCTCTTCCAGAGGGTAAAGTACTCAGAAAGAACTCCTTGCGTGGATTTGCCACATTGGAAAATGTAGCCAAAATCATCAAAACATCGAGTATCGGCGGGTACCGCTGTATGGGGGCTATACGATATCTTGGACCGATGTAACCCATCTTCGCACTTAACCTACCTACCTTCCTATCTTTATTCGTTTTGACTCTAACGTGATTACAACAGATGGACGGACAGTGCTAAATCGTCTTAGAGTTTCACGCTGATCAAAAATATGTATAAAGGGTGTTTTTTTAAGCTAGATAGAACTTTAAATTGTAAAAAGTAACACAAAAAATTAAATTTTGATGAAACTTTTTTTATTTGTTTAAATATTATCATTAATTGACTCAGGCTTGAACAACGCTACGAAATTATCCAAATTTACTTTGAAAATCAGGTTCTAGAGCAATTGGCAAATGACCCGTTGTTTTATCGCAAAATTGTGTTCAGCGATGAGGCGCATTTTTGGCTTAACGGGTTTGTTAATAAGCAAAATTGCCGCATATGTAGTGAGACCAATCCACAAGAGACCCTACAGACTCCATTACATCCAGAAAAATGCACCGTATGGTGCGGTTTTCACGCTGGTGGCATCATCGGGTCTTATTTCTTCAAAAATGAGGACGGAGCTCGCATTACAGTCAATGAAGATCGTTACCGCACCATGATCAATGATTTTTTGTTTAAAAAAATGGATGACATTGATCCGGAGGAGATGTGGTTTCAACAGGGTGGCGCTACGTGCCATACGGCGAACGCAACCATCGACTTTTTGAAATCAAAATTTGGCGATAAGTTGATTTCGAGAAGTGGACCTGTCAATTGGCCTCCAAGGTCGTGTGGGCTACGTGAAGTCACTGGTTTTTGCTGATAAACAATTGACGCCTTGGAGGCCAGCATTGTTCGTGTTATTCGTGACATACGGCCAGCAGTGCTCGAAAAAGTGGCCAAAAATTAGACGTCCAGAATGCACTTCGTCAAGAACAGCCGCGGTGCCCATATGCCCCAAATCATTTTCAAATGTTAATGTCACGTATTGATCTTTCGAATAAAAAAAATTGATTAAAATTTAATTTTTTGTTATTTTTTTAAATTTCAAGTTTTATCGGGCTTAAAAAACACCCTTTACTTTGTTAGGTCTAAAATTATTATTTGGATGAATTACAAACGGAATGACGAACTCAATACACCCTCCATACTGTGTATGCTGAAGGGTATAAAAAGTGAGTCGAATGAGGTAAATATTATTTATGATTATCGGTATAATATCCAAAAAAAAAAATCGATCTTCTTTCCGGCAAAATTTACAGCTGGGAATTGGAAGTTAATAAAATGATGAAAAATATGTATTTGTTTTGGTACCTAAAAAAACTACGCCCCTGACATTGTAAAATGTTTTAATATACAACCATTTAATTAAATTTGTTTTTAATTATCTTCTATATTTGATATGAATATAAATGTATGTGTCTAAACTAACACGATCATAACAACAATAACATTAGCTATGACATAAAAATCGAATACATCAACAGTGAAAACTTTCTATATAAGCCAACACGATATTCTCTCAGATAATTCCGCACTTGCTCCGATGGAAAATAAATTAGTCGATATACAGAGGGTCTACTATATATTGACATATTTTGTTTGTATATACATATATGTATAGCAAAGCAGACACATTCCATTTGGTAAACTATCAGCTGGTGAGCATGGTTGCTCTTGCTCTCCAAATTGCTGTTGGAGATGTCAGACGACTTACCCAATTGGAAAATTTATATATTTTCCATAGGCATATAGAAGTAATGCTTTGTTTATTCTTTAATACTGTGGAAACGTCATGAACTGGGGGTGGGAAATTAAAAGTTACGATAAAGACTCTCATTAACTCATTTATGGTCTGAGAAGTATAAACCAGACCTCCGAAAAACTCGCTCGAATTTGTACAAAGAGTGAAACTTCCTTGAATTCGATCAGGAGGGCTCCTAGAAGCAAAAAAAAATCGAGTAAACTGTATGTTTCGATGTCGCTCGAATAGGATTGAGCATGTATTTCCCGTTTTGGAGTGCGAGCAAAATTTGTTGAAAACCTTCTCTTGCCGAACACTCTTTTAGTTTTTATCATACCGTTGTTGTACAGGGTGAGATAAAAAACTGCAACCATTTTCAGACTGCTGTCATTTCTAAGCCACTCGTCCGAGAGCTGTGAAAATTATTCCTGTGACAGCTCATTATATTGTTTAGAAGCGTACAAAAGCATTTTGGTGGGAATTTTCCTGAAAAAAAGTTATTCTTAATGGAATTCGAGCGTGATAGTGTGATTTCTTTATATTTTTTGCTATCGTTAGAGTTTTTGTGACTCGTACCATCGCTCGTTACCGTGATACTGGTAGCGTAGGCCGACGTCAAGGAAGTGGATGGAAGAAAACAGCAACGTCAGCAGAAATGGTTCGAAAAGTAAAGAAGCGACTTGATTGAAACTTGCGCCGCAGTGGCCGAAAAATGGCTCGTGAACTGAATATATCGCAATATTCCATTCGGCAAATATTGAAAGAAGAGCTCGGGGTAAAGCAATTGAAATTCCGAAAAGTGGAAGACCTTCATAGCAACAAAAAGAAAATAGATTCAAAGAAGCTTCGATTGGCCGAAAGTGGTGAACTGCCGAATTTGGTTTTCTCCTATGAGAAAACATTCATTGTCGAGCAGTTTGTAAACAAACAAAATGATCGTGTTTACTTGCCAAGGAGGTCGTGTTTACTTGCATCTTCGGTTAGCCACCAGAACTCAAGCGCCAGCCTTGGTGACTAAGTATAAAAGTTCATTCTATTGCCGACATTTTTTGCATTCATAAAATAGAATTTAAAAAAAATGTAAAAATTATAGCGTTTGACTTTGTTGCAGTTTTTTATCTAACCCTGTAGAGCACCCATATTTATTATCATAGTCTACTCGCTCCCAGAAATTGCCATTGGGTATTCCAAGGGCCCTAAAAGCTGTTCTCTTTAATATTTTCTCAAATAAACATTTCTCTTGCGATAGTTTTCTTTGATTTTCTAGGTCACACTGACTACCAATTCTGCTGTTTGTTTTTGTTTGTGCTTTCCAGCTGAGATGCGAGAGATGTTTTTCATGCTATTTTTGGCGGCATTTGGTTTTTGTGGATTAAAAACAAAATAGCTATTAGAATGTTGCGGCACGACATTATCAATACGATTTTTAGCCAATAAAGAACAGATCGATCGAAATGCCATCAAAGTGCAAATTTCGTTTAAATCAGAGGAATGGTGTTTATTTCAGTGGAGAATGGATAACGGGAACGGTTCTATTGAGAACCACCAAAGAGAAGACCATACGAAGTAAGTTTTTGGGAAATAAAAACACTCAATATTTGATTAAAATCAAATCAAACTAAGATATCCGCATAAGGTTATTGGGTGAGGCCAAAGTGCACTGGAGTGAGGCCGAAAAAGACAGCGGCACGGCCCAGTACAAGGCGAACGAGGTGTATGTTGACAAAACTTATGTTGTTTACGATGAGGAGATACTGCCACCACGTGCCTATGTCTTTGGCTATAAATTCCGTCTGCCGAAATCTTGTCCCACATCGTGTCGGGGCAATCATGGTCACATCCGATACTTTCTGGAACTGAGAGTGGATAGGCCGTATCGTTATGACAATGTCTTCACCAGACCACTGACGGTGCTGAAAAGGGTCGATTTGAATATGAATCCAGAGTTTAAGGTATGAGTGGAATTATTTGCGGGGAATTAATTTAACAAGATCTGAATATTGCAGCTTCCCGTACAACAGGAAGAAATCAGTGCAGTGGGTTGTTGGCCTTGTGCAAGTGGAAATATTGTTTATTCCTTAGCAGTACCCTACGGAGCCTATGCCTCCGGGCAATCTCTGGAATATACTCTAAATATCCAGAATCAATCAATGACTGATATAAGTGGATACCAAGTTCGTTTTGTGGAATGCATGACCTTCGTGGCCCACACACCAGAATATAAAGAACTCCAGAGTCACACCACCCTTGCCGATGAAGAATATTCCGATGGCTGTCTGCGGCTGTCGAATCGCCAATATGACGGGCAAATTGATTTACCCTCAATGCCACCGGACACAGATGGTGAGGGCATAATACGTTTGGACCATTATTTGGAAATTGAAATCGAAGTCAAGGGTTGTCATCGCAACAAGAATATTTCGGTGCCAATATTCATTGGCAATATACCGATTAAGGAAAGTCTACAAAATGCCACTCCCCTGCCATCGTCGGCCAATTTGGAAATGCCATCAGATGAAGATGATGATGACGAAAATAGTTACGAAGTGACGCATAACCAGGCATCGTATTCGGGTGAAGAAAGTGATGCGGATGAACCACCATGTTATGGAGATTTAGGTAAAAGTTATATTGAGATTTTGATTTTTTAGTGCAGTGATATAATGATTTGCTTTTTTTTAGCCCCACCAGCATTTGAAGAAGCTGTAAGGTATCCCTCGCCTTTCCAGGATCCAGAGGCGAATGAGTATACCAATGCCAAAGATTTTCAACCATTGTATCCGGTATATCGATACTATAATGGAAGGAACTGAATAACTATCATGTTAATCTAACAAAAGCTACCTCATTTTGAAAGACTTTCAAAAACTTTTTTGACTTAAGTGCATTTTTTGTTAATTTTTATTTTTTTCATAACAAAATTTAATAATTTTTCATGAAATAAAATAATAAATTATTGGTGCTAAATTTAAAAATATTCTATAATAATACTAATAATTAAAGGGAAAAAATCCAGCAGATTATGAAAGTATAACGAACTTTTGAAGGTTTACATAGTAAAGTAACCTAAACAAAGAGCCAGTTTCCAAAATTCATTTTTTTAATTTTTAAATTTCGTTGGGAAAATATTATTAAATTTTGTTTTAGACAGTGTGTGACAAAGTATAAAATATTCTACTCAAAATTTCACTATAAATCTCAGAATAAACCATATATCAAGGTATAATAGTTTTTCAGATAAATGCATTCGAAATTTGTGTATATTAAGTTTTTTAATGCTAATTTAACTATTTTCCAAACTAAGTCAAAGGCAGAAATATTCTACTTAACAAAATAAATATATACTCTTAACAAAAGAAATGTTTTTCTTAATATGTACCAAATATTTGGTTCATAAAAACCTTTTTTATTTCCCACAAATTTATGTCTTTTTCCAAGTGAATTCTCGAAGTAATCCAAAGATCTCTATAAATATTAAAAGTTCTCTCAAAAAGTTCTCATTTTCAAAGCTTATATCCTAAATCTAACTCTTAATATGATCACGGTTGTGTAAAGGGTGTACAAAAACATTACTAAAACCCGAAACTCTTTTTGGACTAGAGTAAGTAATTTATAGATCAAAATCCCAAAAATGTTTCAGGTTCTTAGGCCAAACTTTTTTTAGATCCCAATATTTTGCGACACACTTCGCAATATTTAGGATAGTTTTGATACAGCTTTTATGTGAACATTTCCCCTGATTGTAGTTTTGACGAATTTTTGCTGATATGTGCCGCCCTACTCCTTTCAAAACTCCTCAAAAGTTACATATTTTGGAAAAAATTTGTCTTAAGTATGTAAAATTAATATCCGATTTTCTTCAAACTTCTCACTTAATGATATTTTGTAAAATGGTATGGGTATAAAAACTAAGTAAAAAGCAGTAAGTCCGGATGGGCTGAACATTGAATACCGTCCACCATTTGGAACAAATTTGGAAATTGTCAAAAAAATAAAAATGTTGAAATGATAAAAATACCGAATAAAGCCTTTATATAGGGCCTATACAAAGACCTGGACTTGCATAAATAATTTTCTGTCACAGGATGTAGTACCTATTAGGAACTTCAAATACCAAATTTCAAACAATTTCGCTAAATATTGTACCTAAAATCAAAAAAATACCGAATATGGGGAGGTATTGATATATGGGGCCAATACGAAGACCTGGACCTGTATAGACAATTTTTTGTCATAGGCTGTAGTACCCATTAGGAATTCCAAATACGGTGAATAATGTCCCTAAAATCATCAAAATACCGAATATTGGGAGGTATCGTTGTATGTGGGCTATACGATATCGTGGACCCATATAGACATTTCTCCTCCAGGGGGTAAAATGCTTAGAAAGAACTTTTAGTATGGGTTTTTAGACAATTACATTGAAAAATTTAGCTAAAATCATCAAAATGCCGAATATAGGGAGGTACGGGTATGGGAGATATACAATATCCTGGACCAATATGGACATTACTCGTCCAGCGGGTAAAGTAATTAGAAGAAACTTCTCTTGTGAATTTTCAGACAATTTCATTGAAAAATTTGGCTACAAATATCAAAATACCGAATATCGGGGGTACGGACCGTGGAGCGATATAGCACATCGTCGAACTTGACCTGATTGCAGACAAAAGACTGTTCTGTGCAAAATTGTAGCTTCCTATCTTAATCGTCTTGAATTGTACGCTGATCAAAAATATATATACTTTGTAATGTCTAAAATTATTTTTTCGATGAGTTACAAGCGGAATGACGAACATAATATACTCTTCATACTAATAAAGCGAAGTGAGCCTGAACTTTGTACATCCTAATATTTGTATCACGGCCACAATGTAGGTTCACAATGTCTAAGTAACTCTCAAAAAAAAAAATAAATAAATAAATTGGTGGCCGATTTTCTCAAAAATTTTAAAAAAAAATTAAAAACTGTCAACATTTTGAAAAATATTTTTTTTACCATTGTTTATGCGGTTTATCCTGTTTCCTAAATAACGATAACTAAATCTTAGAAAGATGTAGTAGTCTGTTCAAATTCAGTGGAATTTTACAATTAGTGACATTTACTTATTTGCCCCCGCACTCAAGGTATTAACTCTTCGTACACTGAGTACTAACCTGTTGCTCGGTATTGTTTTACTTACCAATAACAACATTTTGTTTTGTAAAAATGACTTAATTTTGTTTATAATTTTTCTACAATTTTCAATTTCTATTGCGCAAAAGCAAAAGAAAAAGAGAATCCGTGAAGTTAATTTTTAACCCTCATCTTGTATTCCCAAAAAATACGAATTTTGCATTGTGAGACAAATAATGTTTCGTTTCCTTGCATTATTAACTTCTAAGATTATTTCAGACCAACAATTTTCCACTTGAACGAATCGGACAACTTTGACCCACGAACACACAATGAGGGTTAAGCAAGTTCTCTTTGAGATATTACTCTTTTCGTTACAGAGAATATTTATTTAGTTTTATGTTTTCAATTAAATTTTGGATATTGTTTTTGGTTCTTCTACCCCTTTGCATGGCCTACGTACAAAATGTCCATATGAGAACAGTACTATTTTGGATATCAAACAATTGCGAATTACTTCTGCTTACATCAATCGGAAAAGCAAAATATATCTGATTCTCGATTCTTTTTTTGCTATGCCTATAACATGTGAATTTCAACTAAATAATCAAAGGGCAACATATTTTACTGGAAAAACATTTGCGGGTTCGATTATCCTAACAACAACCAGTGACAAAGATATTCGAAGTAAGTTTCAATATTTTCAAAATGAAGATCATACACTGATTTCCAACAACAATTCCAGATATACGAATACGTTTTTTGGGCAAGGCAAAAGTCTATTGGAATAATACCCGACTCTATGGCAGATTTATTAGCAGCATCATTGCATCGGAAAATTATGCCTACAAGTGTGAAGAGACATATGTACATCAGCAAGTCATTGCTAGAGGAAAAGGCACCCTATTAACGGGTTGTCATGTATTCAATTTTCTCTTTCGCATACCCAAGTCTTGTCCTAGCTCGCACATTGGAAAATATGGGGAAATAAGTTACGAGTTGCTATTAACAGTGGACAGACCGCAACACACAAATAACATATTCAGTAAACTATTGACTGTTGCGAGGAGGGTTAATTTGAATTCTTTTCCAGAATTGAAGGTATTTTTTAAAGATGATTCCTTTAATTTACATAATAAATAATTTATTTTCCCTTAATAGTCTCCGGTTTCAGCCGAGGAGAGCTATTATCCAACCTGTTTTACTTTGGCAAGTGGTAAAATAAGCTTCGAATTTACATTACCATTTAGGGGATTTGCCTCCGGCCAAATTCTACCGTACTCTCTACAGATAAGCAACCAATCAATGATCGACATTAGTGGCTACAAACTGGAGTTAGTGGAAGCCATAACATATATTGCCAAACATCCGTATTACAAGGAGCGCAAGAAACGATGGGTTCTGGCAAAAGCAGTGTTCATGGATCCCTGTTTGCGTCTCACCAACCGCCAATTCAATAGATCGCTTCAGTTACCTTCGATAGCACCGAGTTGTAGAAATCAATGTATAATCCAATGGCAACATCTGCTGGAGCTCAAAATAATAGCCGGTGGATGTTTTGGTAATAAGAGTGTCGCAATTCCAATTGTTATTGGCAGTGTGCCTCTGATAGAGAGTGTGCAAGAGGGATGTCAGGAAAATGCAACTCCCACTACCCTACACAGTACCTTGCAGCCTATCTCCCCAACTGGTCCGCCAGTCTATATGATGGATGTTCCGAGCTGCCTACCCCATTCCCCAGAGGAAAATAACGCCTCTCATCCGCCTTTGTATGAGGAATTAAGTAAGTTTCAAACTTATCAGAAAATCTGAATGAATCCTTAAGAGATTTCTTTGTTAAATTTGATTTAGCGCCTCCCTCGTTTGACGAAGCTATGATAACGTTATTTCCCGTCAGGAGTTTAGAAGAAATGGACTAAGCAGGCAGTGTCGTGCATGCCAATATGCAAAATAAAACAGTATTTTTATAGGTATATTTGATCTGTTCCTGTACCTGCAAGAACCTACTAGTTTTGATTTTTTTTTTTTTTCGAAATCATAAGGAAAAAATTGGCTATCGTATTAAAAAATAAATAATTTTTGAGGTTCTGGAACAGGGAAATTATCTTGGTTTCAAACCTAGAAGAATCTAATAGTTCTGCCTTTTTATCAGTATTTTTGTTTTCAATTTTATACGGAATATAACATTTTATTACAAATGTGTAAAAATTGTTCTTGGTTTTAGCAACGAAATAAATAGCTTACAACGGGTAAAAAGTACGTTTTTCTATTGTTTTAAAATAACCGTAAAAATTGGCATTGGAGTTGTATGCCCTCCACCATACATAATATGGATTTATATTAAGATTGTCATGAGTTTGTAACTCAACGAACCCAACAAGGTAAAAATATACTTCCTTTAATGGAAATCGCTTTTACTTTCCAAGGGATCGACCTAGATGACAATAATTTGGGTCATAGGCACACTAAGGTATGGAAGTTGAGGTATATATAACACATCAATATGCTGTATTTGATAATTGTAATAACAACAGGAATCAAGGCAACTGGTGAGGATTGTTGGTTCTTTTCGAAACAATGATATTCTCTTCCTTATAGTACAGGTTATAGTACAGGGTAATTATTAAATTTTTTCTTTAATTTTATAGAATGAAAGCAAAAACTGTCGGAAATAGCATCAAATTTTAGAATAAATTTAGATTTGTTCGAATTTATCACCTTTGGCACGAATATTGGCATTCAAACGGCCAATGAATGCCATTATTCGTGCCGTCACAGGCTGCCCGAATGTTACTCTGCAGTATTTTGGCCCATTCCCGGCGAAGCGCTTGCTTAAGGTGATCGACACTTTGGTATTTTTTAGTGCCAACCTTGCGTTCCAAAATACTCCAGACACAATAGTTCAACGGATTGATATCCGGAGATTTTAGTGGCCATCCTGCGCTGGGAATGAAGCAAGGAACCTCATTTTGTAACCATTCTTGGGTGGCGCATGCTGAGTGCGACGGTGCTGAGTCCTGTTGGAATGTTCAAGGTCTGCGGCCAAAATATTTACATGTCCAAGGCTTAAATACACCCTCTAGAATATTTTCGCGATAATATTCGGCATTTATTCTGATGCCACGGTCGACTAATACGAGCGGAGAGCGACCACCGGCTGTTATGGCGGCCCACACCATCACCATGGCCGGCGCTTGAGTTGTGATGGCCAGCCGAAGGTGCATATTTTCAGCTGACCTCTTTGGCAGGTAAACACGATCGTTTTGCTTGTTTACAAACTGCTGGACAATGAATGTTTTCTCATCGGAGAAAACCAAATCCGGCAGTTCACCACTTTCGGCCAAGCGAAGCAACTTTTTAGCTCTTTTGGGTCTATTTTCTTTCTGCAGCGGTGTAAGTTCTTACACTTTATCGAATTTCAATTGCTTTACGCCGAGCTCATTTTTCAATTTTTGCCGAATGGAATATTGCGATATGTTCAGGTAACGAGCCATTTTTCGGTCACTGCACTGCGGGTTTCGATCAAGTCGCCTCTTTACTTTTCGAACCATTTCTGCTGATGTAGCTGTTTTCTTCTGTCCACTTCCTTGACGTCGGGCTCCATCACGAATAACTTTTTTTCTGGAAAATTCTCATCAAAATGCTTCTGTACGCTTCTAAACAATATAATGAGCTGTCACAGGAATAATTTTAACAGCTCTCGGACAAGTGGCTTAGAAATGACAGCAGTCTGAAGTTGGTTGTAGTTTTTTCATCTCACCCTGTATTCTTGATTATCATAAAATTCTATGTCGATTTAGCGATGTCCGCTCTTTGGCTGTCTGTCCATCTATAGAAGCGACTCGAGCTTCCGAACGAAATTAAGTAGGTTCATAAAATTTTTCGCATAGGTGTGTTTTATCTGCAGGCATATGTTCTTAATGGGTACTACATCCTATGACAGAAAATTTCACATTTCACAAGACGTGGACCTCGCCTTCATAAAGGCCCCATATAACCTCCCTAAATTCGGTATTTTGCTGATTTTAGCGTCTTTATACCCTACACCACATAGTGGTAATGGTATTATGTCTTTGTGCATTTGTTTGTAACATGGAGAAGGAAACGAGATAGACCCATAGTTACTTTTGAGAACCTTCATAGAATCACTTTCTGAGTCGATTTATGCATGTCAGTCCGTCTGTCTGTCCGTCCGTCCGTCCGTCTGTCCATGTATTCTTGTGAACAAAATGCAGGTCGCATTTATTATCCGATTGAGATGAAATTTTCCAAACAATATTTTTTTGGCCCAAGGACGAACCCTATTGAAATTAGTGAGAATCGGATCAAATTTAGATATAGCTCCCATATATATCTTCATCCGATTTCGGGTTAATTGACCACCAAATGTCCACTATCAGTCCAAATTACCTGAATTTTGGCACACCCACCCGAGTTCGGCCTAGAAGTAAGTATATAAAATTTGGAGAAAATCAGTTCAGATATAGCTATAGCTCCCATATATATCTTTCATCCGATTTGATCTTTAAATCCCTCACATTCCTACTATGCACTCCACAACCGTGATATTTGGTACCAGGTATTAGATGGAGCACAGAAATAGCTGTTTTAAATTTTATCGAAATCGGTTCAGATTTGGATATAGCTCCCATATATATTTTCATCCGATTTCGGGTGAATTGACCACCAAATGGACAATATCAGCCCAAATGGCCCGAATTTTGGCACATGTGACCGAGATTAGCCTTAAAGCAAATACAACAAATCGGTTCAGAAACAGCTATAGCTCCCATATATATGATTTATCCGATTTGGTGTTTAAGCCTCTCACATTCGTAATATGCACTCCACAAGAATGATATTTGGTACCAGATATAAGATACAGCCCAGAAATAGCTGTTTGTAATTTTATCGAAATCGGTTCAGATTTGGATATAGCTCCCATATATATCTTCATCCGATTTCGGGTTAATTGTGCCCCAAATGGCCGATATAAGTCCAAATGGACTGAATTTTAGTACATCGGACCAAATTCAGCCTAGAAGCAAGTATATAAAATTTAGTGAAAATCGGTTCAGATATAGATATAGCAACCATATATATGTTTCATCAGATTTAGTGTTTTAGTCCCTTACATTCGTAATATTCACTCCACAACCCTGATATTTGGTACCAGGTATTAGATGGAGCACAGGAATAGCTGTTTTAAATTTTATCGAAATCGGTTCAGATTTGGACATTGCTCCCATACATATCTTCATCCGATTTCGGGTTGAATGTGCACTAAATGGTCAATATCAGCCCAAATCACCTGAATTTTCGTACATAAGACCGAATTCAGTCTAGAAGCTAATGCGTCAAATTTGGAGAAACCCGGTTCAGAGATAGCTATAGTTCGTAAAATGCACGATAGAATTAGATAGATTTTGATTTTGTACCAAATATCTCATAGAGCTCTGAAATGCCCTGTATAAACCTTTTTACGAGAGCTCTACTAAATATGCATAGTGGTGTAGGGTATCATATAGTCGGCCCCGCCCGACTTTTGAGCTTTCCTTACTGGTTTTTCTTTGAAAATTTGCAAATTCCTTCCAAATGGTGGAGGATATTCAAAGTTCGGCCCGGCCGAACTTATTGATTTTTTATGTTTTTTTTTTAATAGAACTGTTTTTTACACACTGGGAACCCCATTTATGTTCATTTGGTTACATGTTTTGCTTAAAACGCAGAAAATCACGAGGATTTGTGTGCCCATATAGATCATGTTTAATATAAATCATCCAAGATATGCCCAATTTTTTAAGGCTCAAAATACAGTAATTAAAATTTTACACTCCCAAACCATGACGTCAAATATATGGAACAATACAAGAATGAGTCATTTCATTTTTGTTTGTCATTAATCGCACATCAAATAATGTCTTTAACAATAGTTGTAAAACAGAGATAATACACAACATAAATACAGACATATATGCCTTTAATTATTATTCATTCGATATCCAATTACAATTACTAACACCACTAAATAATGCATGAAAGCATTTTGGGAGACTTTAGAATACCCGAACTCAATCCTATATTAAATATTAATTTGTTATTTAAATGAATTATTTGAAAGCATCGAAAGAACAACTATCAATGGGAAAATCCTAATGGCAACGTAGCTAAACATTGCAATCGAATTCAGATATAGAATAAAAGCTTATCTATGAAACCTTGTTTTCGGAAGCATACATACAAATAATGCACAGGTATATACAAACATACATAAATGATAAGATACAAATATCAATGATTCGTTGTTAGTGGATTTTTAGCATTCGTGAAGAAAGTTCCCCTCTTTAATCGGACGTAATAGAACACAGATTGATTATTTTGTCGTTTTTTTTTTGTTGTTATTTTTGTTAGAAAATGGAATCTGATCGAGTTTTAAATAATAACCTGAGTAATGTAAATTTTTCAATTAAATTGGACAATAATTCGAATATATTTTACACTGGCGATCTACTGAAAGGAGTTGTGCAACTTTAGAAGAGCCCATTTTTATTGCAGGTAATTTTGATATAAAAAATAAAGTGATTGTTTAAAGTTTTCGAAATAAAGTAAAATGTTCTACGAAATAATCCACTTAATCTGGGTAGAGTGCCCATAGAAGAAGTTATTTAAAGAAGGACATAGGAAAATGATTAAATATGGTAAATGCTATTGACATTGATATGATATTGATGATATTGAGATATACCCTAAAAAGACAAATTCACAAACCACATACAGAGTGAGATGAAAATCTGCAACCAATTTCACATTACACCGCAACAAAAAGAAAATAGACTCAAAAGAGCTAAAAAGTTGCTTCGCTTGGCCGAAAATGGTGAACTGCCGAATTTGGTTTTCTCCGATGAGAAAACATTGGTTGTGCAGCAGTTTGTAAACAAGCGAAATGATTGTGTTTACTTGAAAGAAGAGGTCAGCTGAAAATGTGCAACTTTGGCTGGCCACCAGAAGTCAAACCTCAAGCCGGCCATGGTGATGGCGTAGGTCGCCATAACAGCTGATGGTCGCTCTCCACTCGTATTAATCGACCGTGGCATCAGAATAAATGCCGAATATTATCGCGAAAATATTCTGGAGGGTGTATTTAAGCTTTGGGCACGCAAACATTTTGGTCCCAGAACTTGGACATTCCAACAGGACTCAGCACGCGCCTCCCAAGAGTGATTACAAAATGAGGTTCCTCGCTTCATTTCCAGAGCACAATGGCCACCAAGATCTCCGGATATCAATCCGCTGGACTATTGTGTCTGGAGCATATTGGAAAGCAAGGTTGACACTAATGAATACCAAAGTGTCGATCACCTCAAGCAAGCGCTTCGTCGGGAATGGGCCAAAATATCGCAGAGAAACATTCGGTCAGCGTGTGACGGTTTCATTGGCAGTTTGAAGGCCATAATTCGTGTCAAAGGTGACTAATTCAAACAAATCTAAATTTATTCTAAAATTTGATGCTAATACCGACATTTTTTGCTTTCATTCAATAAAATTTAATAAAAAAAGCAAAAATTATGGCGTTTGACTTTGTAGCGGTTTTTTTATCTCGCCCTGTACAGTGCAGATCGATAAGGATTATAGTAAAAAATATTTATTGGAGCAATGGATTTACCGGACCGAGTTTCAGAAAATGAAAAAATTCAGTTTAATATAAAAAAATTATCCAATTTGGGCTGATATTCCATGTATGGTGGACAAAAGTTCTAAAATCGGATGAAAAACTATATCGAAGGTATTTAAAAATCTGAACCGATCTCGATAAAACTTGGTGTACAATTAACCCGAAATTGGTTGAAGTGTATAAGTGCTACATTTAAATTTGAACGGATTCTCACCAATGGGGTCGGCCTTGGGCCAAACAAATATTGTTTGGAAAATTTCGTCTCAATCGGATAATAAATTCGACCTGCATGGACCGACGGACGAACAAACGGAGTGATTTTTATAAATCGACTCAGAAATTGATTCTCGCTTCCTTCTCCATCTCGCTCCTTACCACTATGTGGTGTGGGGTATAAAAATTGAATTTTTACATGTCGGACGTCCGACACATAGTTTGCACTGTTCTAGTAGATGTCATTTTCAAAAATAAAAAAAAACGCACATCTTGGAGTATGAACAATTTTGGTTTTCAAACATTTACACCGCATAGGGGTATCACACATATACAAAATATTGGCGGAAAGCCCTAAGATAAATATATGATGATCCTCTCTCACTCAAGGTGTATCGAAATGTATTTATATTCCTACCTTCATCCTATATATCTAAATAAATACTAGTTCTACCATTTTCTCAACTTGCAAATGATTTACCTTTCTCCATTTTTTCAAGATTTGACAGTAGAATTTACAGGTCTAAGTGAAATTTCATGGCATGATAAAGACTTGAAAGAACACAGAGACGATTTAAATATTTACTATCGACGAAAACAAGTATCTCAGCGACACTTTGAACGAAAATACATCGTATCGCGACGTCTGTCTCTGATTGTCAATAGTGAAGGTACGTGGGTATTTTTGATGTTATAATTTTTTTAATATTATCTGAATTATTTTAGTACATTCTGGCAAAGGAATATTGGAAAAGACCTTTCAAACCAAAATACCCCATGATTGTGTTTCTTCCGGCAATTTTGAATTTGGCTTTGTGTGCTACAAACTGAAAGCAATCTGCAGGACGTCACATGGCACAAGGGAATGCGAATGCGATTTAAAAGTTGTGAGGCTTTGCAATCCCACAAAAGAGGTAAGCTCATATGTAATAATGGGGCAAATTATGGCAATTTATTAGAGAAAAAAACTTTTTTCAGCATCCTTTGTTCGATATAACAACCTTCAAGGCTGTTAAACTGCAAACTCGCATGGAGAAATCTTGTTTTCAACCTGGTGAGGAAATTCACATTCAGGCCCAGATTTCCATTCCTTTGCCATACAAAACTTATAAATTTCGTGCCCAACTAAGACAATACCTAACCTATAATCATCATAGCTCGAAACATCAGAGGAATGGTGTGGTACTGGATTTTGATGAACATCTAAATCAAATGCGTATTTTAAATACCGAGAAATGTGACGTATCAGCAAAGAGCAGTACTGAGGAGATATGCTGTAATTTTGAAATACCAAAGGATACAACAACAACGACACACATTACTTTGAATAGGATTTTAAATGTTCATTATGAACTTTGGCTACTAGTCCATGATGATAATGATGCTGAATGCCTGAGACAAGAGATACCCATAGATATCTTGGCATTTTCTAAGCAATTCCATAATGCTGGGGTATACGATAATGGTCTTGACAAACAAGGAGATGGAAAAAAGGCATTTTGCTGTGAAATTTATAAGAAAAAGAGAAACTCTCTGATGAAAGTATTAGATAAAGTGTTGAAATATTAATAAACCTCATTAAAGTTGTTGCAAAAATATAAAAGTACTTGAAATTGGGGTATACTCTTATATTTTGGCTATACCAAAACGTGTAGCGCCATTTCGATTTTGTACAAATGATTCTACATGTGACCCATAGGCCTGAGTCAAATATAAAAGCTCTGTCTTAAATTGTTCGACGTATAGAGCAAAATATTTGGTCCTTTGTGTATATTTAAGACAAAACATAAAATGAGTCCAAAAAAATTTTTGGCCTAGCAACCCAAAACCTTTTGAGATTTTAATCTACCAACCAAATACTATTACCTCCATCCTAGATGGTCTGTTGCATAGTGTTATCATAAGCCAAATTGAGGTAAGCATTAAAAACATAATTGATATTAAAGTAATTTGTCATTCCGTTTGGAACATTCCTAAATATTCGTCGTAGACCCCATAAAGTATATTCATGATCAGCATAAAATTCTGCGTCGATTTAACGATGTCCGTCTGTCTGTCAGTTGAAATCACGATACAGCCCATATTATTTGACATAGTATTGAAAATGAAATTTATAGGTCCACGTTTTGGTATAGCCTCCATATAACGGTACTTCCGGATATTCGGTATATTTATGGTTTTCGACATATTTTTTCACGGATTTGTCTAAAAATTGGTATTTGTAGGTCATAATAGGTTCGAGCTTCCGTGGCAAAATATTTTATTTATAGGTCCACGTTTTTTTATTGCCCCCATACAGTAGTTTCTCTGATGAGAAACATTCGTTGTCCAGCTGTTTGTAAACAACCTAAATGATAGTGTTTACTTGCCAAAGAGGTCAGCTGAAAATGTGCACCTTCGGTTGACCACCAGAAATCAAGCGCCGGCCATGGTGATGGTGTGGCAACCGAATAAATGTCGAATATTATAGCGAAAATATTCTGGAATGTGTATTAATGCCTTTGGCACTCAAACATTTTGGCTGCAGACCTTGAACATTCCAACAGGACTCAGCACCATCGCAATCAGCACGCACCACCAAGAATGGTTATAAAATGATGTTCCTCGTTTCATTTCCAGCGCACAATTGCCATTAAAATCTCAGGATACCAATCCGTTAGACCATTGTGTCAGGAGTATTTTGGAAAGCATGATTGGCACTAAAAAATACCAAAATGTCGATGACGTCAAGCATGTGCTTCGCCGGGAATGGGCCAAAATACCGCAAAGCAACATTCGTGACGCTGTCATTGGCCGTTTGAAGGTCATAATACGTGTCAAAGGTGACCAATTCAAACAAATCTAAACTTATTCTGAAATTTGATGCTATTTCCGACATTTTTTGCTTTCGTTCAATAAAATATAAAAAAAAATTGTAAAAATTATGGCGTTCGACTTTGTTGCATTTTTTTCATCTTACCCTGTTTATAATGGCCCCCAAAAAAAATGTTTGGTCAGAGAACCCAAAACCTATCTACTTAACTCTAATCTACCGAATACTATCACCTCCACTTTTTTATATGCACTATTGAGGCAAGTTGTAACATACATAAATTATATTTTTATAAATGTATTGATATTTTCCAATTTTACTTTATTTTTCTAATATTTTCTCCCCAATATACTTTTTCCATTTCTTTATTTTATTAATCTAAAATAATTTCTATTTTTTTCATTATTCACAGTAATTACTTTTTTATTATTATAAAGAATTAAAATATTAATCTCTTGTACTTATATTAACTAATTCTTCTAACTTGTTGTATATTTTCAGTCTAACATTTAGCATCTGTGGACTTTGCTATTATTGTTGGCCTCGCCTGAGAATGACTAGTTGATGGTGTGTCCTCTTCCAAATGGGGTTGTAACTCTTGAGGGAGATCAAAATAGAGGTATTTGGGTTTAAATTCGGAGACATCACCGGTTATGTTGTGCTTGGATTTTTTATTGATCTTTACGGCTGCCATATAGTCGGCTTCTCTAAATGAAGAGGCTAAAAAATGGAAAGAATACATTTAGTGATTTTCTTATTGGAATGACTACTTTATTGTAGCCATTATATCTCTCAATTGTTCTATAAAATATTCGATTAGCGAACTCACCTAAAGACGTCATCGAGACACTCATTTGATCCATTGCTTGGATATTTGGGTGTAGTTGTTGCTGCTGTTGTTCTCTCATCTCCCAGCTGGAGGGTAAATTCAATTCATCCATAGATCTGGCCACCGTTATGGCGGACACATGACTGCTGGATGGGGCTTCTTCCACAACTTTGACGTCACTCCTCAGCGAAATGGAACCCACCACAATGGGTATAACAGTGGTCAACAATCTCAATTTTCGTTGGATGCAAACACTCACTTCCACTTCGTAGGTGACACTAATACACTTACATTCACTAAATTCAAAAGTTGGCACCGTCTGTGGGACCACCAATTGTTGTATGTGTTGTATGTCGGTGAAACTTTGCCCAAAACAGCTGTAAACATTGCAAGCTATGGCAGTGACTTCTCGAGTCTCCTGGGGCTTCTTCTCCTTCCAGCTACCCTTGTAGGTGACAATGCGATTCAGTTTGGTGGTGATGTCTTTGAGCTTTACATGGCCATGATTGTCCACTTTGACATGCACACTGATGCATTCGCCGGGCACATAGCCACTTTGTGGTACATTTGCATAGACTTGAAGGGGAGGCCGCCAAAATTTCAGACAAGGTTTTGTTTCACGATTGGTACTTTCTATGGGACTTTCCATGTTTGGCGCCCAACGTCTGAGATCTTTCAATTGTTCCACTGTTATGACGGACGTACACAAACAATCCACATTGCTAATGTAATCGGCATGTACCTGCAGCTCGTATGCAATTGAACCCCAGGCACCATTGAAAGTGGACGGGGCATTTTGGGGTATTTGAACCATAAAGTTGTAGTTGTATATTCCTGGAGTTATGGCCTTGGGGTTGGCATCTTCGGAGCCAAATAAATAGTTTTTGGTGAAAATATAATCCTCGCGATTGACATAGTACTCCTTGGGTTTAGGTTTCGCTTTCTTTTTCTTTGGCTGTTCTTTTTCCCATTTGCAACTGGCATAGCCGGAAAATTGTATTGATAAAGCTTTAACAAATAAAACAAAAAAAAAAACGATAAACACCCAAACAATTATTTATTTGCTCAATCAACAAATGAGTCACTATTTTGAGTGGTTTGCACTTTCATTCAATTCACCTTTGATTAGAATCGGACTGCTACCGTTCACATTGAAAACTGCGAAACCTTTTATCACATCGCCCGGCCGATAGCTATCACTGAAATGTTCCAGTTGTAGAGAACACGAAACCAAATTCATTTGTGCAACTTGGGAAAACGGATTATTTGTTAATGCTCTCACGGCGCTGTCCTAGCGCAAACTGAAACCAGTCAATATTATTGGTCTGGTATTATTTCATTTCGGTGTCCGTGCGAATTTTTATTGTACACGGTTCCGGACTTTTATCTTATCACTCACCATAATTCAATTCGTATCGATATGCAAAAATTTTGTTTCTACCAAAAAAAAAATCAGATATCGATTGAATATTTTGATGGCCTAACATTTCTTTATTTGGCAATTTTAATAAGATACGCATGGCATTCGAGAGCCCATAAATATTCATAAAATTAGTCTACCTATCTGTTTAATTAATATTTTTTACAGCGTATAGAGAGTACAAAATTAAGGGCTAATTCTAATGGATTTTCAAGTAGTGGACAGTGTTAAAGAAGTTCGAAATAATTGGGATCTATTATTTCAATGACCTAAAAATGTAATATTAGATAACTTAAAATACATACGTTTAGTTTAACTACCTAAACTTAGTATCTTTTTACAATCTATATGAGAATTCCATAATAATTGCGATAAGTTCCTAACATACTTTGTTTACAGTTTTGTTGATATTGAAAGTGAAACCACTTCAATTAAATGATTCATTGTTATTTTGAAATTTATCAGAAAACTTATTTAAAAAACTTTTTTCGAACATTGATTGAAGTGTTTAACGCATACACAACACAACACTCTTGTCTCACATTTACACAGAGAGTTTGATCGAAAAGAATCAGTGTTTTCATAATCTCTGGAATCCGCTCTTACCTATAGCACAGATTTGCTGGTTTTCACTCGGAAGCGAAATTTACTCGCGAGCAGGATTGCTCCAAGTGTGAGAGTTTTGTACGAAGTCTTCTCTCCACTCTTTTGTTTTGTGTGGCAGCGCTTCCAAGCCGCACCTGTTTGAAAAACTAGAGTGGGAGCAGAATCACTGTAAATAGAGCAAGAGATTGTTTTAAGGGTAAAAATGAGTCGGAAAAATTATTTGGTTTTCTAATTTGTGTGTGCATGTGTGCAAGAGTAACCACTCAAAAAGTAGGAAACGAGGTCACCATATTCCATCGACATCGAAAAATTGAATTTGCTCGATGTTCTCTATGCTCCTTGGAGTGCTCCCACTCTAATTCGAGGGAGTTTTACTCTTTGTTCAAATTCGCAAGAGTTTTGGGTTTGTATTCACAGACCTCACTTTAGAAAACTGTTTATTCTTCTCCACCTATGGAGGGTATATTAAGTTCGTCATTCCGTTTGTAACTCATCGAAATAATAATTTTAGACCCAAAAAAAGTATATATATTCTTGATCAGCGAAAAATTCTGTCCGTCCGTCCGTCTATCCGTCTGTTGTAATCACGCTAGAGTCAAAACGAATTAAGATAGGAAGCTAAAATTTTGCACAGATCAGTATTTTGTATGCAGGCAGGTAAAGTTCGAAGATGTGTTATATCGGTCCACGATATCGAATGGTCCCCATATAACGGTACCTCCCGATTTTCGGTATTTTGATGATTATAACCACATATTTCAATGGAATTGTCTGAAACTCTACACAAAGAGCTCTCTGTGAGTACTTTATCCTCTGAAAAAGAATTGTCTATATAGGTCCACGATATCGTATAACCCCCATACAATGGTGCCCCCGACATTGGGTATTTTGATAATTTTATCCGCAATTTTCAATGGAATTGGCTTAAAATCCACACAAGGAGTTCCTTGTAAGTACTCCACCACCTGAAAGGAAATTGTCCATATAGGTCCACGACATCGTATATCTCCCATATAACTGTATGAAATATGTTTAGATTTGTTCGAATTGGTCACCTTTGACACGAATTATGGCCTTCAAACGGCCAATAAATCCGTCACATGCTGCCCGAATGTTGCTCTGCGGTATTTTAGCCCATTCCCGGCGAAGCGCTTGCTTGAGGTTATCGAGACGTTGGTATTTTTTAATGCCCACCCGCTTTTCAAAATACTCCAGATACAATAGTCCAAGGGATTGGTATCCGGGGTTTCGATAAAGTCGCTTCTTTACTTTTCGAACCATTTCTGCTGATGTTGCTGTTTTCTTCCGTCCACTTCCTTGACGTCGGGCAACGCTACCAGTACCGCGGTAACGAGCGATGGTACGAGACACAAAAGTTTTATTCACATTTAAATGCTGGAGTGCTCTAACGTTAGCCACTTGGCTTTTCCAAACAAATATAAAGAAATCACACTATCACGCCTGAATTCCATCACGAATAATTTTTTTCTGGAAAATTCTCACCAAAATGCTTTTGTATGCATATAAACAATATAAAGAGCTGTCACTGGAATAATTTTAACAGCTGTCGGACAAGTGACTTATAAATCACAGCAGTCTGAAGTTGGATCCAGTTTTTTCATCCCACCCTGTATATACAGAATTGGTGCATCTGTGAAGAATTCAACATATCAACTTATGGCCAACTTCGTAAGCCATATCGGAATGGATTCGCTAATGAAACCAGACAATGATATCAGCAAAGGTTACGTACTTCACTTCTTCTCTCAAAAAGAATTTTACTTTTCGCTTCCTTTTCGAAGTTTTTCACCCGAACTCAATCTACTTGGATAAAAATGAACTGAATATAGTCTTGTCTTATTCTAAATATCACCAGTGTAATGTTCCTAACATTCCCCCATTTATCTACAAATTCCTCTACATAAAAGCTTTTTCTGTTATTGTCACAAAAGCTTTCCAATGTTAATAACATAACTATCAATGTTAACCTCTTCTTTATTACAATGTATACAACGGAATTGTCTCGATAAATGTTATTCTTTATACTTTATTGTCAATGTAAAGGCGCTTATTAACAAATTTCTAATTTTAAGCTTACAATTAATGAGTATTGTTTTTGTTGTCATAATAATAATAATAATTATTATTATTATTTTTTAAAATACAATGAGGTATCTCATTTGGTTGAAAGGCATATTTTTGGCATGTTGTCTTACACATTTGTTAATATAAATTTAAAGCAAATCGAAATGAATGTTAATTTGGACGTTAATTAATTTTTGAGAATTTTAATTTAATTTTACTTTCAGTCATAGAGTAATTGTTGTTTTAAATAACTAAATTATTTTACCTATTTTTGGCAGCCATGACTAAGAGAATTTTCATTTTAAGTTTATATAGTTTTATGAATATCGTATACTAGACAAAAATTAGTTTGGAATAGAATTTTTCGGTATGGCTGGCTAATATTTATAAAATATTTGTTTGCGTATTCGAAAATAATTGAATAACCCAAAACTCTTATACTACAGATTTATATAGTCCCGATGTATGTATATATTGCTCTATTACTAATGGTCGGCAAAAAGTATATTCCCATAGTTTAATACTAAGGTCTGTAATTCAATTGTCTTCTTTGGCAACATCTTCATGTGCTTCTTCTTCTCCTCCAGAATCAGTGGCATTATTTGGCTCGACTTCATTGTTCTCATCAATTGCGTTTCCATCTTCCCTCTCATCATCGATGCTCTCTCCATTATTGGGATTCTCATTGTCTTCTTCATTGCTAAGAACATCTAGGGTATCCAAAGACCTTCCTGTACGATCGGTCATCAATGATCGGCAGGAGTTATAAAAATGCTCTTCGTCTAGCAACGAGTCCGATGGATAACACGGCGATTGGGTGTGCGAGTTGAAGGTGTTGTAACCGGGGAATTGTGGCAGTTGAATATTGATTCGTTGTTGTTCGATCCGTTTTACTTCCGATACTTCCATGGCAGCCTGACTTCCCATTGTGGTGGCAAAACTAAACGATGGCGGTACTGAAATGACAATAAATATGATTAACACTATATAGTAATCAAAATATATATAAAAACAAGTTAAAAAATATCAGTCGGTTGTTCCGACCGATGTATACCCTCAGCCAATGTTCGATTATTGAAATATATATTGACTTATGTTACGATTATTCAAATTTTTGACCTTTTATGGAGTAGGTTCCGAAAGAATGGACCAAATTTGTACATTTCGTATCGGACATAAATAAATATAATACAAATATTGTGACGTCCCTGGATTGGACTATATTGGTTAATTCCTGAGATATGTGAAAATTTTGTAGAAAATGTTGAAATGTGCGTGAAGTACCAGATATAATCGAACGAAGTATTTCATTTTCATACTTCATCAGAAACAGATAAAACATATTTGTATGGGCAAATGGGCAATTATAAGAAAATCGAATATTTATATCCAATTTTATGCGAAATCATAAATTCGTATAGATTCCATATTCAACTCAGGTTTGTGGTTGAGAGAAATATTTGAAATAAATAGCAAGTTGTAAGGAATCGCTGACTTGTTATGACAGATAAAAGTATTGGAAATTGTGAATCTTTGTGGGTTAGGTACCAGAAGGGATTCGCAGATATATATCAACTTCACAACAGACCATTCGTTACCAAAAATCTTTGGATATGTGAAATTTGAAGAAGATCGGATGCTTATTTCGCTTTCTTTTAGCGTTTTGTTTTTCAAAATCATGAACACTTTGTGGGGGAGGTGCCAAGAGAAATGCGCCGATATATCTCATTTTCAGTGAAGATCTTGGTTTAGTAAAAATAATGGCATGTGTGAAATTTGAAGAGAGGCGGATGTTTATTTCGGATTTTATGCTCGCTTTGGTTATTCAAAATTTGGACCCATATTAGAAATGTTGACCATTTGTGGGGGAGGTACCAGAAGGATTTGACCGATATATCACATCTTCAAACCAGATCTTGGGTTTATATAAATGTTGTGTTATAATTATTCAAAATGTTGACCCTTTGTGGTGGAGGTACTTGATGTAGTGGGCCGATACTGTCCATTTTCACGCCTGACCTAGCACTGATACAAAATATTAGGATTCGCAAAGTTGGAACAAAATCGGGTTATCATTTCTATTTCTATCCAGTAGAATTTTTTTTTAATTTCTACCAGAAGCACCGATATTGTCCATCTCCGAACTCGATCTAAGTTGTACAATAATATTACGATGTACCATAATTGGATTAAATCGAATATCTGGAAACGGATTTGGTCCAAAGAGTCCTAGGGGCTAAAACCGTTATTTCGATGAGGCACGTTTTAGCCGTATCTGTAGTCATATGGCTGAGGGTATAGAAATAATAGGTTTACTCACAACAACTGTCGTACGAAGGCGGTTCATCGTCCAGAACATCTTTCAAATTAGTATCACTAATCACTTCCTCTTCCTGTGACTCCAACAGCTCTTCCAACTCGCGACGTAATCTCAAAGTCGGTTGTGATGTTACCAGATTACCACCAGATTCTCCACTATTCGTGCTGGCCGTCGTATCACTTCGTTGACAGCTATTGTTGCCCGTACAAATGTTGCAATTCCTATTGGCATTCCTCTGCAGCCGTTGTTGTTCTTCGCGAAATTGGCGCAATGGCTCGGTGCCAATTATGACCGGAACCGAAATGTCAGTGTCATAGTGGAAGGCACCCGTTTTCAGCTTGACCTGCAGCATATAGTGTATGAAGACAATGTAGTTGAGATTTAGCGTTGACCTTGGTATATCGTTCGGCACATAGAGCGTGCCCTCGTATAGACGTTTGGTCAGGCGCAGTGTGCTCTCGTCGATGCTGCTCTTGACCAATGTTTTCGTGTGGAAATTGCGTTTCATGGGTTTGCGCGCCAAAAACACATAGTGCTGCTTCAGAGATGCCTCCACGCCCACAATGTCATAATGCGGTGACTGATTGTCTAGCTCGAGAAAGTATTTGATGTGTTGGCCGGGTACAAAGCCGGCATAGGGTAGCATAAGGCTAAAGCACAGGGGACCTGAGGTACAAGGCCACTGGCATAGATATTTGATGTTTTCAGCTTTGACGGGCAACTGAAACAAAAATAATTTTTCCGATTCCCATTGGAGCAATTATTCCAAAACACTTACCGCATATTCCGGATGAAAGTTCAAGTCCAGCGTTTGCACCACACAAATAGGTTTGCGAAACACTTCATCAAATGTCCTTTGTTTGTCAATAACCAGGGAAATATTGTAGGCAATATAGCCATAGGGTCCTTTGCAGGACGAGGGGCAGTCGGGTGGTATACGCAATGTTAACACATACACATGCAGACCTGCCGCAAACTCCGAGTTGTCAAAGACATTTGCACGTGAGTACAAATACTGTTGGTGGCCGCAATAACTCGCCGATTCTCGGCCACTTATCGACCATTGAACCTTCGCCTCACCTTCCAGTGTTACATAGACGGCTATTTACGATGTAATGATGTAATCCATGTGGGGGAGGGGTATATAATCACCAAATTTGAATTAAATAAACTAACTTACCATTAACACGCTTCACTTTTTCCGTACGCAATAGTATGCGTCCATTGATGTATTCTCCCGAGGAATAAATCGGATTCAAGCGATCCAATTCGAATTCACATGTAGTTGGCATTTTGTTTCCAAAATTATAATAAAATTTAGTATTTAAAAGACTTTTTTCTTATCGCAAAAGAAAATAAATTTAACACTTGCTTCTTTTGTTTGGCAACAAAAACACAACCTTCTCCTTACAGCATCCTTTGGCAAATGTTGTGCCAATTCAGGCACCACAGCTCTTAAGCAGCTACCAAGCATATCATTCTGCCAGCAGCCATAAACAATGGCATGACATACTGTGAGGGGGATGGAGGGGTTTGTGTTGTCTGTGTCTGAGGCATAGCTATTGATATACTCTGTCTCACCCCGAGGGTGCCAATTAGTTGGGTTCATATGTTAAGTTTAGCAAAGCGTTGGTGACAGGTTCTAGGAGGTATTGGAAAAAATAAACGATGCAACATTGGAAATGGATTTTTCCTTTGCCAAGTCTCTCTCTTGGTCATATGCTTATCTTGAAGATTCAAAGTCTTCTATAAAGGCAAAATAAATAAAATAAATAATATCGTAAAGAAGGTAATATGGGATGAATGCAGAACAAAAAATAACTCAACAACTTCTATGTCAAACCGAACACCCCTGAAACGTATATAGGACCAGAAGATATCTAGATTTCTTTAATAAAATAAATCATGTGGTGATAGGCGATATGTAACTCTTAAGGTTTTTAATAACATTTAGATATTCTTCTAGGTTCCTGATATAACATGGAACACCTCTTGGTTTTATATAACAATTGATATATCGAGATATTCTACATCTTGGTCTTTTAGATGAGATATAAATCTTCATTGCAAAAGATAGAATATATCTATGTATTTTATCTATATACAGTAGATACTGCTAAAGCCTGAATTGTGAAATTCAGCATAAACGTCGATTTTGACGGAACCAGTCCATAAGATGGTGTTTTTTATAGCCTCCACCATAGTATGGAAGATATACCTCGAAATATACATTTTAGACAGCACAACATATATATATATTCTTGATCAGCAAAAAATGCTATCTTTTCGATTTAGTCTTTGGAAATCCGATCGAAATTAAATAAGTTGATAAAATTTTACTCAAATGTGTTTTTGGTCTGCAGGATTTTTAGTATTGAAAACGGGCTATATAGCCATAAGTTTTGATATAGGTCCCAAATAACTGTATCGAAAGATTTGACTTTTTTCTCACAATTTCAAACTGGTTTGCTGCAAATTGAGAGCATGCGTTCCCAGTATGTAGGAAACATTCTCGTAGAGTACCGTAAATATAGGTCCAGTTTGGGTATAGATATGCGGTAATTTGACAATTTGTGCCATAGTTTTCATCGAAAATTTGGTATGTTTAGTTCATAATTGGTACTAACACTTATGGCAGAAAATTGTCTATACGGGTCCACATCTTCGTAAAGCACCCATATGACTCTACTTTCCACTGTTCGGTATTTATCGATTTTAGCCACACTTTCTACCAGAATTATTTTAAATTCAAAATTTGGAGTTCGCTGTGGGTACTGCTTCTTACGATATAATTTTTATTTTTTTTTTTTTTTCAATTTTATTGTATAAAAAAAAATGTCAGAAAGCATCAAATTTTAGAAGATAAGTTTAGATTGGTTCGAATTGGTCACCTTTGGCACGAACTATGGCCTTCTATGGCCTTTAATACACCCTCAAGAATATTTTCGCGATTATATTCGGCATTTATTCTGATGCCACGGTCGATTAATACGAGAGGAGAGCGACCATAGTCTGTTATGGCGGCCCACATAATTACCATGGCCGGTGCTTGAGTTCTGGTGGCCAACCGAAGGTGCACATTTTCAGCTGACATCTTTGGCAAGTCAACACGATCATTTTGTTTGTTTACAAACTGCTGAAAAACTAATGTTTTCTCATCGGAGAAAAATAAATTCGGCCAAGCGAAGCAACTCTTTAGCTCTTTTGAGTCTATTTTCTTTCTCTTGCGGTCTAAGTTCCTGCACTTTTTGGAATTGCAATGGCTTTACCCCGAGCTCAATTTTCAATATTTGCCGAATGTTCAGCTCGCGAGCCATATCTCGGCCACTGCGACGAGGGTTTCGATCAAGCCGCTTCTTTACTTTTCAAACCATTTCTGCTGATGTTGCTGTTTTCTTACGTCCACTTCCTTGACGTCGGGCTACGCTACCAGTATCACGGTAACGAGCGATGGTACGAGACACAAAAGATTTATTCACATTTAAAAACTGAAATACACTACTGATAGCCACATGGGGTTTTCCAGCCAAATATACAGAAATCACACTATCACGCTTGAATTCCATTACCAATAACTTCTTTCTGGAAAATTCTCACCAAAATGCTTTTGTATGCTTTTAAACAATATAATGAGCTGTCACTGGAATAACTCTAACGGCGGTCGGACGAGTGGTTTAGAAATGACAGCAGTCTGGTTGCAGTTTTTTTAGGATATTATCTCAAATGGTTTGAGAAATGTAAAAATGCACTGAATACTTTAATATTTAGTAAACTTGTAGAAAAAACCTGAACTCATTGTTCATAATTATCTTCCACATACCCTTACATCCACAATATCCTTCTCCCATATATCTCTCTCATACATGACATTTATATCAACAAAAGTCGACCATGCCCAGCATTTATGTTGCTCACATTACTTTTATAGTTCACTCATTAAGTTTGTGTCTAGTTATATCTTCGCTTCCTTTTTTTTTTGGCGAATCAATAAGATGGCGCCACAAGTATTTGTCGTCCCGTTTTTCCTTTGTCCTTTCGTGGATGGAGAGCCTTAGTGGAGATGCGAATTTTTAACTTATTTTGGTGATTTTTTTCCTGCTTGTTTGTGTGTGTGTGAGTTTGTTGGTATCACTAGACATGGTAATTGAATTTATTTGTTATTCCGAGCACAGTTAAACTGTCTAAAGCTATAGCTCCTTGTAGATTTGGAGTAACCAATTTAAGGGAAAGACATTTGGGATTTGGTGTGGTTCAAATGGATTTTTGCGCTCTAGTGTGGTTGTGATTAGACTTCCTATTTGTGTTGTTCTAGGAATTTCGAAGTTATCAGTTACTAACCATATACGATTTGTTTTGTTTGTTTATTTTTGGGGGATACATTTAAATGTTGTTGTGGGCCTGAAACCAAATGTGGATTTTGATTGTGGGACAAGGTCGTGTAGTGAGAGGAATTATTACATTGTTTATATTTGTAATTCTGTAAGACTAACAGAAATATTAATACATGTCCATTCAAAATATATAATTAGTACTTTGCCCATAGAATAAATTGAGCCACTTCAAAATAAGAATAGTTTAGAAAAAAGATTGTCTTAAATATTTATATGGATTAGAGGTTGATATTATTTCTGTAACTGAAAAAAAGCTTTTTATCATTTTGTAATTAGGAATTGAATTTCATACTTTCATATGATACTTACATATAATTTATTTCGAAATTTTATTTTGAAATCTCATTAAAATCCTGACAGAGGTAAATTAATAAGTCATAAGCAAATATCATTAATTTGTCAATTTTTCTTTTTTTTTTCTTTTTTTTGTATTATTAACAATGAAATATGGCAAAAAACACATGTGCCAGCAATTTAACCAGCTTAGAGCAAAAAAAAAAAATAAACAGGGAATATTTTGTGTTAACAATCTCGGTAACTAAGCGATTTAGATAACTGAATTTGTACAAAAAAGACTGTCTAGGCTTATTGTAAATTTGAATAAAGCTCACAGTCACTAAATAAAAAATAATCTCACTTTCATTTATGCATTGCACAGTGGTCCAGGAGGAACTGGGAATATATTTCTTAAATTTCTTTGAATAAAACTATTTAAAGCAAGACAAAAGTAAATCATTGTCAAGTGATGCCAGTGTGGAAAATTGAGTTTGAGAAACTGAATAGAAACTATATTTATGTACAAGATGATATAATAATAAACACGAACATGAATGACATATAATTTATTGTTTCAATATTTCAAATTTTGTTAACTGGTTCTAATCGGTCTTCTAAAAAAAACTATTTTGCCGTTTGAGATCTACATTTACTTTTAAATGTCTTAATACCTGTCTATAAAAGATTTTTAACATTTATCAAAATAAAAATAAATTAAATGTTTCGGAAATAATAATTTGACTATATTTATTATTTGAAGGGTAACCCGTTTGTTTCGAATCACGGTATACAAATTAGAAAATAATTCAGCACAGTGGGTAATGTTTCAAATTATTTTAATTTTTTGTTAAGAAGGTTTTATTTATGTCATCACATGAATGGTTATTTTCATATTGAATTTAATTTTGATAAATTAGACAATATCCTCCTATGACATGTACGACCCCTGCCTGAGGAGTTGAGGGTCATTCCCGTACGTCAGCATAACCATTTAATTTCGTTGAAGTACTTGCTTGGATGTTATCGTAGGAGTCATCCGAACCATGTTGTGATAAATAAAACTCCCCCCACCAGGCACGCCAGGAAGAACATACATGACCTAGAGAGGGAAATCCAACGCCATAAGAGAGAGCCCCTAATTAAAGAAGCCTATCTGATGGGATTCCTGCTGATGCATTCTCACTGTAATACAGGCCCGGACAACACGCTGCACCTCTTTAATTGCCCTGCCAAACCCACCCTAGAAGATCTTTGATTACAGCCCTCGAAACTGGTCGAATTTCTGAACCTGGTGTTAGAACCGGATTAGCAGAAATCAAGCAAAACATGTGCTCCATTCCAGAACCTTCAAGAACCTACTAGTTTAAACATTTTTTCGATATCATAAAGGGGAAATTAGTTAGTGTAGTAAAAAGTTTTACATTCTTTCAGATCTAGAAGAGACCGATGTTTAGCTGTGAAAACAACAACAACACACGAGAACCATTCGAAAGCCTTTCGGGGACACAATTGCTAAAAAACGATTTTTACACAACAATTTTATGAGAAACCAGAAACAGAAGACCGTCATATCACATCTTTTCCGTAGATCTAATATTGGTAGGAGTATTAGGAAGTGCAACCTATGGGAAAAATATGAAAATCATTAAAGGATTACCATATATTTAGTAGTTTTCCATTCCCGTAGTTTCTGGGCAAAGCAGTTCTCTCAGAGCGAATTTGACATGTCTCTCTTTGACTATGTAACTATTAAAAAAGTAAAAACAGATGTTTCGTGAATTTTCGTAATTATTAAAAATTGTGACCCTTTGTGGGGGAGGTATATGGTGGAGTGGACCGATATTGTTCATTTTGCACCTGACCTAACACTGATGGAAATAATAGGATTGTTGGAGCGAAATCGGATTATCCTTTCTCTTTCTGTGCAGTAAAATATTTTTTGGAGATTGTCGATCGACTCCAAATGTCCTAAAACGGATTTGGTCCAAAGAGACCGTATCAAATTATATATACACTCTCTAGCCAAATGACTGAAGGTGTAATAAATAAATATCTTCTAACGCTTTACCTAATATTACAAATAATTTTTCAACTCCTTTTTTTTACATTTGCTCCCACTGTGCCTTGCTTGTTTTCATTTGCCTCTCGTTCATCCCAAATTGAAAACAAAACATATTTCATCCAGCCAATGCACTGCAGTGCAACCAGGGTCGCAAACGCCACACACAAAGCCCACAAGCTGGCGTATTCTGTTCTCTGACAGCAAACGGACAACAAGTGTTGTTTTATTGCCGTTGGTGATGTTGGTGCTGCTGCTGTTGCCGCTTCTCCAACCCGCAAATTATAAAACGTGACAATAAACAAAAGAAAGTTCAACAGAGAGGAAAAACAGATCTCGTTGAGTTTTCGGTAATAGTTTCATTTGAAGCGTCCAAGCGTAAACACCTAAAACAACAAAACGTCGGCGGGTAGCAAAAGTTCGCTTCAATGTGGCCATTCACGTGAAAAATAATATTGCAACAATTTGAAATTTAATCGTGGCTGCAAACAATTTACCTCAAATCAAAATAAACATATTTGAAAAAAAAAGAAAACAAATTATTGCATTGTCATAAACATGTCAATTTTGTGTAAATTTGAATTGACACGCGCTTCAAGCATCTACTACAGCGGTGAGGTGGTGGAGGGCCATGTTACTCTCAATCTCTTGAAGCAGCGGCAAATTGAAGGTGCGTGTTGAAAAGCATTTTTCAGATACATTTACATTCAAATGTGTGTAAGCAAATATTAATGTGGCTAGTCGAGCCTAATGACATTTTGCTGTTGCAATGTCCTTAACAAGCATTGCTTCAGTGAAAATTGCAAAACATGTCTGCTGAACAAAAATTTAAACCAAAACAAATTCTTGTCAGAACCACATACATACATACATGTACCCGTTCAAATACATTTTCTTTCATGCTTAGCAATTCTCTTGGAATTCTATGGTCAAACCAAGTTGGAATGGCTGGATTTGGACAAAACATCTATGGCAGACCAAATTGTACACAACGACTTTAGCTCCAAGGAGTTGCATTCGATGAAAACACTTTACACCAATAGCCATAAACATGTTTGTGAGCAACTCGAACTGGCCTCAAACAACCAGCTGCAGCAACAGCAAATATTGCATCCACATGTTGAGTACCGATACAAGTTTCGCTTCCCAATACCAGTTCATGCTGCAGCAACAAGTCGTTGTCCGTTGGGTGAATGCGAATATGGCCTGCGTCTGATTGTCCAGCATCCGAGGAAAGTCAATAAAGAATTTCACCAAAGAATTGTCATTAAAAATAAACTTGATTTATCCGAAAATATTGAATTACGTGAGGTGAGTAGCATCGTATGGCTTAAAATATAATTTTTTTTTATTGTTATTGTTCGAGGGTGAAGAAATAACCGTAAAATACGTAAAAATATTCGAAAATATGCGGCTCTTTAACATCTGATACCGTAGCTGAATTGTCAATTTAAGTTTGTTGAGTGTTACTCAAATTATCTTCGGCTATAAAAATTATCCGAATAAATAAAAATATCCACACGACTTAAAGATGTGAACTCTGTAAGAGGAAATGCAAGTTTATGACTATTTTTTTTTTTTGCAATTTTTTGGATTATAAAAATATTTTTTTTTTGGATTATAAAAAAAATTAGTCGCATGAACATTTTTTAAAAAATTTTTGTACTGAGATTTTTTAGAATGCTCTTTCTAGGTATGTAGTGTTGTCAGCAATATTACAAATGACAATATGAGGGTTATTTTGGTCGAAAATTTTAACCATCGAGCGAGACATCAAAAGTGGGCTTTTCGGTCCCTTTTTAAAAAATTTCAAACGGGATCGTAGCCAGCAACATATTTTACAAAATTATTTATTAGAATTTATCCAAAGTTTAAATCTTGCATAAACACCAGGAATTCAAAATATTAAGAAAACACATTTTAGGATTAAAGTTAAAATATAAATAGATATATTATATGGACATTCTTTTGACCAAATCCCTTTTAAAAGTTTTCTATACTCCTAATGTCCCCTAAATTATTTACAAAAATATGTTTTTTAAAGTCTTTCATTAACAGAAGAAATTTTTAAAATCTTCTTTCTGTAGACAGCTGTTGGGACCTAAAACAGCAAATGGGCCTTCATTTGGCAACACGATTTGAAAGTTATTAATGGACCTAAAATACTCCAGACACAATAGTCCAACGGATTGGTATCCGGAGATATTGGCGGCCATTGTGCGCTTGAAATGAAGCGAGGAACCTCATTTTGTAACCATTCTTGAGTGGCGCATGCTGAGTGCGATGGTGCTGAGTCCTGTTGGCCAAGGTCTTCGGCCAAAATGTTTGCGTGCCTAAGGCTTTAATACACCCTCCAGAATATTTTCGCCATAATATTCGGCATTTATTCTGATGCCCAATCGATTAATATAATATAATATAATATAATATAATATATATGCGACCATCGGCTGTCATGACGGCCCACACCATCACCATGGCCGGCTCCTGAGTTCTGGTGGCCAACCGAAGGAGCACATTTTCAGCTGACCTCTTTGGCAAGTAAACACGATCATTTTGGTTGTTTACAAACAGCTGGACAACAAATGTTTCTGATCGGAGAAAACCAAATTCGGCAGCTCAAGAGTTTCCGCAAATCGAAGCAACTCTTTAGCTCTTTTGAGTCTATTTTCTTCTGTTGCGGTGTAAGTTCTTGCAATTCTTGGAATTTCGATGGCTCGGGGTAAGCTCATTTTTCAATATTTGCCGATTGGAGTATAGCGATATGTTCAGCTCACTATCCATTTTTCGGTCACTGCAACGCGGTTTCGATCAAATCGTTTCTTTACTTTTCGAACTATTTCTGCTGATGTTGCTGTTTTCTACCCTCCACTTCCTTGATGTCGGGTTACGCTACCAGTATCACGGTAACGAGCGACGAGACACAAAAGATTCATTCACATTTAAATGCTGGAGTGCTCTAACAATAGACACTTGTGGTTTTCCACTCAAATATAAAGAAATCACATCATCACGCTTGAATTCCATCACGAATAATTGTTTTTTAGAAAAATTCTTACCAAAATGCTTTTGTACGCTTGTAAACAATATAATGAGCTGTCACTGGAACAGCTGTCGGACGAGTGGCTTAGAAGTGACAGCAGTCTGAAGTTGGTTGCAGGTTTTTCATCTCACTCTGTATATCTTTATCCGATTTAAAGTTTTTTGTGCACCAACTGTTTAAAATAAGCCAAATATGAATGGATTTTTGTATACACGAATTCAGCCAGGGAGAAATTGTGCCAAATTTGATGAAAATTGGTTTAGATATAGCTACAGCTCCCGTGTATATGTTTTATCCGATTTGGTGTTTAAGTCCCTTACAAGGATATTCAGCAATATATATCAGATGCAGCTCAGAAATACTTTGGAAAAAAATTTCGACATCGGTTCGGATTTGGATTTAGCTTCTAAATATATATTCATTCGATTGCGTTGCTATTGTGCACCAAATATATAACATTAGCCCTAATTGGATGGATATTTTTTGTTTCAACCGAATTTTTCCATTTGGTGAACCTCGGTTACCCATGGCTCCGATACCTATTTTTTAGCATAATCCTCCTCTGGGTGATATTATGCACTCGAGAGCAATGCCATTTGGAACGAGAGGTACAAATGCCTCTCTCAATTTTTTTAGAAATCTATTCAGATATGGATATGCCTCCCATATATTACATCCCTCTGATTCAAAATTATATCTGCTCAAAGCCATAATTCGATTTCAAAAAAGTTTATAGTTGGTATAACCTACTTCATGTAAAGGACTATTTTGTTACGGGTAGCTCTAATAAATGCGCATAATGGGTGTATAACATCTTCATATCCTCCTTATTTCTGATGAGCCCAGTTTGAATATATCATAATTTTTAATGGAATAATAAATGAACAGCTGCATCATCAAATTTTTTGATTTTAATTTTTTTTTCTGGCACATTCCGGTTTTCATTTAATAACATCATTCACTTCTTACAGCCATTCACGGTACAACAACAAAATTCGGATAATGACGAAGGAATTATTTTGACAACACCCTGTACAGGTTTCACACCCGGTCAAAAGGTACCATATCACATCAAGTGCAAAACATCTCAGCCGAATTGTAAAATCTTGGTGCAATTAAACTGTCAGATAACGGCAGTTGGACGCAGCCAAACACCTTGCGCCGATCCGGTCGCAATCAAACAAGCCAAACAAATCATAAACCGGCGAAAACATTTACCCACTGAGATAATGGCGTATTTAAATTTGCCATTAGATTGTCAAATCGCCAGAGGGCCAGAGCGTTGCGAAGATTCAATGTTAAGATATGAGTATTTACTTGAGGCTTTCCTGATTGATGGCTGTAAAAAGATATTGGCAAGTGTTGCGATACCATTGACGATTGGAACTACGCCATGTTTGGAAATGAAAATGATGGAGGAAGACTTTGAAGATGTAATATGTTATGATAATTATGGTAAGTAAGGAATATTTATGGATATCTCAAATAATACAAAATTGAAATCAAGCAAGTTAAAAAGTATCAGTCGGTTTTGCCGACAGATGTATACCCTCAGCCAATGTTGAATTATTTAAATATATTTTGACATCTGTTATGATTTATAAAATTGTTGACCTTCTATGGAGTTGGTTCCGAAGGAATGGGCCGATATTGTCCATTTCGTATTGGACCTAAATAATTGTGATATAAATATTGCGACGTGTCAGGTTTTTAGTACATTGCTTACTTCCTTCACTCTATATGAGATATGTGATAATTTTTAGAAAATCTTAAAATGTGCTTGAGGTACCAGATATTTTACACTTAATCTAATGCAGATAAAAATACAGGTATGGGCAACATTACAAGAAAATAGAATTTTTATATACAATTTAATGTGAAATCATAAATTGTATATCCATCTCTGGTTTCTAGTTGAGAGAAATATTTAGATGTAGTTGTTTAGATAAGTTTTAAAGAATCGATGACATGTTTCGCAAGTTATAAAAGACAAAAGAATTGAAAATTGGGACCCTTTGTGGGTCCATCTTCAGAGCAGATCTTTTGTTAATAGAAATAATGGAATGTGTGAAATATTAAGGGGACCGGATGCTTATTTTGAATTTTATAAGAGTAATAATTATTAAAAACGTTGACCAAATGGAATGGTCCTATCTCCAATATCTTTAAAAAAGATCTTGTGTTGATGGATATATTGAGATATCTCAAATATGATTGGAATCGGATGTTAATTTCGCGTTTTATGAGCTTCTCGGATATTCAAAATTTTGACCCTTTGCGATGGATGTACCGGAAGGAGTAGACCTATGTATTCCATCTTCACACCAGACTATGGGCTAATAAAAATATTGTGATGTGTGTATTTTGAAGACAATCGGACTGTTACATCACCTTTTATAAGAGTTATAATTATTTAAAATGTTGACCCTTTGTGGGGGAGTTACCAGAAGGAGTGGACCGATATTGCCCATCTCCGAACTCGATCTAAGTTTGATAATAATATTTCGATGTACAAAGTTTAGACCAAATCGGATACTCCCTTCAAGCCATCATGCAGACAGACGGACGGACGTACATCGTTAGATTGACTTGAAATGTCCTGAATGGATTTGGATTTGGTTCAAGGAGACCTAGGGTCTAAAACCATTATTTCGATGAGGCACGTTATGACCGTATCAAATGGTATAGATTCTCGCTAGATTGACTATAAATGTCCTGAAACGGTTTTGGTCCAGAGAGACCAAGAGTCTAGAACCGTTATTTATAGATATATATCCTCTCTAGCCTCTCTAGGGTATAAGAATATAATTTGGATAATATTCGATAGGTAGCTGAAGGATTGTATGGTTATATCCTATCTTTCAGAAAAATTTATTTCATATTTTAACAGATTTTTTTTTGAAATGTTATCCTTTTATGGGGATCAAGTGTGTATTAAATCATCCTGCATTCAGCCAAAATTACAAGTCATTTATTGTTTTCAAAATTATGAACATATATCCCACTTGCCCTTTAAATCTTTTCTTAGATTTATTCTAATTAAAAAAAATCATTCTCGTTTCAGAATCCTCCCATGAAGAGCCGGTCACGACACCATTGAATCTAACCATACCCAGTGTTGAGTACTTTATCGGTGACCATGTTTACAAGTCCATGTGTGAACTTATGCCCTTAAAAAGAAACAAATCCCTGAGGAGATCCCTGCGGTATTGCTACAAGAAATTTGTCAAATTAATATAATAGTAATTTTTATATATAAAGTATTTTGTTATTATTTTTTTATACAAACTATTAATTTAATCGAATAAAAAGCATTTGTTTTAATTTTATCTGCAACTTTATTAAAAATATTTTGTTGTTGTTGTTTGGTTGAGTTTTTTTGATTTACAATTTCAAAGAGTTTTAAGTTGTTGTTGGTTGTTTGTTTACTTTTTTCTGGAATCTTATGCGCTAAAAAAATAAACATCAAATATTCACGTTATATCGAAATTATAAAAAATGTAATCGTTTTGAACGCTTTGGTTTGTTTGTTTTTTTATTTTTTTATTTGTTTTTTTATTAATAATTTCCTCTTCTTCTTAATCTTTTTGGAAATATGAAAAATATTTGCTTAGCTAAGAGTAAAATTGTGCAAATATGCTTAAGAGCTAAAGGCTAAAAAGGAGAAATATATTATTTTGTTTAATTTAATTGTTTTTAATATATTATTATTTTTTTCTTGGTTGTTGTTAACGTTCATATACATTTATTTTATAAATTGTGCAATTGTTTTAACATTTAATTTAATAGTCGTAATAAATATAATGATAAAAAGGAAGAATTAAATAATTTGCTTTTTTAGGTTTTTGTTAGGGTGTTTTTTTCTTATTATAAATTTAAATTTAAAAAATCTTATTTATGTAAAAAGGTACAATTTGTTTTCGACTAGAAATTTAAAAGATGGAGTCAATTATAATTTCGTTTCACGGATCCAGGGGGTAGTAAAAAACGTAAAATAAATGGCACTTTATTCATATTGACGCACAAAAAAATGAAACACAGGCGTTTTATTTCACAGATCAGAATGGATAGTATTCCGAACAGTTTAAAAGGCATTCATTTCTAAATCATTTGAGAGATTATTTAATCTTTTATTTAAATGTAATATACGGAACAGAAATATTTCTTTAAAAAAATCATATTCAAATTTCAATAATTCAGACCACTTTTAATGTTCAAACATTTAGTATTTAAATGAGAGCTAGAGTTCAGAAAAATAGAGAGCTAGCCCTCAACTCTTCTTATTTGGAAATGTGAATTGAAAACGTTTATAAAGGAAAGATATGTTAAATGATAAACTGAAAAAAGAAAATATTTGTCATGTCAAGTTTTTATAGAACTAGAATCCAATCCCTGGCTATGCTTTTTTGAGATGAGACTACCTTGAAATAATTGTACCATGCTCACGGGGTAATCTATGCTACAAAAATGTTAGCTTCTGATTTGAAAATTAAAAATGGCAAGACAAGGATGAGAGATCAAAACCCTTTAAGTTTTTTGTTGTTATTACTCAATACGATGTTGTTATTACTCAGTATTGGTTGGAAACATGGACCTGGGAGGAACCGTTATATGGGTTTGAACTTTTTGAAATATGTAAAATCTAGAGGTAATTTAATATGAGCGCTATTCCGAAACATTGACCATTGATCATTTTCAGCGAAGTTGTTTTCTATCACCTTAGACAAGTTAGGGCCAAATCAATTGAAAAATGTGGTCAAGACCCCGAAAATTGGCTTACCAAAACATAGACCTATATTGACAATTTCTTGAAGGGATGTTTCCTTCTTACTAAGAATTCCAATGACCAAAATTTGACGAAATTAGCATGAAAAAGTAAAAAAGCATGCAAGACCGAACTTTTTTTTGGAAAATAACTCATGTGAATAAATGTTTGTTATCGCCAAAATGCCAGTATGCGTCACTTCTGTTGTTAGGAACATCCAATCCAATTCTGTAAAAAAGATGGTTACAATCATCAAAATACCGAATATCGGGAGGAAAGGGGCTATAGAAAACTTTGAAATAAAAAAGAAATTGTTTTATATAAGTAAAAGAACCCCTTGTGGGATCCAAAAAAAAAGAAATCTTCAAAATGCCTAAGATCGGGAAGTATTCTTATATGAGGGCCATAGGGATCAATATAGGAGTTAGAACATATTAAGGACTCTTAATACCGAATTTTAAATTTTTGCGTTAGAATGTGTGGCTAAAGTCGTCAAAATATCGAGAGGTACTTTATATGGGGTTTAAGGAAAACTTGGATCTACAGGGTGAGATGAGAAAACTGCAACAATGTTGGTAAGAATTTTCCACAAAACAAAAATTATTCGTTAAGGAATAATTTCGTGAGAGTGAGATTTCTTTATATTTGGCTGGAAAACCACAAGTGGCTATCGTTAGAGCACTCCAGCATTTAAATTTGAATAAATCTTTTGTGTCTCGTACCATCGCTCGTTACCGTGATAATGATAGCGTAGAAATGGTTCGAAAAGTAAAGAAGCGACTTGATGGAAACTCGCGTCGCAGTAGTCGAAAAATGGCTCGTGAGCTGAACATATTGCAATATTCCATTCGGAAAATATTGAAAAATGAACCCGGGGTAAAGCCATGGCCACCAGAACTCAAGCGTCGGCCATGGCGCTCGTATTAATCGACCGTGGCATCAGAGTAAATGCCGAATATTATCTCGAAAATATTCTGGAGGGTGTATTAAAGCCTTGGGCACGAAAACATTTTGGCCGCAGATATTCCAACAGGACTCAGCACCATCGCACTCAGCACGCGCCACCCAAGAATGGTTACAAAATGCGGTTCCTCGCTTCATTTCCAGCTCACAATTGCCACCAAAACCTCCGGATATCAATCCGTTGGACTATTGTGTCTGGAGTATTTTGGAAAGCAAGGTTGGCACTAAAAAATACCAAAGGGTCGATCACCTCAAGCAAGCGTTTCGCCAGGAATGGGCCAAAATACCGCAGAGCAACATTCGGGCAGCGTGTGACGGTTTCATTGGCCGTTTGAAGGCCATAATTCGTGCCAAAGGTGACCAATTCCAAAAAATCTAAACTTATTCTAAAATTTTATGATATTTCCAAAATTTTTTTGATTTCTTTCAACAAAATTTAAAATAATGTAAAATTAAGGCGTTTGACTTTCTTGCAGTTTTTTATAACACCCTGTATATATGAAACTAAAAGACAATTTTTAGTTGGCAAAAACAAACATTGTATATAAAAATATAAACGTTTAAAAAATGAACGTTCAAAACTTATTAATGTTTAGAATTTTTTTAAATGTATATGGAATAACGTAAAAATTATTAAAAATATAACAAAACATACGGAGTGGCGGGTACTGTTTATAAATATCATACATAGTTTTTTCAAAATCAAAGCTACATATCAAAACAGAAATCCGTTTGAGAACATTATCCATTCGAATTTACAAAATCTCGCCTGAGCTTATGTAAATATGTGCGTACTTATACAATTATCGTATCTTAATTTGTTCATATATAAATGTTTTTTGGTATTTTGTTTTCTTTCGTTATATATATTTAAATTTCTTTTATTGCTCTATCTACGAATAAGTACAAATACACAAATGAGAGAACATAAATCGGAAATCATAAAAATAAGTATTTTTTTGTTCTCTAAGAGACGATGCTTCATTCTTAACTTTGCTCTATGTGTGTGTGTGTATTTTTGGTTGCTTTTGAGGGGGGTTGGGGCTGATGATGCGGGATGGTAACATCACCAACTATTTCTTAATGTAACGCAATATTTGGAATTTCCCAAATGCCTTGACATGACTCAATTCTAGCGGAGATGATGACATGTCCGACAAAGGCGTTGCTAGCACCATTGGATGGTAACGTGATGGTATGGCATCGTAAAGGGTTTCTATAAAAGAGAAACAAAATCAGAAAGAAAGAAAGCCAGAAGAGCGAGACATGAAAGAGAAACACAGAAACAAAGAAATTTGTTGTTTTCATTATTAACCATTAACCAAGGATGTGGTGTTGTTGTTGTTGTTTTTGTTTTGTTTTGTTTGTTATTATTATTGTTTTTGTTTATTGTTCTAGGAGGTGGGTTGTGGTGGTATTATTTGGTATTGGTAGAGGTTGTAGTGGTGGTGTTGTTGTTATTCTTGTTAGAAAGCCATATCAATGTTAAGGCGCATTAAACACATACAAATTCACATAACTTAACTTAATTTGAGTACGAAATAAAAGTCAAGGACCAGAGCTACAAATACTGAAAACAAATAACAAATTCCATACCATAACGGAACAGAACATAACATAAAAACGTAACAGAATCATTCAATTCATACCAAAGTTATTCATGTTCAAATACAAAGTGGAGGTGGTAAGGCGTGCAGAATTTTCGATTTTAGACTCCAATGAACAATAAATATTGAATTTAATAAAAGGAAAGAAAAACAATTACTGGAAAACACAAATCTCAAACATACCGATTGGTTTTTTGTTCTCTGATTATCTAGTTGTTCATCAACATTGCAAAAGTGTTCTGGATGTGTGTGTGTATGTGTGTGGTTTGATAAATATTATTAAATTTCTTTCAATATTAATTTAAGAAAAAAAATAGTTAACATTCAAATTTTTAGGACTAACTACATTTTTTTTTTTTTCATTGAAGGATCAATTTAATTTTGGTTTTTTTGTTGTTGCATTAAGAAAGACATATAAAAATAACAAATGCATATATAAATGGATTCTTTTGGTTTGGTTCTGGTTTTTTTTTGTTTAGTTAATAATGTATGTAAGTTGGGGTATTATAAAAACAACAATTATTCTGATTCATTAGCGGAATCATCACTACCGGGTGGTATTATGGGTGTCTCGTAATAATAATAGACGGGGTAGCGTGGCTTGAAGTTCTCATTCTTGTTGTTGGTCACCACACTGGAAACGCTGACATTCTCCATGTAGGCCAAATCGTCATAGAATTTCTCACTCAGGGCCATGGCATCTTCGTAGGATGGTGGCACTGTGGGAAAAAATGAAAAAGAGGACGTTAATAACATGATTTATTCGTGGTAGGATTTATTTTACAGTCAGAGGCAATGGGTCAAATGCATATATATATACCTATTTTTCTTCGAACATTTTTTTTGTCCTGATTACAATTTTATTGTCATCAGAAGGATAACGGTACAACAATACTTGAAAATACAAATGCTACATTAGAATTATATAAATCAAAAAAAAAATCTTTTGATACCCTCCACCATAGTATGGAGGGTATATTAAATTTGTCATTCCGTTTGTAACACCTCGAAATATACATTTTAGAATCCACAAAGTATATATTTTCTTGATCAGCATAACATTTTTTGTCGATTTTGCGGTGTTGCGGCCGTCAGTGAAAGCCACTCTAACTTCCGAGCGAAATGAAGTAGGTTGATAAAATTTTCATCAAATGTGCATTATGTCTGCAGGACTTTTGGTATTGAAAATGGTCCATGTAGGTCCACGATTTGATATAGCCCCCCATATAATGGTACCTCCCAATTTTCGGTATTTTGATGATTTTAGCGACATTATTCACTGGAATTGTTTCAAATTTGGTATTTCAAGTTCGAAATTGATACTACAGCCTAAGACAGAAAATTGTCTGAGCAGGTCCACGTCTTCGTATAGCCCCCATATAACGATACCTCCCGATAGTCGGTATTTTGATGATTTTAGCGACATTATTCACTGGAATAGTTTCAAATTTGTTATTTGAAGTTCGAAATGGATACTACAGTCCATGACAGAAAATTGTCTGTACAGGTCTGTCCACGTCTTCGTATAGGCCCAATATAACATTACCTCCCTATATTCGGTATTTTGATGATTTTAGCTACAATATTCGCCGATTTTTTTTATAAGTTTCGCATTTGAATATTGTAATGGCTTATGACAAAAGTTGTCTATGCAGGACCACGTCTTCTTATAGATCCTAATATAACGGTTACATTCGGTATTTTTAAGATTGTAAAAGAATTTTTAACGGATTCTATTTTTTTGGAAAATTGAAAAATTCTTTCCAAATGGTGGAGGGTATTCAAAGATCGGCCCGGACGAACTTACAGTTTTTTTTCTTGTTTTTCCTTAAGAACATTGTACGGAAATCTAGTCGAATTTTAAAATTCGGAGGCACAGGGAATATAACAACTAGTAATTTTAAAATTTCTTGATTTCAAGATCCCTGTCAAGCTCGGAAAGCCTAACGGGTTCATATCCTCTGAAAACCTACATCAAAGAATTGTAAATAAAACCGTTGAAACTTACTTTCGCACTTTTGAATACCATTATTCAGGAGGTATAATCTTATGAAAGATTTACGAAATAATGCGCAATGATTGTAACATTTGCCGAGGTGAATATAAAGTCATAAATATAAAATACCGGAATTCCCAATGATGAGTAACACGGAATTTGTTCGTTTTCACTCGGGATTAAAACTTGCTTGCAAGTGGGATTGCTCAAAGAGTGGTAGTTTTATATGGAGATTATTCTTCACTCTCGAAATAGAGCGAGAGTTGGCTCTAAGAGTGAAATCGAGTGGATGTTGCTGTGAACTGTGGAAGATGGGGGTGATCGTGTGCAAAATCAAAGAAGGGAAAAATAGTAGAAGCAATGGACCATTGGAACACACATTGGTTATGTCCTACCACAGGATGAAGAGTGAAACTAGTCTATTTTATTCTAAGAACGGGTGCTTTTATGGCTTAGCCGAAAACATGCAAGATTTTCTTTATTTAAAAAATTATTTCGAGATGGCGCCCAATATAAAAATTTAATTTTCCAGCCGGAAATTTTTCAAAGTGATGGTTAGGAAATGTTAAACAATTTTTTTTGAAAAATAAAAATTGGAAAAAGGTTAATGAAAATATTTTTTTGAGTGTAACATGAAATTTTGACACAATACGGAATAATACTAGTGACTCTAGAAACGATTTTTGAATTATGAAACGTTTTAACTAAATGATCGATATACACATCCACAATATGTTAGTATTAAAAATATATATTTTGCCACAGCTAGTTTTGATTTTTTGTGTCCATCAAAATTACACCACATGCATGGCTCATTGCTCCATAGTGACATTATTTCTTTTTTTTCTATTTATAACTGGAATTTCACTTGAGGGTAACATTTCATTTAAATGCCATTAATTTCCATTCGTGTTGACAACGTTTTGCAATTACTTTAAAATATGTACATGAGTTTGACGACGGGTCACAAGGGACGTATTTTGCAAATAAGTTGGCATTTTTCTATTGTGGTAAAAGCAATTGTTAACAACAGCAACACCAACAACAAATGACATGGTGAAAATTCAATCCCAAGTGATATTCTTTGATAATTAAAATTCTAAAAATAAAACCAAATATTATTTATTATCCGATAAAGTGTAGCGTTGAATGGTAGGTAGGTTTTGCCACAACACAATGTCCATAAAGGCAGGTTTACACCGGTGAAGTAATTGTGAAGACTATCACTAATAGAGAGAGATAGACTACATTTCTCGTGTTTAAGCTAATGTAGCCACTGTGGTTTCTGTTTTTATTAATATGCCAATATAATTTAAAAAAATCGAATGTGTACACGTTAAATCTGGTGTACAGGGTTTAACTGAAAAGTCCGTCAAGGAAATGTTACAAAGGTCTATAAATTTTTTTGCTAAATTTTTAATTTCTTTAAAAAATGTTATTAAACATGTATAAATATGAATCTGCTTAATAAAACATTTTTATGGAATTGAAAATTTAATATATCAGCTACTGTTTATAACGTTCTCCTCATACATGTATCTAAGATAATGCCCCTACTCACTCATCGGTATATAATCCGGCGGATTATCAGTGTCTGTAACCATTATGGTAGGTGTTGAACGTTCATTGGCCTCTTCATCCACCTCGGAATGCGGCAACATCGTGACCTGCGGCTCATCCACCGATTCGGCCCTCATAATGCTATTGTTATTGGCCTGCAACAGGGCAGCACTATTGCCACTATCCATTATGGGAACACTGCCAATGGTCAACGGTATCTTCAATTTCATTTTCCAATGGAATTCGGTTGGTTTGATGATAATTTTCATGGCATAGTTAACCGTTATCGGGCAGGACAATTTGGCCGATGTGGGCGGTATAGATGGCAGTTCCAAGTAGCCACGATACACTTTGCGACTCCACCGCAAGACGTTGCCAAACTGTTTGGACGCTATCAAATGCTTGTCGTAACGGTACTCATGTTGCGGATCGTGGGTCTCATAGGTCACCTCCTGTTTCAGTTTCACATCGCATTGGGTGATGTCGATGGACGATTCATTGTTAATGTACAAAACGAAATGGATCTTCTGACCGGGGGCATAGCCGCAATAGGGTGTGGAAAATTTAACGGTAAGTGGTCCGGTTGGGCAGCAAAAACTCCAAAAACGTTTACGATCTAATATTTCTAGGGGTACCTGTAAAACAGCCAACAACATAATTCGGGCAATATGGTTCAGTATTTGCTATGCCTCCACATTGTTACTCACCCTATATATGGCATCACTATTTAAATCTACTGGATGTATCACCGTAAAAGGCAATTTGAATACTTTGGGATATCTTCCTGGCCGATCGATCGTCGTTATGATCTCGTAATGTATTTGTCCGTATTTGCCATCGAACGAAGTTGGTAAATTTTCCGGCAGTATAACATGAAATGTATATGAATATTCACCAGCCGTCCAGTCCAGACAGGAATTGCTGCCGCATGAGCCGAGGACATACGAACGCGACGACAAATACGAACGATAGGCTCGGCACATGGCCCGCTCACTGTCACGTGGATATCCCTTCTTTATCCAGCGTATCTTGGCATAACCGTTGACCGTGATGTGAATGGCTGTAAAGACAAAAGGAAACGGTTAGATGTGATGTTTTGAATGGAGTTGAGTTTGAGTGTACAGGGTAAGACAAAAAAAAACTGCAAAAAAGTCTAACACCATAATTTTTCATTTTTTTTTTTTTTAATTTTATTGAATGAAAGCAGAAACTGTCGGAAATACTATCAAATTTTAGAATAATTTAGATTTGTTCGAATTTGTCACCATTGGCACGAATTAAGACCTTCAAATGGCCAATGAAACCGTCGCACGCTTCCCGAATGTTGCACTGCGGTTTTTTTGGCCCATTCCCGGCGAAGCGCTTGCTCGAGATGATCGACACTTTGGTATTTTTAGTGCCAACCTTGCTTTCGAAAATACTCCAGTCACAGTAATCCAACGGAGATCTTGATGGTCATTGTGCGCTGGAAGTAAAGTGAGGAACCTCATTTTGTAACCATTCTTGGTAGGCGCGTGCTGAGTGATATGGTTCTGAGTCCTGTTGGAATGACCAAGGTCTGCGGCAAAAATTTGAGTGCCCAAGGCTTAAATACACCCTCCAGAATATTTTCGGGAGAATAATTGGCATTTATTCTGATGCCACGGTCGATTAATACGAGCGGAGAACAACCATCGGCTGTTGTGGCGGCCCACACAATCACCATGGAATTTCAAAGGTAAAACCATTCCGAGCTCATTTTTCAATATTTGCCGAGTGGAATATTGCAAAATGCTCAACTCATGAGCCATTTATCGGACACTTCGACGCGGATTTCGATCAAGTTGCTTCATTACATTTCTCACCATTTCCGCTGATGTTGCTGTTTTTTTCCGTCCACTTCCTTGACGTCGGGCTACGCTGTCAATATCACGGTAACGAGTGATGGTACGAGACAAAAAAATTATTCACATTTAAATGCTGGAGTGCTCTAACGATAGCCAGCCATTTGCGGTTTTCCAGCCAAATATAAAGAAATCACATTATCACGCTTGAATTCCATCACGAATAACTTTTTGTTCTGGAAAATTCTCACCAAAGTGCTTTTGTACGCTTGTAAACAATATAATGAGCTGTCACTGGAATAAGTTTAAGTGCTGTCGGACGAGTGGCTTATAAATGACAGCAGTCTGAAGTTGGATGCAGTTTTTTGATTTCACCATGTAGACAATTTTCTGCCAAAGGGGTTGCTATCTATTTCGAACTTCAAATATCAAATTTTAAACTGATCGATCGAAAAATGTAGCTTTGAAATATCAAAAATCGAAATGTATTTCTATATGGGGACTATAAGAAAGGTGGAGCCTAATGAGTTATCTTTGAACTTGATCTAAGTTCAGACCAAAGACACATACTGTTGTTGTTTTTTACATTAATTTTTAATTACTTCTTTCAAAATGCACTATGAAATCTCTCATTTTGTATTGAAAACAAATCCATTCCATTAAAACCCCTTTTATCCAATTAGATTTATATGAAATGCCTCCGAATTTATTGGTATTTTTCCATTTCTCAAAATACAATGGAATTAGCTGGGCCACTGCAATTTAATGTTGACATTGCAATTAATTTTCAACTGCAACAGCAACATTTTGTTCGTCCCATACATCCTTTGTTTGTTGTATTTATGGTAGCGGGCTGTCTCCAAGGAAAACAGTGGAATGCACACACATCGGCATGTATGTGTGTGTCTACAGTGATTTATGTGTGAGTGTATGTGTACCCTACACAGTGGCCAAACGGTATTACGTTTTAATTGGCGCCATTTCCATTATCTATTTTTGTTTGGCCACAGTTGAACAAACTAAATGTAGGGTATCCTTGCAAAAGGACCGTCCCTCCCCGCTTTTTGGCTTGGATTGTCCTCTAAATGGTCATTTGCTGTTTTGTTTTGCAGCGACTGCAGCTGCGACTGCTATTCACAGTAATGGCTGCGTGCCAAAAAAAATATGGTTTTGCAGCACAAACATGAAAATCAACTAAAAATAGGAAATAATTATATAGAGCACCGATAAAAATGCTTACTATAACAGACAACAACAACAGCAGCATTATAAACAAAATGACAACAATTTCCACAGGATATGGACATGTCAATGTTGGAGTGTGTTGAATTGTGTTCGCTCGCTTACTCTGTGTCTGTGTGCGGAAATGCACTAAATGCTAACCTACACAGGCAACTGACAACCCATCCACACACACACACACTCCCGCATAAACATTCAATCATCAATGGAAATGTGAAAGTACATTGACAATTTCCACCGCAATGTCCTTTTATTGATGGCAAAACATGATTTTGAAAAGCAATTAATAAATGTGTCGATAACAACGTAGACTACTTCATAACGAGTGTGATTCCGCCGGAGATGGAATGTTTTGGTGTGGGAAATGTCATAAGTGTGTATAAGCGGCAAGGATTCTACAACTGCAAGGATTCCTACTAAACTTACAAAGAAATAATAGAACAAAACAATATAAAGTGATTGCAATCAATCCTTTTTTCATTGTTTCTTTGCTATATTTGGCTTGAGTGTTCTGCTCTAATGTCCTCTATATTTTGGATGCTTCGATGTTGATGAAACCTTGAGTGGTAAAAAATTAAGACCACATATTTATTCTAAGAGTTTTTTTTCAACATTAACCTCAAAATCAAATTTCAGAATTTCAGCCCTATCCCTTCACCCAATACCAAATTTAGCACCATTTAGTACGCATATCCAAAATAATCTACATCTCTCTATCCTAGACATCATCAGTGATCCAAAATTAGTACCATTTAGTACCTTTCGAACAATTATAGTACCCATTTGCTGAACCACCACAGATACCAACAGACACCTCAGTCTCAAATTTCGGGATTCCAGCTCTATACATTCTATCAATACCAAATTTAGTAACATTTAGTATTTTTCGTACACATTTCCGAAAAGACCTCCATATTTCAATCCCAGATACCGACAGAGATCTCAGTATTAAATTTCTGGATTTTAGGCCTATCTCTTCACCCAGATTCTAGTTTCAGCCGTTTCGTCTGGGCGTTGATTCCAAATTTAGTACCATTTTATACTTTTCCCACAATAATGGTATACCTCAATATCAAATATGGGGACCTGATTTTTACATTTCGGGAATCCAGCACATATATATTTATTTAATAGCATTTTTCGAACGATTACATTATACATTCCCAAATCAACCTCCTTATCTCAGTTCCAGACACCAACAGAGATCTCAAAATTAAATATGAGGATACAAGCCCTATCCCTTTTCTCTATGATCCAAAATTAGTTTCATTGAGTACTTTTCGTACAAATGTAGCACAAATTTCCAGAACCTGCTCCATTTCTTAATTCCAGATACCAATAGAGACCTCAATATCAAATTTTTATACCAAGTATAGTACTATTTAGTATTTTTAGTCCACTTGCACCCTAAACCAAACTGTTTCAAATTTAGTACCATTTAGTACAGTTCACACACTTAGTACACATTTCCAAAGCCACCTTCATGTACCAAACTTACTTTTCAACCTTGAATCTCATACGAAATTTAATTTTTTAGCTCTGTCCGTTCAAATATTGTTAAATGGTACCATTTAAGAAGTTTAGTACCGTTTTAGAACGTTTCGTAACCTTAGAGTTCTAATTTCTAAAATCCCTTTGGCACATCTATCCCTTACTCCATCAGTGACTCATTCAAAATTTCAGAATTCTAGATCCTTTTGTTTGTCTTAGAAAAAATATTCAATTTTTAGTACATTTTAGTGCTTTTCGTACCCTTTTAGTACAAATTTCCAAAAACACAGTCTTATTACACGCCTTCGCACCAGCAGTTTCGTCTGGGCGTTGATTCTCAGCCAGTTTTTTAATTCTCTTTAATGAATATAAATTTACAAGGAAATAGTCCTGACTCAGCTCAAGTAAAAATGATAATGTCAATGAAAGAATTTCCTTTCTCACACATGGATATTGCAAAAAGTCCTTATTTATTGTTCATTTCGCTCTCATTCTCTTTCTCTCGCTCTCTCTCTCTCTTTCTCTCTTACATCCTCACTGACAACTCATCACATTTTATTATTTTTCTTTACTCTTCGAAGATTTCACAACCTTATGCTTGTAATGCCGACGTTTCTTATTACTTGGTAATAAAGAAATAAGCTCTTTTGATTTGTTTCTTGAAATTTTGAAACGTTTCCTTTCAGGCCTTAAAATAACAGATAAACTTTAGCAATCTTGCAAAAAATCTAATATTTTGTACTCCTCTAATTTTTTTACCAAAAAGGTTTGAAAGAGAGAACTATTTAAAAAGTTCTATCAAACATTTTTTCCGGTACAGCGAAGAGTTTCTAGTAAAAAGTCGCAAAAATGGTAACAGAAATGAAAAGGGATTATTTACTTTTATTTAATTTTTATATAATTTATGTTCAGAATTTTTCTTAAAATTTGACAGTACTGATTCATAGTAAGGTTAACACCAATTTAAAATAGAGAGAATAATTAATATATGCTCTGGTTCTGAAGCTGAAAGAATGTAAAAACGTTGCTACGATAACCGATTTTTCATTTATGGTACTAAAAAAGTTGAAATACTAGTAGATTCTTGCAAGTTCTGGGAAAGAGCATCAAATTTTAATGTCATGATCGGATAAATAACTCTACCGATAATAGTCATATTTGGAAACACTTAACGACTCGACCGGCTTCGTTTTGCTAGGGACAAAAGAAGCAGGTAACAATGACTTTCATGTATTGAAAATAGCTTTAGAATCTGTTTTATTCAACTGATGCGTGTAATATCTCCTCAAAAATTAACAAATTTAATTAAAATATTTTTGAACTATTCCAAAAAATGTTTGCTTGGTTGCACCCGCTTTGGTAATTCGCATCAATGGTTTCGACGAATTGACAAATTGTGATGTTTATTGATAAATGACAATTAGAAAACAAGAAAACAAAACATTTAATAAACTTTAATGGTCACTGGTCGGTAACAGCGAATAATGGCGGTGACAACGACGACTGCGACGATGCCGTCGACGAGGACGACAGTGGCTAACAGCATTGCGTCGACGTCAGTGTTTGCAAAACAAAAACCTTCGAGACAGCACTTCACGGAAATGGGACAACACATCCTTTTGAGTCATACTTTGTACAGTAGCAGTTACAGAGCAACAAACACACACATACACATGTACAAACCTGGCTGCCTGTGTGCATTGTGGCAACGGGTAATCGGGTGGCAGAGTGGACAAAATGAAAAGACACACAAAAAAAGGAGGAGAAATGCCAATGATTGTTTGTTTACCTTTAATACGTTTTGTTGTATCAACAGTGAGATCAACAACACCAGATAATTCCTGGCCAGCATAATAGACACCTTGAGTATTGTTATCGAAAGATATAAGGCACTCAATGGGCATATATTTCTATATGTGTGAAGGCACACTCACACAGAGACACACACAGACAAACGAATAGGGGCGACAACGGTGACAAATTGTTGGCCAGCCAACTACACGCACTTGCTAGCAATACACTTTTTGGGTAAAAACACACACACACTCAATTTAATTTACTGCAATTTTAGATAGGTTTTTTATTTTCCTAAAACAATTCGGCAAGGACTTTTCACAATCGCTTGTATTTTCTTAATTTTTGCTTGAAAATATTGCTTTCAATTTCACTCGTTGTAATCTATTTTTTGTTAAATATTTTTTCTTGTGGCCATAAGTAAATATTACTTTTCTATATTATTTTTTTACTATTTATTTATTTATTAAAGCCTTCTTTAAATTTCGATTAGCACTACATCATCGTCGCCATCATCACACAAACTATTCCATCAGCAGCAGTAGCAGCAACTACAAATATAGATGTTGCTCTCGCTGTTGTTATTATTATTGTTGTTGTTGTTACCGTTTGCTATGATTAAATTATACACTTTTTCATTTATATATTTTGTTTGTTTGCTATAATTTTTTGTTTCTTGTTCTCTCCTCGAGCGTTTAATTTAAGTTTAGCTTTTCTTTTGCGTTTTTGCGCGAACATTCACATTAACCTCACGAACGAACGACCAGCAGCCTTTTGCTTTCACATAATTTCCATTTGTTCCATGGCACTGCTACTTGTCGACAACAACATCGTTGTCGTAGTCGTCGTCACTGTCGTCCTCCGTCGTCAGCGGCATTGTAGATATATGAGTGTGTGTGTGTGTTTTTGTCCTGTCAGAAATTGTTTGCTTTTTTGTTTCTCTCTTTGCTGAACGAAAATTTCAAGAATACAGCGGTGGGTCATTCAATTGTTACCGATTAGAGAGTGAAGGAGATTTTAATGTCAACAAGTAAAAAAGCAGTAAATTCGGCCGGGCCGAACTTTGAATACCCTCCACCATTTGGAACGAATTTGGAAATTTTCAAAAAATAAAATCCGTTAAAAGTTCTATTAAAATTTAAAAATTTCTAATATCGGAAGGTGCCGATACATGGGGGGATATACGATATTGTGGACCAATATTGACGAATCTATGTCTAGGGGTAAAGTACTCACAAAGAACACCTTGTGTAGAATTTCGTTCAAATGTGTGGCTAAAATCCTCAAAATACCGAATATCGACGATATCGTGGACCTATATAAATAATTCTCTGTGGTGAATTTTAGACAATTCCATTGAAAAATGTGGGTGAAATCATCAAAATACCGAATATCGGGGGGTACCGTTATATGGGAGATATACGATGTCATGGACTTATATAGACAATTCTTTTTCAGGGGGTAAAGTCCTCACAAGGGACTCCTTGTGTGGAATTTGAGAGTATTCCATTGAAAAATGTAGCTAAAATCATCAAAATACCGAATATCGGGTGGTACCGTTATATGAGGGATATACGATATCGTTGACCTATATAGATAATTCTCTTCCAAGGGATAAAGTACCCACAAAGAACTCCTTGTGTGGAATTTCAGACAATTCCATTGAAAAATGTGGCTGAAATCATGAAAATACCGAATATCATGGGATACCGTTATATTGTGGTTATACGATATCGTGGACCTATATAGACAATTCTCTTTCAGGGGATAAAGTCCTCACAAGGGACTCCTTGTGTAGAATTTGAGACTATTCCATTGAAAAATGTAGCTAAAATCACCAAAATACCGACTATCGTGGACCGATATAGCACATCGTCGAACTTGACAAAAGAGAGATCCATGCTAGATGTTAGCTTCCTACCTTAATTCGTTTTACCTGTAGCTTGATTACAACAGACTGACAGACGGACAGGGCTTAGAATTTTACGCTGATCAAGAATATATATACTTTGTTGGGTCTAAAATGATTATTTCGATGAGTTACAAACGGAGTGACAAACTTAATATACCCTCCATACTATGTATGGTGGAGGGTATAAAAAATGGCGGGGATAGTTGGTCCAATTGTGAGAACATATACAAATTTAGAAGTTATTTTTTGTGCGAATCACACCTTGGTTCATTCCACCATCGTAGCAACGGTTTGAACAACAATTTAGGTTCTCGAGTGTCCGAGAAAGATCCCTTTTCAAAATTCTCACTTGCTAAGAATTCTAAATAATTTCTGCCCATTTTGGAATGATGCTGCTATATCAATTAGCTATTAAAATAATTGGACCCTTTGTATTCATTTTAATTCAATTAGAATATATTCTAATTATTCCATTTCAACTGGTTCTATTATTTTCTCAATATTAATACAGTAAGCATTGCCCGTGTGAGTGCGGTGCACAACACTCACACACATTGTGTTTTTGTTTCTCTCTTTTTTTTTTGTTTTTTGTTTTTCTATGGCCTAAAAGTTATTCTTACGTTAACAGTGCTCTAGATTTGATATCCGTTTGTTGTTGCCGTTGTATGGATTTGATGTAGTCGCAGTTGTTTTGTTGTTTTTCGTTCATGCTCTTGTCCTTTTTGGCAGCGCTGCCAAAAACAAGTGCACACAAACACTTGCACACATTCACATATTTTCACATAACTTGACACACATATCCGAGCGAGAATGCTCTGAGCTCACCGTAACGTTAAGAGCTGGTGCTTTTGTTGTCATCGTCCTTTTGCCGTAGATTTTTTTCATCATACTTTGTTAGGTCGTCTTTACGCATTTTTAACATCGTTTCTTTGCTTTTATAGTCATATTTATTACACTCTTTGTTGACATACTGCCTGCCTGCCACTGATTGAGTGGTGGTAGTGCGGTATACTCCTCATGGAGCTTCGAAAGCTTTTTGGTCATTCCAGTAGCTAATAATGAAATAAAAAATAATTTATTGCAGAGCTTTTGATGGGTAAATTAAGTGGAAGCTTAGTAAACAAAATTTTGATTTTTGTCAATCAACATTCAAGAGATATGCAAAATTTCAATACTTTTCTTATAAGTGTACCTGCTTTTCTTGTCAAAAACTGATGTTAACTATGTTGTAGATCAGGAAAGAAAAAAGAATGGATATGATTTATTATCGGTTATTCGTAAAAAACACCTACTTGCCTTAAAAAGGAAATCGGTAAGTGAATAACAATAAAGAGCTTCCTTTCAAATTTCCATGCTACCTGGATTTCAAAATATGGCTTTCAAAAATATGATCTAGACATTTTTATCTTTCAATTCCATGGCAAAACTGGCGAATAGTTTTAATGCCCGTCCAGCAATCTACGCGTCTTCAAATCATTGATTTTGAAAATATTCTGTTTTTATTTTTCAAAACAATAAATTCATACACAAATGCGCTTCCAGAACCTGCAATAATCTACTAGTTTTGCAATTTTTCCCGACATCATAGAAGGAAAATCGGTTGTCGTATATTGCAGTTCTGGAACAGACTTAAAATTGACAGAAGTCGGGCAAAAAAATTTAATCAGCTGATAGCTCTACCTTACCTTTTTATTGTACCATAGCCATAAGTGCATATTGTCTAACTCACACAATTATAGAAACCGAATTTAATTTACATATTTCATATCATAATCTTCTCGTATTCTTTCTTATAAATGTATCTCTATCATCATTCACTCTGCATTTACATTTTTAAACTTAAGGGTTTCATTTATTGCAACACACTTTGTTCAAAACATATTTTTATAACCGTCATTCGCTTTTATTGCTCAGTTCCAATGACTTCGCATGTAGATGGCTCTAGAGTACATTGCATCGCATTATTCGATCTTTAAAACCCTATGAATGATTGACATTTGGTACAGCTTTGCATCTGTAAATGTAAATATAAAAGAAGGTGACAAGATAAAATCAGTTACGGGTAGGAGTTTATACCTTTCAATAAGATTATTCTGTAATAAATTACTGCTACAATTTACAAATTAAGAATTCACACATAAAATTTCATGAAGAGAGACGCGAAAGTCGACCTGTGTACCCCTAAGCAACAACAAAAAAAGGTAAACACAAGATAAGTGCGGCAAGTAAGAATCACTCGTTTCGTTTTGTTAATAAATTTATGTGTTTTAGATTATTTGCTCAGTTCAAGACTTCTATTTACCCTGTTAATACAATTCGTTTCTTCATCTCCCAATAATTTCAGTGAGGCTACTAATACAACTGCGGAAAATGTCGGCTGCCAATGTCCCATTGTCAGGTATTGATTGCACCAATGAATTTGCGCTATTGTTATCCCATTTCAATACATATTTATTTTTTAAATCGTTACAGCTCTACGCTTGAAATATATGGAAAAGAAGCAAGCCTTTCTTGAAGAGAATATTCGCGTTAAAGAACCCATAACTTTGTTTAAAGAATGGATGAATCAAGCATTGCAAACGGAGGAAATCATTGAACCAAATGCAGCCAGTCTGGCCACAGTAGGAAGGTGAGTAAAATTAGCAACAAAACAGTGGCGTGTGTAGGTGTTGTGGATAATAAAATATGATTTAGAGTAGTTTAAGAATGCAGCAAGGTTACAATGGAGTACTGTACAAAATGTAGTGTACAGTACATGATATTTTCCAATTTAACCCGCTGTAAACGATTAAAAATAACATTAAGTTCGGCCGAGCCGGGAGTTTTATGCCATCCATTAAGATCTTGAGGTGCCATTATATGGGAGCTATACTAATATTCTATATTTTTTTTCGAGAGGTGTTAAACCAGAAAGAAATCAAAGTGCGAAGTTACAGCTTATTTGCTTATAAATTGTTGCTAAAAACATCTATATAGTGACTTTAGACTTTATAGTTGACTATAGACTGTTAACTAAATCCCTCCATTTTAACGTAGAGGGTATGAAAGACTTCAGTCTCGTTTAGGAGCAACTCTTGAATTGGTTAGAAAGTTATATCAAAGCTAGTCATTGTTATGCCGAGTGCGAGTTTGGTTAATTTGTGATGCATTAATCTCTATTCAATTCTATTCAATTCATATCAGCGGAACAAAGATATATTTGATGATTCGATCATTTAATAGTTGTTTGTACCCGTACATATTATACATTCATTAAAAAAATCATTTGTTTTTATTTTCTTCCTTCAGTGATGGCTGTCCTTCGAATCGCTTTGTACTACTCAAAGACATATCCGATGAAGGTTTTACATTTTTCACCAACTACGGCAGTCGTAAAGCTCAAAACATTGCTTCGAATCCTAATGTGGCTATGACTTTATATTGGTGCCCACTAAGACGCTCCATACGCATTGAGGGTGTTGCTGAAAAAATTCCCCAAGAAGATTCGTTGAAATATTTTCATGAACGCCCAAGGGCAAGTCAAATTGGTGCATTGGCCTCAGAACAAAGCTCAAGAATACCATCACGCAAGCATTTAGATGAAATAGAAAAGAAAATAAAACAAGAATTAGGTGATGATAAGGCAGTACCATTGCCGAATTGGGGTGGCTATTTGATAAGGCCAAAGTTAATTGAGTTTTGGCAAGGCCAGACCGATCGTTTACATGATCGCATTGTTTTCCGCAAATACTCTGGCGTGGAAAAGGTAATGTTTTCTTTACGTTGATTATTCAATTCATTTAACATTTTAATTATTTATAGGAAATTGATAATGTGCTGGTACATCCTGCTGAAAACGGTTGGGTCTATGAACGTTTAGCTCCCTAAGCAGTTTGCATTTATAAAGTTACTATTGTTATACATTGAAATCTTTCTATATTCTTAAATATACATTTGAAACAAAAAGAGGCATATATGTAAATATATTTTATGATATTGGCTATATTTTCATGTATATAAAATTGTAAATAATTGTCATTGACAAACATTTGTTGTTATAGAATTCATTTCACACAGTATAGTGGAATAAAACGTTATAAAACATTGCTTATGTAAATCGCATTTGTTTATAAACAAAGAAATGTGGGTATATGACTAATTCTTTACGGCAATTTCCTGGTTTTATGAATACGCGAAGAGTGAATTATCGTTGCAAGCACTATAAGAACGACATTAAATTTCCATAATTAATAAATAATGCATCCAATAACAGGTATAAAAAAACAATTTTAAAATTTTCAGTACTTCTTTGTAGTAATTTATATTGTCATTTATTTAGAAACAAACAAAAATTGTGTTTTTATGTGAATATACATCAAACTTTTGCAATTAAATCAGTAATGGAAATCGCCAATAATATTCAACAGAATTTTTAATACTTCACGGAACATAAAGAAGTGAATTTTAAGGCAGCAATCGACAATAATCAATTGGAATGTCATAGAAGAAGACACATTTATCATATATAAAGGAGAAAAATATGAAACAAATGAAGTTTTCCAGTGGATCTAAGTGTGATTGCGAAAAAATGAGGTACCCATAAACATAACTATTTAAAGGGCAAGAACTATCAAAAATGTTTCCTATTTAATATTTCCAATTTACAAATCCCATAATGTAAGTCCAGTTCTCTACGGGCTTATTTTTACAGCATATTCTGATGTGACTGTATTTGTAGCTAAGTCTCAATTAGTTTATATATTGACGCTAAACGAATTCTCGTATTCGATATCAAATATTGTTTTAGTAAAATTGACTGGGTCTAATTCGCATATTAGACATGTAGATAGTACTATTGACATAATTCCCATCGTTCATTACTCCCTTTTTACTGCGTACCTATCAAAATTTGATATTAAAGGTTTTAGATATAATCTCCCAAATAACAGCCTGTAATTTGAGACCTACAGTTTACAGTGAAGGTTTAAAGCCATATTTTGCAGATGAATCAACTAAAATTTGTTATTGGAGTGAAACCAACATTTTTACGGATCCACCTTTTAGTATAGTCCATGAAATATGAAGTATTTTAGCCACATATTAGCACACATTTTTCTGTATAGTCCTATGATTTCATGTGTTTGTGACTCTCCTATAAAATTATCCTCGGATTTTAAGATTTATTTAAAATTTGGTTTATTATATAAAAATGGTTTCCGATCTTACGATTTGTTTAAAATTTGGGTCGCATTTTTCAATAGATATCAATATTTGCAATAGTTCTTAAAATGGATCCCTATTCTGATAGCTTCCCGGTTGTGCTTTCATTGAATTTCAAAACTACTTTTTTCGTCATCCAAAGTGCATTCCACTCTAATGTTGAGCCCATTGCCTGCAATCCGTTGTATGGTCTACTGGTTGAACAAAACACAATTTTCCACTTACACGAAGTTACAATGCAATGTCCTTTGCCAATGACGCGGTCGCTGTTCTTCATCAACTAATAATAAAGGACAATACACAGGACATGTGTCGTTTTATCGTAATGTATGTAGGCATGCATGCTCGTAATCAACGGATTGTTATTGGACTGTAGTAACTCTTAAATAATTTAAAATTGGGTTGTCTCCCTTAATAAGGATAATTAACAAAGTGTGCTGACATTTGAGTGACTCCTGCAAAGTGAGCAAAATAATTGCATTAAATGGGGCTGTGGGTGTGGGGAGGAGTCCTCGTAATGTTTTGACAGCCTGTGGTTTATTTGTTTTTATTTTTGTTTCTTTGTTTTGCTTCTGTTATCCTTCCGAAGGGTGTTTAGTATTGGTGTGTGTGAAGGTATTGCCTTCGTGTAAGGGTGGTTCCCTCAAGTACATAGCACATGCTCAGCCAAGTAGTGCTGTTACTTACCGGGTGAGCGTCGAAGAGAGTATTGTTTACTGTTCGCACACTTGCACAGCAAATGCCGAAAGTCGCAATGTTACGACTTCTAAGGGTTTTTGAACTTTGGAAGTTATTTGTTGTTTGTGTTTTCCCATTAGTTCTGTGCTTGTGTACAACTATTTTGTATCTTTTGTTCATCTTTCTTCTTGATGTAAAAAAAAACGTGTAAAGAACAATAAAACAGAAAAAGTACCTAGAGTTGCCAATGGGAAATTTATATATTACTATATTTTAATAAATAAAGATACAATGTATAGTCTTCGATCTATTTATGTGTGACTAAAGAAAATTAATTAATTAATAATCAAATATTTCATTTATGTTTAAATATCAAACATTTGAAAAAAGCAGATAAACAGTGAATTATTTATTAGTTTAATTAATAAGAATATTTTCTTTAAATTATGTCTGGGAAAATTTGTTTTTATTATTGTTGCAATTCTCCAATCCGGGAGGCTTGGGGAAATTCTTTCAAAATCCGGCAAGAAAGACGTGGTTTAGCTTCTTAAAATTATGGTTCCACACCCCTGGGTTGACTTCCTTAAATCTACATCCTTAGAGCTCTAGGGAGGCCTTGAACAATTCTTTTAAATGACAAGATTTTATTACACAAGTTTTGAAGTAATTGAGGTTATTTACTTAGAACATTGTATAGAACCTTGTAATGATATATTGCATGATCGGTCTGCACCTATAGCAGGATATAAATTCATTGGGATTTTTAAAAAAAATAATGACCCAATTTCTTACTAACCGAATGCATCTCCAAACTTTATTTGGTCTTTCAGCTTTTATTATACATATTGTACCATGGTAATCATATTTTGACTTCTTTTTGACATTTGTACGCGTACACACACATACATACACACTTAGCTATCGACTTTCTGAGGCATCCATCCAAGTCAGCCAACAACAAACCGGGAATAAAGCAAAACCAGAGAAAGTTCATCTCAATGTGAGTGTGAAGAGAACAATTTTACGCACACACATACATTCACATCCATGGAACTCAAGCATTTTGCAGTGCTGTATGGCTTGGCCAAAAAGGAGAATGCCACTTTTCCGATGTACACCAACCAAACAACCACTCACTGACTACAGACAAAAAAGCTCAGTGAGGGTTGCGGTCTTGAAATTGTGTGTGAGTTAAGAATCTTTTGGAGCTGAAAAAAAAGTTATAACAAAATAATAAAAATTAAAAGAAAACAAAAACTGGACATCTTCCAACCGTCAACTAATTCAACCCGACAAATCTTAATACATTTAAATGTTTTCTGCGCTGAGAAAAACAAAAACGAGAAAACCCTATTAATCATATCGATTTAAGTGGATATAAAAAAGCCAATGTTTTTTACAATTTTTATACGTAAACCTACATACATATTTTTGTGAATGTTTCAATTAAACTGTAGTTAGAGATATACAAACGATTTTTATTAATAAAATTTACCAAAACTTTAATGAAACTAAAAAAAAACAGAATAAAAAAGCATGGGAGTCTTTTTTTATCACCATCATCATCCATGGCAGTGAAAACCAATAGTATACTCTGAAATAAGTGTAAACCTTCGTGTGTATGTACATGTATGTATGTGTGTGAGTGTTTTTATTTAATAATTATATGGTACATACCTGTTAAGACATGTGATTTTTGTATTAAATTAAATTACATTCGGTTCCAATTCAAAGCGGAAACATACAATTCTCTTCGTCTTTGGAATATGTTTTCGAATACCAAAGAAATAAATGAAACTGCATTTTTAAGTTAAAACCTTCAAAATATATAAAAATCGTATTTATAAAAATTAACTATAAACGGCAATACAATGCTGCCTGTATGTATACAATATTTGTGATAAGTCCCTCCCGGTCCTTCCCCGAAAATTATGCCATAAATCATTTAAAATTTAATTGTTTTCTCCGACTACAAAAGAAGGAGATAGCAAAAAAGAAAGAATAATAATAACAACTACAACAATAGCAACCCCAAACAACGTGACCCAACAACAACTACCAACAAAAGAACGTAGCAAGCAACAAGAACAGAAACACGAGCAGCAACAACAACGCCGAAAGAATGTCTAATCAGGGACTACTACGTGTTGCTGCAACGAACTCAGCGTTGCGTGGCAGCAGTGGTGGTAGTAGTGCGTGCAGCTCCGGCAGTGTATCGCCCATACCCATACCGGTAATTGCCATTAGTCCTGGAGATGAATCCTCAGAATCGGAAATTGAAGCTGAGCCAGCAAAAATATTTCACCGACGTGTTTCGACGAAACGCAATGTTAACAGTTCGGTAAGAATTTTTTGTGTGTGCGGTTTTTTTGGATATTCATTGTCTCATTAAAACTTTCTTGCGATTCTGATCTGTTGTGTGATTACCGTGTATCCTTCCTTTTTTGTTGTTGTTTTTTAATTTTTCTAAGAACATGGTCATTTGTTCTCAAAAGCTCTTCGACTCAGTAGATATGTCTTACAATTGTTTGCTTTAGTTTAGCAGGAGCCATAGAGATCTGATGATCCTTAAATGATATTATATATCTCTTTAAGAGTAAAACTTTGATAGCCTTTAAATTTTTATAATCTCCAACACAATATGGAGGGAATATTAAAATGTTGTCATTTCGATTGCAACCTTTCGAAATATTCGTCGGAGGCACCATTAAGTATACTATATATTCCTGATCAGTGTAAGATTATATGTCAATTTGTATACCTCTACAGAACGATATATTCTCATTTTTAGCATTTCAAGTATTTAATGTAGGTCCACCTTTTAATGTAGTCACCTGGTTTTCCGTAATTTTAAGGTTTCCAACAAATTTCCAACCAAATCAATAAATTTTTGGTAATTTTGAGGTTAGGCGATTTGGGCATAGCTCTGATAGCATTTTAAAATACTTCGTCCTTAAAATAAAAAATGCAACATCGAAAACTTTTAAAACAATACGGATAGTAAACATATTGATAAAATAGTTTGTTTATAAAGTATATTTATTCAAATCATCACTAAGCGTTCGTATTCCCCGTTCCTTGTCATAGAACTTTATGAGTCCTTATTAACGAGTGTTTTCAGAGGATCTAGCATTATTTAGTTTGTTTACATTTTTATTTCCGAAAAACTACGCATTGCGGACTGTATGAATCGCAAGATTAATTTTTGTAGGTATATGTGTCAGATTCGCTACTACAAGTAATGACAACTACTTACTTTTTGCATTACCAATAGGCCAAAAGTAATGACTTGTTAGTATTCAAGCTTACTCTGTGCACAGATTTGCTCATTTTTACTCGGAGTGGGTGGTCCGTGGCGGAGTCAGTCCTTTGAATACTCTATTATTCTTAAGTATGTGGAGAGTATAGGAGGTCGGGCTGTAATTATTGATTATATATTACCCAGGCAAAGTTTCGAATCACTGGACATCCATATACCTAAGAGGGACATCTGGATCCGGAACACACGACATTTTAACGGTATAGTTGTCTATAGCGATAGTTCAAATATGGAATGTGGCACGGAAGTTGGAGTCTTCTGTGAAAGATTGAATATCCTTTAAAGTAAACAACCACTGCAGCGTTTTTCAGGCAGAAATCTTTGCTATCAGGAAAGCCACTGAGCTATTGGAAAATAAAATCAATGAACTAAACAGACCGGTGACTGTATATGTCGATAGTCAGGCGCCGTTGAAGGCTCTTAATTCTGTTATAATCAAATCTATGGCTCTTCTGGAATGCGGAAATGCTCTGAAAAAGTTTAAGACATCTGACAAACTTTGTTGGGTCCCGAGTTATTGTTCATATCCGGCAATGATTCAGCAGATGAATTGGCCAGAGCAGAATCTGAGTCAGTACATCTAGAGACCGATGGCTCCGTGAAGCCATCATTGTGTCACTTCTTCCAAGTAATACATAAGCAATACCTTAGGAGATTCAATCAGAACTGGCTGATTGGAAGGGGTAATGGATCCAATATCTCCCAAAAAATATGTGCAGTGATCTCCGAATGGAGATAAACATCACTCATCTCCTTGACGAAATCTGACCTAAAACTTATGGTAGGCCTAATTACGGGACATTGTAACATACGTAACATTCAATGTGGTGAGCGACAACATTAAATACTGCAGGCTCTGTCAGGACGAAGAGGAAACCGAGACGGTGGAGCACTTACCCTGTCACTGTGCAAATCTTTATGGAGTCAGACAGAGGCTACTGGGTAAGCAAATTCTACCCGACTTAACCTCTTTTTCTGAAACCAAGCCAGTTGTCATGGCATGATCACAAAGTGGATACACTTTCATCCTCTTCGCTTCTTCCTTTATTTCTTCTAACTTTTCCTTCTTTTATTTTTGGACTTCTTCTTCTCTAAATAGAATGAACAAAATGGGCCAGCAGGTCTCCGAGTGGAGTGGTTGTGTTTTAAACAACCGAGCTTCCGTTTACCTAAACTAAGCGGGAGTGACACTTGTTCACGAGCGGGATTGCTCGGAGAGTGGGAGTTTTATACAGAGTTTACTCCTAACTCATTAGCGAGCGGTCCCGATTTACTCCTGTTTAAAAAATTTGAGTAGGAACACAATCGCTCGAAATAGGGAGACAGATAGAGAAAGCGTTTGCTCTGAGAGTGTATCCGAGTAAAAATGAAACAATGTATCAGCAAACCAGTACTGAAGTTGCTGTGAATGTGGGGGAGGGGAATCGGGTACAAACTCAAAGAAGAGAAAAACAGTAAAAGCAAGGGACCGCTGAATTTTGTGTACAAGAGCAACAATTCTATCACATGCTTTGTTGGTAAGGATTGTCAACCGGTTTGATTTTGTTTAGTTTGCTGTTGTGGTTTGAGAAAGTACGCATACATTGAAATACAACAACGGTATGATATAAAATTAAAGGAGTACTCGGTAAGAGTAGAATCTTTTCGTTTTCGAACGAATTTTGTTCCCTTATTCGAGTGAAACGGAAAACTATGTAGAGTTTGCTGGTTTTGTCTTTCCTACTCCTAGGAGTGTTTTAGTCTATACTCGAATTTGAGCGATTTTTTCAGAAACATAAACTTGCTATTATCTTCCCGCGTAATGAGAAACGGTGACAAAAAAACAGTGGCACTTCCAACTACAAAACAAAGGTCGAATCTCCACTCCAGCTATCCAAAAAAAAGAAAGACCTCTGAACAATTGATTTTGTTCCATGTTTTGGGAAAAATGCTATTATGTCGCAAATTTGGACCGAATCTCCTGCTGCTCCCTTCGAGAGTTATGGTGCGGTCCGTCGTACATAAGTCATGGACATCCTAAAACGGATTTTGTGCAAAGAGACATAGGGTCTAAAACCCTTCTTTCGACGAGGCCCATTTTGGCGTCTCAAAACATATATACCTACTCTCTATAGACATAAAGCAGAACTGTATATCATCTGAGTTATATTTGCACATTGTAGCAAATAACTGCACCCTACAATGCAATGGGCATAAAATTCCAACAAATTACCGGCATTCGGAGAGCTTTGATTTGTTGTAATATTTAAAAAAGCTTGCGCGCCAATTTTAGTGAATTTTCCTCTATATCTCTTCTGCCAAATTTTCTCTTGTTTGTCATTTTACAAAAAAAAAAAAAAAAAAAAAACATTCTAGCTTCCCAAAAACAACAACACGACCGGATACCCGGTAAAGACAGTCTAAACGAAGGAACGACCAAATTTAATGTTAAATGAGAAAAAGGTCCATGAGAAGAAGAAAAAAACGTAGATACCTTCCCTTCCCGCTGCCTATGTTTCAACATGTCGGAAAAGAGAAAAAGACTTTTAAACGAACCGTCTTTAGTTACGAACATGTCTTAGTGTAAGTAAACCGTAGTAAAGACGACAAGCAAAAAGGAAGAAAAAATATATAAATCGGCTTTTAGCATGTGACAAACGTGATACTATCTACCTCAGCATACTCACACACACTTACATATGTCTGTGTACGTGTCTGTTGCTGTTGGTAAATAAATAAAGCCTATGCGGCACAGTTTTATAGCCGTTGTTTGGTGCATTAATACGGCTTTAGATAAACCTGTTGAGCGAGCATCGAATGTTTTTATTAGCTTTTTATGTATCCACATATATAAGAGTTCATATGAACACATATAGATAAACGTGTGTTCCCTTTTATTACAACTAAACTTTGGTATAGTCATTAAACAAAAAGTCTATAAACTAAAAAATTCAGCAATCAAATTTATATATAATTTAAATTTATTTATACTCCATTAGCATGAGCTCAGATAGTATTGCCTTTTTAAAATTAGTGAAAAGGAAATCCGTTGAGTTTTGATTCACTGGCCTGCGATGTTTCCGTGGATATGGATAACAACGTGACCAGGCAACATATATCCACATATCATAAATAAAATGATCAAAAGAAAACATTTGACTTACTTTATTTTCAAAAAATAATAGAAATGAAACCCCCAGATTCTCTGTTATTCAACAATAGACGAGAAAAATGTTGTGTAAAGGGAATATTTTTAGCTGTTTTTCAAGTAAGAGGCTTCTTAAGAGTTCAACGTATTGCTAAAATTGAGAGAAAAATTTAATGACAGATAAATTGTTTTTACTAGTGTATCCGTCATATAGACAGTTACCCCTTCAAATTTGTTTGAGTATCTTGAAGGCTTTCTAATTCTGAAACTGTTCTACTTAAATTACATTTAAAGGCAAATTGAGTTGAAATGGTCTTTTTCAGTCAAGGACGAATTTTATTGCATTGGAATATTTGTCGGACACAAGCATAAAATTCCAATCCGAATTCTTGATAACTTCTATTTACAAATAAATGGAAGTACTCTCAAATTTCTGGTAAGGTCGTAAAAAAATTTTTTGTGTTCTGAGATTTTTTTCTTAATTTTTTTCGAGTACCAAATCATAAAATGTATATGTATTTATACAAAATTGTAAGAGTATCCGTTATGGAAATTACTTCATCGAATACATTTCCGGTCCAGTATAACATATATTATCATACGATTTATGTATATTTTTCCATATTCATTGCCCACCCAATCATGTGTGACAGAAAACGATATATATTAGCCAAAAGAAAAAAGCAAATTCACAATGGATGCCTAGAGGGGATAAAAAACACATTGTCCATTGCCCATATTGTTGGCAACTTAAGTTATCTGGGTCACTTACCCCAAACTCATATCCGTATGTCGGCAAAGAAATACAAACTCACCAAAACGCTGACAGGCTGACTGGCCAAAAATTTTAACAAAACCAAAAAAAAAAAAAAACCAAGAAACACAAAAAAATAGT